CTAAGAATTTTCATATAGATATCTAACAATAACATTTTTATATATGCAGGGTAATCAATTAGAAAGGGTATATCTATCCGACCAAAAATTCTAGTATTTGTAACATCTGAATAACTTTCCTGTTGAATACACAAAATATTACACATGATTGAAAAATATATTATGGAACTAGCAAACAAACTGCGTGAGTGCATAATGATCTTAATTTGAAAAAAGTTTAGTTATATGAATACCTAGTATTAATCGGCTAGTAATAACTGAATATACAAAACGTTACTTTACCTGTATCGAAACTTAATGAAAACTAAATATCATTTATAAAACTTTAGTAACATCATATTGCTCCTTAACGTTTACGTCCATTCAATATCCACTACTGAGATTGATGAAGGAAAAAATGAAAAAGATACGGTTTCTTTTATTATACATCATAAGTAATGATGCTGTTATATTAAATAACGACGTCCTCCTCATTACACCCACTAATCTTTGTGTTGACTTACAATAGATAAAAATATTTTATTATCGTTAGATAATAATTAAATATTTCCAGCATATCATTACTGTTATTACAGTAATAAATTAGGAATTGCTTTGTTTAAAAATATAGTTTCCTATCACTGTGCAAGCAAATTTCGGTTTCTTCTAAGATCACACAGTACGATAACACCTATGATCCATAAAACTGTAGATCCGGTATTGTACGCAGACACGCTCTTCTCGCGTGCATGAAACCACATAGTTACCTACTCAACATTGTGTTAATAAGTAATATATTGTATTTGACAATACGTCCTATGGAAACATTCATTACTTTAAAGATTTTTCATTCAGGTTCAGTAAATAAACCATTTTTCGACCGATCTACGTTGATCAAAATATATATATTATTACTTCTGCGCTTTTGGGAGAAGCTTGGCTGGCTACATTAGTAGCCTGGCTCTGCACGCACAACGGCCCGAATGAGAGGCTAATTGCGGAGACTGGAGTCCAACATACAATACAATATTACTTACGGATTTTAAGTATTGAATTTTCTATGAGTGTGTGAATTTTATAATATATATACTTTTAAAAACACACATATGGAGTCAAGTATCAACAACACATGTCTATCCATTGCATCGTCCATCGCATAACCTTCTGTTACCATCTAATCGTATATCAATGGTCAGGATAATGCAAATCTTACCTGTTTTTTAATATTGATACATTTAGCAAATAATCTACCAAGACAGACACACAATTAGAGATATTAATGTCTTTTTATAATAAAGTTTACATTTTGAAAATAAATTTTCATCATCAAACGACTATAATTCTGATAAAAATATATATTGGGATACATAAGTTTTTTATTTTCTCTCTTTCTTCTTTACCATGCAATCTATTTTCTTGATTCAATTTACCTATTCTAGATTGTTGAAGTTTCAGGCTGTTTTAAGAAAGAAAGTATTAAAGAAAGTTTATTCCAGTGATTATCTAACCTGGTTTTGTATTTTTCAATAACCTTTGATATTTATGCCGAACAGATTTAATTTGCAAATATCTCTTAACATCTGAGTTAATGAGATACTGACGTCTTTGAATGTATTTTTTTAAATTTATAATCGACACAAACGGAGTGAATCCATAAATTTTTGTACATTTACTTATATGTATAAATAGTATATTCACTGGACAAGAGAAAAAAAAGTTAAACAACGCTATATTGTGTACGTTATTTACTTAAAAATATTATTAATTTTGAAAATTAAAGGATTTTAGTAAACATGCGCTAGACACTAACTATAGCGATCATATATATCTACAATAGTAGACGATTGTTTATGTATTTTATATGAATTTACTCTTAAATTAAAACATCTATTAGATTCTTTTGATTGCACCTGTAGATATTTAAATTTATTATATCGTAATAATATATTTAAAGGTTTTCTCTCATAAATCTCTATTTGCGACAAATTAAATTCTTCCTTTATAGAGATTATTGGTATATGTTCATTATTTCCCATCCACGTTCTTTAATGGTTTACAATTTTGTAAAAGTTACTCTACCTACTGTTAAATTGTTTTAATATGAAAAACAATAAACCTTGTTATTTCTTTTACGAACAATTCTGTTTCTGCAATACAAAGTAGAATTACCTATTAAGCATAAGAATGCTTAGAAATATTATAATAGTCTTTTTTTGTAACAAAATTAGAATTAATGCTACGAAAACTCCTGCCTCTACTTGTAAATATCCAATATTGTTTAAGCATTTATTATAGAAACATTATTACAATATAGCATTTACTAACATAATTTGTAAAAATGACAAAATACTTCGTAATTCCTAACACTGGATGAAATTTTTAAATGATCTTTTCAGGATTCGATTTAAATGAGATTTATCACACTTTGCCATCAAAACGCATGACTACATATTTATATTATTTCATATTTATGTTAGTCTATAATAGCCAGAAACAAATAAAAAAAAATATTTTGGCATTTTATAAAGAAATTCTAAAGATTTCCGTGTTTGTCGGAGTCTACCTAGTCGGAGGTAAACAATAAAATGAGTCATATTGATTTGTTGATTTGGTATCATGATAATAAAGCAATAAAATAATATTTGTTTTAAACCTTTGTAGGTATCTAAACGTAAATATAAAAATATGGTAAAACAATTTTATATTCAGTACTTATTAGATTTTTTTTTTATTTTACGATTATAATGTTTATTTTAAATAAATGTTTTTTCTTCTGTTAAATATAGATAATTTATTATCAACAGTTGTGAGTTCTCGCCTCGTCTTTGTGTTAATAATGATTGTCTATTATAGATCAAGTGAAAATTCTCAAATTCAGAATTCGAATTTTTAATCATTTGGTTAATTTTGACATTGGCTTTTGGTTAATTTTGAGGTAGCATTGTCTACTATATAATTCGACGAGTTAATTTAACTTCTTATAATCATCATTGCTTTGCCTTTATCCCATTATTTGGGGTCGGCGCAGTACGTCATTCTCTTCCACTGCTCTCTATCAGTCGTCATATCTGAACATACTCTTCTTTTGTTCATATCATCTTTCACACAATCCATCCATCTTTTCTTAGGGCGTCCCCTCCCTTTACATCCATCCACATTCTTGCTATAAGACATGACCCACGTTCCTCCGCATAACATGCCCATACCAGCTCAGTCTGTTATCTCGCAACTTTTCTATAACCGGCGCAACTTTCAAACTTCCTCGTATATACACATTCCTTATTCTGTCATTCCTGGTAACCCCACACATCTATCTCAACATTCGCATTTCTGCCACATGCACACGTCTTTCGTTCATCCCTTTTACAGCCCATCATTCAGATCCATACAAAATGACAGGTCTTACGATAGATTTATAAACTTTACCCTTTAGTTTCAAGGGCATTCGGGGGTCGCATATCGTTCCCGAGACCTGTCGCCATTTCATCCATCCCGCACTAATTCTGTGCCTTACATCGAGGTCTGTCGTGGAATGTCGGCATTGCTCTGAATAACTGAACCAAGGTATCGAAAATCGGAGCAGACCGGAAGCATTACACCGTTTAGGCAGATAGGCTTGAAACTGGAGAGACCGCCGAAATCGCAGAATAGGTATTCAGTTTTAGTTCTGCTGATCTTCAAGCCAACACTCTCCAGTTTTTCTTGCCATCTATCTAGTCTACTCTGGACTTCGAGTCCATCCTCACCAACAAGCACAATATCGTCGGCAAACAGCATACACCAGGGTACCGCGTCCTGAATGTCCTAATGTGTATCATATATATACATATGTATATTCTAATGTGTATAATATATATTATAGATACTAGGATAATTTAACAGTTTTCGGTTGTCCAGCGATTTTGCAGTTTTAAATTCGCGGGTTTTATATATCGAAAAAATATATTCAAGGGTAGGATTGTAACTATATTCAGCTGTAAACAGTTTTATTTCCAAGAATATTAGAGTACTTACTTATATCTGTAGTCGTGTTTTGAAATACGAAGTAGGTAACCTCTGGTTACAGAGAACAGAGATCAACGAAAGTCCAACCAGTTGCACACGATTTTTTTGAGCTTATACCATATTCAAAAATGTTGTTTTTATATGCTAGGTTAGTTATAGGAGTACGATACAAAAATATTATGGTTGTTCTGCGTGAACTCTAATTTTGAGTGATAAGCGCTGCTTTGCATTATTTTTATTAGACGACAACTCACATATGCAAGTAATTTAAAAAACTGTATATTTTTTAAAGTGTAATAGAATAAAATGAAGTAGAAGAAGAGCCGGATAAAAAACGGGGTTGCCGTTCTCCGGAATAGATGAGAACTACCCCAATCCCTTTGAAGGGATGAAGGAAAATAAACATGGCACAAGAAGAAAAATATTATGGAGTGTAAGGCAAGGAGTATAAATATTACTTGCCTTCCACTCCATTATCTTTAACTCTTTTTGAATTTTCTCTTTCCTTCAAAGGGAACGGGGAACGGGATAGTTCTCGTTCGTTCCGGAGAATAATAAATAAGCAAGTTGGAATGACAGTCATCATTCCAACTTGCTTATTTATTATTCAAATTACGTACTGTTTTACAGTGTTTATTGTTTATCCTATGAAAGTCTTGATTATATTGGAGCCCATTAAATTTGTCATCTATTGGTACACGAAGAAATAAATTAATAAATACTCATGGCGTTATAGGATCTTCGGTCAACCCGACGAGGTGACCTGATCTTCTGTCCAATTGAATAATATAATAGAGCATTGTAGCTCCCCCACTGTAATTTGCGTAGCATAATTCTAGGATCATCCGCAGCAGTAATGATGGGTGGGACCTGGCGGAAGATATCGCTCCCGGTTTCAAACGTAGTAAGTGCCCTGTGAATGAAACTAGCCTGATGAAGTACCAGCGATCTACGTGACGCGGTACTCCCACCACCACGCACGCGCAAGCAGATGCGCGCGCATATATTCGCCAGCGCTCCGCCCGACCACCAGTCAATCTGTAGAACGCTGAACGAAGCGATCGAATCGGTTGCATAGAAACATTGTACTAGAACACGTAAATTACGTTAGCGAAACTCGTTTCGACCACCGAGGGATTTTCTTGAAGGTACTGTAAATTAAGATATTAATTAAATAATTAGAATTTTTGTGAGGAAGTGCATTCGGTAGGCGTAATGTTTTATCCAGATAGTTACTTGTGCCGGGTGTGGAAACTCCCCGATGACCTTAGCACGTGTAGACCGAGTGGCACGCGCCTCTCGCCTGCCCTAACCAACCGCTGCAATGCGAATTGCAACGCTGGCCAAAATATGCTACATATCATCTAATAAGAACAGCCACCATAACATTGCTGTGCGATCTTATTCTCTACGTACCTCCACGAACTGAAAACAAAACCCCGTCCATTACCCATTAACCAACATAACAATGACAAACACTGATAAATTTAATAAAATATAGTATTTTTCTACATAAACTTAGTAACTAAAAGAATAACTAAGAAATATAATGTCACAGATAACATAATCAACAATAAGTTTTGTTATATTTACAAAACAACATGTAACAACAAAATATGGATAAACCTCAGTATTATTTTGAAAAATCTAATTAAATAAACAAGTTTAAAACATAATTTTCTCGTACTCCAAGTTATTTTTCGCATTATTGTAGGTAAATAAAAAAGTTGCATGCTTAAAACCTGTATGCTATACAAGGAAGTCCATAGCAATATAGCTGGACCCGTTTATCAAAGTGAAAACTGGCAGGTAATTCAACTACCGTCAGTCAGTACGAAAGCAGATGCAATTATTATAATTTAAATTCAAAATAATTACAAATGTAAATAAATCAAAGACCAAATAATAATAAAATTTATATTTCAATATTTTATATTTATATCGCACCAAAGAGTCGGTATTTATTATTATAGTATTATTTATTACATTGCCTTGTCTTGATCTTATAAATATACTATTAAATACATTTACACCATCTCATTTATAATTTATAAAAGTCATTGTATCATTCACGCCAAACCTTTGTCTGTGCACGCGCATCTCCTGAGTAGGTACCTACAATATGTACTTACTATATACGTAATATATAGTAAGTACATATTGTAGGTACCTAATATTATAGCATACTTACTAATCTGTTTTATTTTACTTCTGACAATGAATGTGTATAATATCTCGTACTTAGGCAGATACCAGTAGATCATCATTTCACGTAATATAATAAAATAATCTCTATTATTACTTTGTGAACAAAGAAATTACAATAGCACATTCAAAGTCAACCTGCAATGTAAATAGAAAATAGGGTAAATTTAACTCAGTCGTATCATAGATACCAATTTTTATACGATATGACAACAAACTTACACTCTGTAGGTGGTATAATTAATAAATTATTTATTATCATTGACAGGACTTTTAAAGAAAATTACATTTTGTGACAAAAAGAAACTATACAGTTTCATATTAAAAATATATACATAAAATTCTAATCCTTGCAACAATTTAGATAAATATTTACACATTTACATTATTTTCGCATATATAAAAATAGTAAGCTTATTCGTTTTTACTGCGAAAGACAAATCAGTAAAATAACAAATCAGTAAGTGATTAACTTAAAAAATAGATAAAAGGAAATAATTAGGAAAATAAAATATGTCAATGAAGGATCAATGAGCAAATAACTTCTACTGTAATCATAGGTCAGAATCAATTTTTATTAATTGTCGGGTATTATTATTGTGTTTCTATTAAAATATGATAATAAATAAATAATTAAATTTGACGGCGATAAATTCAATGAGCTTCACTTTTTTTACATCCGAAGTGACGTCTACTCTTCCTCTTAAAAAGTATGTACCTATGCATGTTTATGCATAGGTATGCATGTTTATGCCAAAAAAATTAAAGGGAGAGTAATTATTAGGCATATGATACATTTTACAGTGATCAATCTATGTTTAGGTCGCAGACGCAGTTATTAGGTACATAAACGAATATTCCTTACTTATAGTCTTTTCTGAAATATAATAATCTAGCTGTGCCCGCGTTTTAACACTATATTACTGTAAAATGTCATTAAATTCCGTTCAGTAATTCCTGCGTTACAGAATAAAAAACATTCATCCATACTCACAAACTTTTGCGTTTATAATATTATTAGGATATATACACACTTATGTCCCTAATCAATTTCGTGTTTCTAAATTATTTGTATGATTACGTACTCAATTCTTAAGTTTCTTCATACAAACATCAGGCCTAATAATTTCAGATGCATGATTGACTGCAGACGACTGAGTATAAACAGTACAAACAAAAGAACGGAATAAATAACATTCCATTAACTCGTTTTCTTGACGGTTAAAAATATAAAAACAGGAGAGATTATTGTGATTCAGTTTTGCCCCGGTCGTGAGTTCACTCGCATTTAGAATATATCCATCGAGTTTTTATTGTGTGCATGGCATGACTTCAAACTTTCCTAATCAGCTATGTGAGCTATTTATAGTGTGGTAGGTAATATTCTAAAATGGCTCCGTAACCCAATTCGTTTTCTGGTAATAGAATTTGATTCTCGACTTTTAGAAGCATGTTAAACAGTAAAAATTAAAAAATTATTAAGTATTTTTTATAATTTAGAATTTTCGATCTTAACATCTCGTAGTTTATCTACTCTCGTAATTTTATATATAATTAGGAAGATTTTATCGTCAATATTTTGTCAATTCACTTGAACTACAATATGTCCCCATAAATATTTGGCTCGCTTTGTTCGCGTTTTGTTCCAGATAAGAAATGTTATCATAATAATATTATAGATAAAACAAAACAGAATATTTCAGTATTACAGCTCATAATTTTTTTATTAAGTCTTTTATATCAATTTAGTGCCATTTAACTTCGCCTTTAGTGCATCCAGTTGTCTATTTGGAAAAGTAAACATTGTGCTCTCTTGTATTTACTATTTTTCCTGTTTACTTTATAGTATCGTGTGTATTACTTTATACTTTACTATTGCACCAAGACATTCTTGACTTTTAATAGTTCCAGTTAGCTCTTGACTTTATTATGCGTTATCTGATACTTGTATAATTTACAAGTTATCGTGCTTCTAAACTATGTAAATTATCTTAGGTAAATACTATTAACTAACAGTTGATAGGCTTTGAATTGATCGTTTATGATAAATCAGTGTAGCTGAGGGTTGCTTTTGGTGAAATATGAGAATAATTATAAATTGATATTTTACGACAGTGATATAATAGAAATTACGAAAGGAATATGCCAAGTAGAATTATAATCGTAAAAGTAATATGAAACGTATCAAATACTTCGCTACAGGAATGAACAACACAAAAGTCTTGCTTTCGTACAAATTAAAATTATTAATATTACATATACAGACGCACATTGCAATATTAGGTAAAGCTGTAATAGCTTCAGGCCTAGTTTGGTTATTTACGAAACAACAGCGACGCATTAACGCATTTTAGATGGTTTTTCGATTTCATTAGTATTTATTTACATTTTTGCAAACTAATATTTAATAGGAACACTGTAATAATATTGTATGAAAAGAAAGTTAGCATTCCAAAATAAAAATTCATCGAATTGTGCTTTATTTCTATAGGCTATACCTACCTACTTATCATTTTCCATTGGGTGGGTCGACTTCTAATATTACAGTTTTTAGTTTTTTTTATTGTTTACTACAATTCCAATTTATTAATTAGAATTTGTAGAACTTCTTATGAATCATAAGAAACATAACAACAATAATAAAATCGTAAACATCATAAGCAAAAAATATTTACCTCGTGTTGTATACTCAAAAACAAAAACAAAGTTTATTAAAGTAGATGTTACAACTACTGACATTATCTATTTGAATAAATCAGTGTATTACTAATCTCTAAAATCAGGTCAAAGATCTATCATTCAATAATCTATCTTTTATCGTCAATTCCGTATATTTCAAATTGAGAAAAATAGAGTATATGTACTTACGTAATTCGGTGAAGGTCAAAAATACATATTCGACATTTGACTTATCTAGGAAGAGTTTCAGAAAGAAACTACTATATAGGTCCAATTACTATTAATATTTCTGTCAAATAGTATTGCACAGATTACAGATAAAATAACACAGTGCATACACACCAATATGCGTTTGTACTCGTATTTTAGCTTCAGCATTACGTTCCATTTTATAATATAGTAAACGGAGAATAAAAGAAAGTTCATCAATCACATTTATAATTTAATTGTTGTTATTATTTCATATTGCCCACATCATTGGACTTCGACTCTGGACTATTAACATAGTTAGATAAGATCCCGGGTAACAATAATACAAACAAAGATAAATTAAAATATAGTTTGAATGAGAGACGATAAATAACAACTATTAAGAAAAAATTATAAGTAAATTATAAAATGGAACGTAATTTTAATATATTTATTAATAGATTTTCTAATAAATAAATATGAATATCGTTATTATTATTTCATAGATACTTATATCAACATGTTATTGAATTAAATAACTAAATGGAACATTTAATAGATTTTCGAGGTCAAGTATGAAACATTTTGAGAATTGTTTTTCTATAGTTTTTTATAAAAAACCAATCGACAAGGTAACTACTCTGTATGTATATTTATAGTTTTTTATAATTCGTAAACAAATTGTAGTTTCACAACTATTTGAAAACTATAAGATCTTTGGAAAATATTTATGCTGTGTCCTTGACGTTAACAAGTTATACCTAATACTGTTTATAAGCCTAATTTACATCATACTGTTAGAACGCAAAGAACCTCGTCCGTACTTTTCATAAGACTCGCAATAATAATTTTAAATGGAAGTTATTCAAAGAAGTACTTAAACAGTTACCTTTGTATTGTACTAATAATACCTTTAGTTAGAAAATGAATCGCAATCGCAATACCAACACAAGTTGCTTATTAATTTGTAAGCATTATTTGTTTATAATTCAACAAATAGTAAATAGTATTTAAACATAATTAGGTACTTTACTTGATAGAATAATTATTAGCATAAGAATTTACGTAATTTCATTACCAATATTAACGGAATCCTAATATTCATATTAATATTATATAACGGAAGCGTGTTTACCTGTCCGTATGTTACTTTTTGCAAGTAAACGGCTATCCTAATCATAATAAATTGATTAAGTAGTTTTGTCTCAAAATAATCCGGAACGGAGTGAAATAAAAGATGAGAGATTGTGCAGTAGTAATAGAAAATACTTAGAGTCTACTTAAGAGCTAGTTAGCTATACTTATATCAGTCATTATAGCAGTTAAAAATAAGTACATCTAGTGAATAAAACGGCATGAAGAACTGTAATAAAGTAACTATTGCATTCCATCTATTATTAATGTATACTGTCCTAATAATGGCAAATAGCTCCCCCACTGGGAATATTACGTAGTTAGGAATAAAATTATAATAGGATTTAATGGTAACGGGGTTATTATATAAACGAACGTATTTATGAGATTTGAAAAAATATTTTAGGTAGTATTTTTATGAAATTACCCTCTATTACTAAAATCTCAGTAGCTAAGCACTTTCTCTTGGTTTACATTATAAGGCCTTGCGTGTCTGGAGTTCAATGGCTCGTAAATATGTATGAATATATTTAGGCTTCAAATCATTTCAGAAAATTTTTGTAGTGACCAAACTGAACTATATACCTATACATATACACTTATTCATATTATATTATTAATCGGTTTGTAATCTGAATTGATTAGTGTATTTAAGGAATTTTTAATTACTGGATAAATTATGTGAAGAAATGAAGTGAAGGGTGAACAACCCTTTGTTCAAGGTATATATGCAAACAATGCTAAAGAGGAAGAATGAAGGTAATAGCGACTAGGGTCTATCGTGACTGTATAAATGGTGTACTGTCTATAGAAGCAGTCAAGGTCTCTGAAACCGGCGTGAATGCATGAAAGAAGAATGCATAGATGAAGCTAGAGTGGCATAACTGTCCGACTACAGGGCAAGGGATTCGAGATACATAGAATAGCTATAATATGTAAAGAGTGACTGCACTGAACGTAAACAATGAACTTGTCACGCGTATATAGCGTGTTCAACGGTAGACTTCGTTCATTCCTTACGCATGTGTAGCTCCGTGGCGATGCCACCGCACGCGCCGTCTTGTATAGCACGGCAGAAAATGTATGTACTTAAAATTAGGATTATATTATTATCTATTATAATGATATAACAATAACATTTATTCATACTACATATCAGCTAACGGTACGTTTTGTTTCCTACCTCATCTTGAATATTTTAATCATTATGAACTACTAGATGTTTTGTTAGTTCGCCAAAAATAAAGGAATAACGGCGAAAACTTAAATATATAGTTATAAATTAATCATGGCGATTTTTCTTGAAAAATCAACTTTTTTCAAGAGTGACCACAGAGAGGTCCGTCAAATGTTGAACATTTCTAACAATGAGGACAATATTTAGTACCTAATGGGTTAGTACAGATTAGTAGTAATAGTATTGCTAGTACAATACCCTTCCCCCGTCCCGCGCCTGAGGTTAATTCCGTTGTTGTATTTATATCAGTGTTTTATATATGACAGAATTACAATGGACGTTTAAAAGCGCGAACTGACAAATCTCAAATTTTCCGATTTTCTTATTTCTCGTTCCGTAAGAACCTTATACAATTAGAAACCAATAAATAATATAGGTTAAGTCGTTCAAAAGTTATAGCGTAATGAAGAGACACCGTATTTCCTATTATAGAGATAAGACAGTAGTAAACTTGAAGTATCATATTAAAAATGTCACTCACTTTCTCCTTTTCGTTTTATTAGTGTAAAAGTATAGATATAGTTTGGGTTTTGTTATTACAATAATATAATATACTCACGCATAACTGACGTATAATAGGTATGTGTTGCCCACTTTGGGCAGTGCGCCAATCGATTTTACGAAATTGTCGTCTTGTGTCAAGGGTTTGTTTGTTTTAACTTGTAATGGCCCCATGTTTTGAATGTCATCAAATTAGTTTCATTTATTTCAAGTATAATGTATCATAACATAGGACGAGCGAAGTTATGAGTTAATAAAGGTTTTTAATATGAAAGTAAAGGGACACGAAAATATAAAAGGAAACTAACCTCAGATAAAAACGGCAAACAAGTTGAAGATGACATTCTGTTCCGACCTCAAACAGTTGGAAAAAGACAAGGCTATGTTGATGTTTCCAACTCATTTCATATATTTAAATCAGATTAGGTATATGATTCATAACATGTTAATAATATGTCTACTATCTTAGTAAAGTATAAACATAAATATAATTTATATATATATCGAAATGAAATAAGGTCTTTTTACATAAATAAAAAACAGATTTGTGTACTAAAAGTAACTTGCGGAAATACGAGTATAATATCGAGAAAATATCGTGTGAATTTACCACATTGTTGTTCTAAACTTCAAAATATGCGTACTAGATTACTTTGCATAGCGTTTATAAATGTGTATGTAAAATATATACGTAAAATTAAAATATATTCTGTCTGACCCAATTCTGTAAAAATATTAGTAACGAAAATTTAACTCAGTCTCTAAAGGTTTATTGCTGTTCAAAAATTCAGGATACTGTGCTGAAACTTATTTACTATTCCGCCACAACATTGTACATATATTAAGAATAAAATTGATGAGGTAAGAGTAATAGGTTTAACTGTTTCATACATTTTATTTACAAATAAAAAGAAATATGATCTTCCACCAAAAGTAATATTTCAAACTACCTACTTACCTAATAATTTGTTATTATATTCCACGTGATACGATAGTGGAGTTAATTATAGGAGGGTAAAAGTTGAAGATTTAAAAGGGTAATATTGTAACATATATGTAAATAATCATTAATAGGTAGGTATAGGATACACGCAAGCTTCATGACAAGGGCATGTCGAGATTTGTGTTTACGTTCACCACGACACCGATATCGACATTCAACAAAGACTGTGATTACCCCGTTTAGAATATTATATTATCATTTATATATACCATACATATAAGTCAAAATCATAGTGTTAGAAAAGAGAAAAAAAATTACGTCGTGGGAAACACAACACTAAACTTGCCCTGATAACCTTTAATAACTTGAACCATATGATATCAAGAACAATATATGTAAGTTATAATATTGTTGAAATATTACCTGTATTGTCAGTCCTATTTACAAATTTATATAATTATAACATTAATCTTATTATTCTTCTTTCAAAATAATATGTAATTACTTATTTACAATTTTCTTTGTTCCAGATTTAATATACAACAAAAGAAAATGTCGGATCCCTCGCATGGAAAAATAGAAGGTAATAGGTTTTCCTGTTGTTACGATATTATGACCACACAACTACAAAGTAGCATAAGCAATCTTCTAAATGGTACAATTATGTAATGATAGGTAAATGCCTCTATTTTGAATACTATAAAAGGATATAACAAAGAGCCAATTCTTTATTTAAAATAACGCCATATTGGATTCTTTGTTATTCTAAAAAAAATATAGAAATAAGGTACCTACATAAAAGTTTTTTCATAAAGGCGTAGAAGAAATATAAAATTAAGTATCTAAAACAATTATACAATACTTCCGTATAGTGTATCAGCATTAAGATATTTTAAATAAAAGGTATATTGACCATTAATTTACTTGATAACTACCAGTAGAATAGCTAAAACCTTTTTAGGCTACTCTTGTATGAATCTATGTACCTATATATATTTAAAACAAATAAATTCATGTTTTATAGTCTACGTAAAAAACTAATTAATAAATTGACAACTAACTTCAAAACAGATGGGAGTTAATACAAGATAATTAACTAACTACGATTTTAAACAAAATTTTTTGTTTCCTATGCTACTATTTTTTTGCCGATATACAAACACTAATGTAATTTATACAATAATACCACTTCACTGTTTGTAAATGTTTAATTAGGCGATTGATGATTCCTAGGAAAGTCTAGTAGTGTACCTATTCATTACATGTCCAGTTTTGCATTCCCTTTGATCAAAAGGAAACGATAAAATGTACTTGTTTGTATCAACTATAAATGAAGCCGTTATTGATCGTAGATATGGTATGTATCTTTCTACTAGAAAACTATTTAATCTTTTAACATAATGTACTAATATTTTTTTGACAGATAACCCCAAAATATTGTCGGGGCCGGTGCTAACGAACTCTCCAAATGCTGTTTTATCGAAAACTCTTCTCGGTCGGTACAATGATTTATCGTTGCCGGCTGACAGCATTCTGGCAACTTATATCTGGATTGATGGATCCGGCGAGCACCTCCGTTGCAAAGACCGTACCCTAAAGTATATACCAAAGGTTCCTAAAGGTGAGTTAATCCGATTACATTTAAGATTTGATGAGAGATTACAGCGAGTAATTTCATACACTTGTGTGCGTTACTCCTCTATTAAATATTTGTATATCTGACTATATAGGTACTTATAAATATAGATATTGTAATTATTTTAAATCTTTTCAAGATGTTGATCCTTCTGTAAATAAAAGAAATGGTTGTTAATAATAAACAAAATAGTTATTATAAATCTATCATAAATTAGATCACTCAGATTGATACTACGAGAAAAAGGTTTTAGCTTAATTTTTTTAAAATAGGAACCTATTACCTATATATGTGTAATTAAAAAAAAATTTCATATCGTTACAAAAACATCACATTTACATTAATTTTATGTAGGGAGAAACATCCATTTAAATATGTATTTCCGGTAATTTAAATAGGTATAAACGTTGATTTCCAATATTTTTTAATGCACAATAATAAACATTATAATTATGCTTTATATCAGCATTATTTTGAGTAGAAAGAGTATTCTTTAATTGGATAGACTACAATTAACAAAGCTTTTTGTACTCGATTTATATAAAAATATGTAGAACTAAACAACAAAGAAGTTGTTAATAATATGTAGAGATATAAGAAGAAAGTTGTTTACCAAAACATAAACTTGGAAGCAAGGTCAAAGCCAATTACAAAATATGATAAATTTTAGAGTCGACAACATTATTTCAATTGTCATGAAACGAACAAGTTATATTTAATGGGAACTTTTCCGGCTATTAGATCCTATTATTTTGAGTGAGTTTTACAACATCCTCATTAACAATTGTAATTAGAACAGATGATGCAAATTAGTTTCACCTTGGACAACTGAATGAGACATCGCCATAATTATCAACACTGGATAAGCATACAGCGATAATACTGTAATATTTAAAACATTATGATGCTCACGACCACAATGCCAGACTGTATAATCAGTAATTAATTCTGCAGACATATTCATATGCCTCTCTTGCACCACCATCTGTCACCGACCGCTCCTTCTCACCGAAAATTTACTTTCTGTCCTTCCATTTTAAAATACCAAGCTTTTTAATAAATCAATTGCCTACGTCTTTCAAAATTACAAGTGAGAACTTCTTAGAAAGATCTAGCCGACTTAACTACTGTAAAATGTTATAAAAAAATTGTAACACCGGAAAGTAATTACGTAACGATGTTGTTAATAATTTTTAAATGTGGCGGAATAAAGTTGATGGGTTTACGATTTTCTATGAAAATATTCTTGCCGACGTTAGTTTGTTTGTACGTTTCGTAATTGTTAAATGGTCCGTTAAAATTATACTGTTAGTTAGAATATTGAATTCTTAATAACATATTTACATAATTAGGCCTCAGTTTACTCATAAATTGTTATTGTTATATTGACGTTACGGTAGTAGATAAAATATTGATCGTATGAATATATATTTCGAAATCAGGCAATTTATAAAAACCATGTATTGACACATGTAATTGACTACTTTTTAGATAATTTTACACGAGTTATAACTGAACTGAATGACAAATATATCAGTAAACTGAATGCAAATTTGAAATGGAAGCACGCAAAGGAACATAGTCCGCCATATTTTTGTCCAAAGGATCTAGAAAACGTATTTACGATTCGTTGCAAGCTGAGAGAACGAGAAAATAGGAATAGCTTTGATGAAAATTTGAAAGGTTTCACAGTAATATCGTCTTCGCAGTCTTAGAAATGTTGGCTAGAGTAGATAGATTCATTCATGATATTTATGTTTGTTTAGTCATGTACGAGTAGCTTGTACGCATCCTAGTGTATGCTATGCCTACTTACAGATTTGTACGTAATTCAAGAGTGGGAATAGTTTTTGTATATTATACATATTTTGTTTTATTTATTATATCTACCTATTTTATATTTATCATACTAAAAAAATACATCTTGAAACATTGCAAATAATCATTAAGTAAATGCGAATTATTGAGTTTTCTATAATGCATAATGATTATTGTAAAATATGTAACTTCTTAAGCTAGCACAGATTCCATAATATTATTAAAAATAAACCCAGTACAATTTCCTTTAGAAACGTGTTGAATTTTGATAATTTTAATATTATATTTTGATTGAATATTGTAGATTTACCAGTCTGGAACTTCGATGGCAGTTCAACAGGTCAAGCCACTGGACATAACTCTGACACATTCCTGGTGCCACGCGCTATTTACAAGGACCCATTCCGACGTGGAAACCATATTCTCGTTATGTGCGATACATTTAAGTACAACATGGAACCCACAGGTTTATCACATTATTAATTTGATAAAAAAGTTGTAGTTTGAGAAAATCTTATCAATGCACTAGTTGCTGAAGTACTTTTCTCATTTCGGTGCAACAATGGTGAAAACATGCAAGCTTTGTTTCCGCCTGAAAGTGTAAATTGACAAGAATTCTTTACTACCAAGTTATTTTAGTTCTCAGATATGCAATCGTGAATGTTAAATACCTAATATAATCTATAAACCGACGAAACGCTGTGTCCACAAACATTTTATCACGGCGGAATATGAAAATTAGATCGGAACATGGCAATTAAAGATTGATAGTTCCATTGTTATAGATATTCGTAACTTAAGTAGATAGGTACCTACATAATTATCGATTGTATCATAATAAAAATTACCTATACATTTTTGTCGGCCAATAATAGAACTGATATTAAATATGTTTTAATTGACAGAAAGTAACCATCGTGTGAAATGTCAAGAGGCTTATGATAAATGCAAAGATGATGAGCCTTGGTTCGGTATTGAGCAAGAATACATACTTCTGGATTCTGACCTCCGACCCTTCGGCTGGCCCCCAGGCGGTTTCCCGCCACCACAAGGCCCTTACTATTGCGGTGTCGGTGCCAACAAAGTGTTCGCTAGAGACCTCGTTGAGGCTCACTACAGGTAACTTTGGTTTACATCACTCAAAATATACAATGCAATCCTATTTAAACTACAAGCTCATGGAAAAAAATACCTGTGAAATTATCGACAGAAGATTTAAATGTCGGAAGTTAGTAGATAAGTAAGTTTTGTCTTTGAGGATGTAATAACGCGCTTACGGATTTCAAGGACTACTTACCTTACCACCATGACAACAGAATATTTCAATGTATAATAATATACAAGATAATAATAATAATAATAATACCCACCTATGTGCCTACTTAATATGGTTGTTGACATATCAGCGATAAGAGTTACCGACTGTGTATTTGAAAGAAAACATTGCAATTGAATAGAACTTCGCCTTTGTTTTTAATTAAATTGAAGTCAAAGCCCTGCAGTGCAGCACTTGAGATGCTACGCTTTTCAGCAAACTATTTAATACATATCTATGTACGTATCTAACAGTTCAAATGAAATTATTATTATCATTTCGATATCATTGGTTCGAATATACTAATTGTATTTATATAGATACAGTATTAAATTATAATTTATATGACAATCCACAGAGGTGCCTGAACTGCACCTTATAGATAATTAAACTTTATAAATATTATGTTAGCCTGGTGTTAGGTTAAGGTAAGCAGCCGTTGGAACCCGTAACCGCGTGATTACATCCTCAAAGATGTTACTTACTTACTTAAATATAAGAATAAAAATTTAAAAAACTTACCAACTACCGACACCTAATTCTTCAGTCAATAATAAATATAATCTCACCATTGCAACGAGCAATGTAATACTAATTCTAGATAAATCCCTATATCTTGAAGTTTCTAGTTTTTAAAAGAAGTTTGAAATCTCAAGAATTTTAACACCATTAATATTGAATGCACTTGAAAAAGCTGAAGATCCTATATGGCTTAATATTTTTTAAATTACAATTTATTGTTCAGATATTATGAAACCGGTAACTCCAATCATATATTGTTACAGATGTTGCTTGTTTGCCGGCGTGCCGATTGCTGGCACCAATGCTGAGGTAATGCCCTCACAATGGGAGTTCCAGGTTGGACCCTCGGTTGGAGTGAGCGCTGGTGACGATCTCTGGATCGCCCGGTACATCCTCCACAGATTAGCCGAAGAGTATGGCGTTATCGTCACTTTTGATCCGAAACCGGTTCAAGATTGGAATGGGTCGGGGGCCCACACCAACTTTTCTACAAAGAAAATGAGAGAAGAGAACGGTATTATGTAAGTATAAATTTAAACTATATGAGACTTTTTTAGGAAAATACCATTGTCTATAATATCGTTTACGGTGAAAATTTTATGCGTTCATCAGGAACGCCTACCTATTTCAGATATAATATTTATTTAACTAAATCATACCAATTCGACATAATAGTTGAGCCATAAGATATGACACACGTGTTCGATGCATTTATCTAAATGCATACATTTACATATACGTAATAACGAATTAATATTCTCGTGCCACCCTACCACACGATTTGTGATAGTAAACAATAACTCACGTGTTATTTTATTTCTTTAAGTGATGCTTTTTCACATGCGGCGCACTTTGCAGTTCCATTAGTGCATAAATTATTCATAAAATGTAGAATGTATTTTAATAGTTGTCACTTTTAGTGGCCGTTGTGTGGGTAACTACACTTTACAGTGGAAAAAGGCCTTAAGACTGCTTACAAAATTGAAATATTAATACGTTGTTCGATATTAACTTAACAAGTAAAGGGTTTATACATATACGAACATAATGTAACTAACTCTCGTCAAGATCTTATCATCTCGACAGTTCAATGACATTGCTGTGATGAGAATATACACGCGATGTTATTTGAACTAATTAATCTTACAATAAAATATTCCTTCTTTGTTTGAATTACATATACCATTCATGTTTACACTAGATTAATTACTTAGAAATAGCCGCTGTTTGAATTAGTTGCGGGAATAGCCATTATAACAAAAGTCTTCATATATTCGTACCTATGTAGTTTCAATAGTAAATTCGAAAATTTCAGCTTTTTGTAGTGATATGCTTCTAATTCTTGTAAATAGACAATATATTGTCATATACATACATAACATGTAATAGTACATAGTATAGCATAGTACGTAGTTATAGTAGACAATATGTGGTAAATGATGCGATTTTAAGGTTTTACGAGCATCAACCATCTTGTAACCTTAAGATGGTTTAGCAATGACACTGAATAGCGGCTAAATATAACTCAATGTTAGCAAGCAACACTACAAACGCTTGTGTTACGATTTACACTGAATACAAATCAAATTGACTCGGAATGAATACGATCTGCATGATTACTATTATCAATACGCTACTTAATTATAGGTAGGTATAGCAACTTAATTACCGATAGATAAAAATATATATAATACATTGAAGTAGATATTAAGTTATTGCGGATTAACTGCATAATTTACAATACAGTATAGTATTATAGGTTCCTACGTGACATTGTCTTTAAGGTACGATATTAATATCTGTATTTAGAAATGTTACTTGTAAATGTGCTATGTTTTTTTCAAAACCAATTACTATTAATTATAATATACAAAAGTGTTATTATGAACGTATCGCCACTTGATTAATAATTTGAATATTTATACAGCTATGCCCTACATTGGAAACTTGTAAACCTTGAAATAACTACCTAGTCATGATACAATAAAACTAATTCGATATTTAGTGTTGTGTGAACAAATTAATTGTTGTTATTATAGATTTATTTTAAAAATGTATTGTTCCAGTGAAATCGAGAAGGCGATTGATAAGCTGTCCAAGGTACACATGAAGCATATCAAAGTGTATGATCCCCGAGGTGGAAAAGATAACGAGAGAAGGTTAACGGGTCTTCACGAAACAGCCAGTATTAATGATTTTAGCGCAGGTAATTTATATTATGTACATGAAATCATTACATGCTAAAATATAAATTAAGTAAATATGGTTTCGACTCTAATCTCAAGTGAGGATAATCTGGAAATTTACGTGTTACGTGTAAAACGTGCATATTTTAGGTAGGTAAGGTGGCAAAAGGCCAAGTTTATATATCTCTTGAATTATTTATATTTGTAAACGGCGTTTACCTTCACTACTAGTACAGCATAAGGTACTTTACTCAGGCCTTCTCTAAAGAATTATTTTTATTATTTTGTGGTAGCGATGATCGACATCATGTTTTGAGTGTATCAGTCCGACATGAAACCTTAACTTTTTTATATACTATAATATAGTTCCAAATAAATGCTAGGTAGTTAGTTTAATTTTTTGAATAACAATTCAATTGCTAAAGTAGATTGCAAGTTTGACGTTATTCTTTTTTTGTTATATTTTTTTTATTGATCGTCTTTCAATAATGTGTTTCTATATAGCTATATAGAAACACATTATTGAAATAACTGTAAGAAATCTAAATTTTCGATTTGGACGGTAAGAAGTACCGTCCAATGTACCGTCCAACGACCATGTTGTATAAGCATACCTTCATTATATTTGAACCTAAGAAATGCTGGGTATATATAAATCTAATGTAAAGGGATTATTAAGATCTGAGTATTTTGTCATCATTTCTTAATGAAGATTGTCGTCTCTGAACAAGAATCAAAATAAACTAACGACTAAGAATCTACACAAATACTTAATATTGTGACGAGTTTTATTAATGAGTGTGATTTGTGCAGTAAATAAATCCACTAATTCAACTATTTTCTCTTACAATAATAAATTATCTATAACTTTACAGGCGTTGCTAACCGTGGTAGCAGCATTAGAATACCACGACTTGTCGCAGAAGAGAAGAAGGGGTACTTAGAAGATCGTCGCCCAGCCTCCAACTGTGATCCTTATGCAGTCACCGATGCTCTTATGCGCACTTGCATACTCAATGAATAACAGAGGAGCCCCGAACTCTGCACAATGCCCGAATCACGTGTCAGCTAACATCCATAGTAATAAGAAATCAACACAAAATCCATGTGCCTAAGAATTGTGGTCTAAAATAATAACTTGATAGATATATTATACAATGGTGTTCACAAAACAAATCGCTATTTTAAAGGCCACAATTCAGTACTAGTGTAAGCGCTGGTAAACAATCGCGTAGCCTCAAATCATGTCTTTCCGTATAATAATTGACAATAGACGTAATGTAATTTATTATAAATGCATTTTCATACGAATCAATAAACAATTTACCTAGTTATTTACAATTTAGAACGGGTAATATTTTTAAGTAACACACTATAGTAATATTATGGCCTTTATAAAAATTTATTGCATTACTAATTATACGCTAATCACAAATGTATCTAGGTATAATGATAGACACGTGTTAGGTATTACGTCACAAAGGACCATATAAGATATTAAACAAATATTATAAAATAAAGTTTACGAATATTATGTGATATTTAAAAATTAACTGTTACTTTAATGCTGAATAGTTTATTTGTATGTCTATAATTAACCACATATCATTATTTCTAACAAATTCTTATGCCTAGACAAAAAATTAGTTAAGTAATTAACCAAAATAATAATATTTAGTGATCGACTGTTACACAAAGGTAATGAAGAAAAATTCGATTCAATTACTTTACAAAAATATTTATAGGAAAGTGAATAAAGTATCTACCAGACGAGTTAGAGTAGCATAGAATAATTATACATTATTATAAAATATCAATAACTTATATTATTATTATTAGTTATACTTATGACCGTGTTATGAAAATATATATTACTGCGAAATAAAAACAGTTTAAATAATATAGAATAATTATTTAGTTACGTTAAGCACGATATAGATTCGCTCGGAATATATTTACAAGTATATTTTGTTTAACATGCGCCTAGTTAGTATGAGCCGATGAAAGTTTGTTTATTAAATTGTATATGGAGATGTTATAATACATGAGAAGTTATAAAAAATAAAAATACTTTATAATATTCTATTTTGGTTTTATTCATAACTAGCCACGACGACATTTACTTTTGATTTATAAAAGATTGTCTATATCCGTCCTCGTAAAATTCATCTTCACATGAAATTTCATTAAGATTTAGTCCGCCATTTAGTCGTGAAAAGGTAACATACAGATAGATAGAACAAATATACCCAACATTTACGTCAATTTGAACATAGACTTTAACAATAAAGAAAAAAGTATATATGCGTGTGTCAAATAGAAGGTAGTGTGTTAACGTATTTTAATGATTTAACGTATTTTTATGCATAATTAAAAAAAATGCATTCTGCACTGCGTAACATTAACTATCATCGAGTGAGTCACGTCAAAATCGGTCCAGCCTTTTCAGAGATTAGCAAGAATTATAAGACAAACAGACAGTTTTTATGTAAAGTATTTAATATTTTTTTATGTATTCATAAGTATCGAATATAAGTATATTTTAATATGCATTTAGTAAAAATCAGTTGAATTCGGGATATAAAAATTCTCTAAAAAACTACATCCCGTCAAAATCACCGCATCTATTACTTACTTGTTATGTTGCAGAGCAGTAATTTTCTAGTCTCGTTGCATAATTTGGGGGCTTAAATTTCGTAACAGAATAATGGAGACGTAATTTATAAATTAATTTTGTAAATCAAGGAATTCATCTAAACAGTTGTGATAGAGATTATCAGACAAAATGATTTGCTCTTCTTTCGGATACATTCCTTCGCCAATTGCATTTTTAGCAATAAATAAAAAATGTATGTTTCCTTCTGTCCGCGCCCTCATATTCACTATTAAGTGCATCTGTGTGATGTGTCACCAAAGGGTTAAGCTCTTCAAGGATGCTTTTTATGCATGCATGTATACCATTGGGATTTGTTCCGCGTAGCATTTGTCTTATATCCCCACAAAACAATATCGTTACGTCGTCCATTTTGACGGATTTCTCTGAGGGTTGTATCAACCATCTCTACTGGTTTTAGGCGTGTCATAGTGAACTCCTCCCAGATTATTAATGAACGAATAAATTTATTTCAGTACGAAGCTGTCCAAGTTACTAGATTTTTAATTGTCCCATGGGAACTCTTCAATTTTCCTTTATTAAAAGATATCTAAAAAGTTGACCAAAAATGTAAGATTCCATGCAAAATGACATTAAAATATATATATTAGACTAACAAAAAAATTGAAAAAGAATCTGGATGTGTTTATTAATCAATAGAGTTAGTAGGATGTTAGAAATGAAATCAATCTATTTTACCTCTAACATCCTCCTAGCACGGTTATAGGCATTTTTTCTCTATGTACAGACATTCGACCCCTACAGTTTTATTATAAGTATATAGGTACAGTAAATATATAGTAAACTAGTGTACGAATTCACGTTATGGAATAATATCAATATTGTTTACACCTGCGCAGATGAAAGAGCGTCCTCGGAGTATATATTTGTCCCTTAAAATTGTTGTCCTGCACAATGCAGGATATAACACAAATGCCGTTAAAGTATACCTACTTTGGGAGTTATTGGAACATAGGGTTTTAAATAAAACATCATTAGTGTAGTATTACTTTATTGATACATATTAATTTCTAAGACGACAATCTTTTGAAGATCCAAGACTTCTAGAAATAATACATTTCAACATTTTGATAAGAGATATATTTTAATAACAAAAACACATGAATATAATATTACTACGATTAAACATAATACTAAGTTTACAATGAGAAACAGTTTCGATGAATTACGAAAGTTTTACTTGATTCAAATTATCGACTACTAGTAGAAAATATATTAGAATGATTGAATACAACAGAAAGCATGAAATAAATTACAGAACATATTTTTGTAGTGGTGGATGGAGTTATAATTATAGTAGGTATATAAATTGAAAAGTTTGCTAAACGTTTTCGTAGAAAATAACTAATCTATATAGTTTTGTTGAAAATACATTAAAAATTGTAGATTTTTTAATTTAAAGACACTATTATAATTAATATTAGGGTTGATTTAAAATAGAGAGAACATTGTATCACCAGTACTCTTGAGAGGGTATCGCTTCGTTAGAATTACTAGTGAGCAGTAGTCATGATTATTTTAATACTTGATTACAATTTCATGCTAATAAGATATTGTAAAGACAAATAAATACAACGTAATTAACATATGTTTACCTTAGGATTTAATTGTTTTTTTGCACTCAACTTCTCACTTAAGCTATATAATTTTTATATGCTTTGAGAGCTCATATAGCAAGGCTTGTGTGTGAAACATTACAATTAATTCTACGCAGTAGTTATTGGTTGGTACCCTTTTAAATATGGAGAGGAACAAGCAGCATTTTCGACATATCTTACTGTTTTACTACAGAAAGGACAAAAATGCTGTTCAAGCCAGAAATAAATTGACCGATGTGTGTGGAGAAGGTGTGTTAACAGTACGCCAGTGCCAGAACTGGTTCACTAAATTTCGATCCGGCAATTTTGATGTCGAAGATACGTGGTGCATCTTCGGGATCCTCGGGAAGGCCGGTTGAAGCTGATAAAGGCACTGGTTGATGCGAACCGGCAAGTAACGTGAGATCGGATTGAGGTTAAATTTCATCTTCATCTTCGACATCAGAATTGCAAATTCAGCGAACCAGTTCCGTTGTACTGTTAACACACCTTCTCTACACACATCGGTCAATTTCTTTCTGGCTTGAACAGCATTTTTGCCCTTTCTGTAATAAAACAATAAGATATGTCGAAAATGCTGCTTATTCCTCTCCATATTTAAAAGGATACCAACCAATAACTACTGCGTAGAATTAATTGTAATTTTTGCACACATCGGCCTTGCTATATGAGCTCTCAAAGCATATAAAAATTATACGGCTTAAGTGTGCACTTGAGTGCAAAAAATACAATTAAATCCTAAGTTAAGAAAAAACGAAATTACTTTCCGAACAACCTAATTATTGTAACAGTATTGTAGAAATTAATAAAAAAATATCAGATGTCTGTTACGTTAATAACAATTTATATTTTTACTTTTTCTTTAAAATTCGTAGTAAATCATGAACGGAATTTTGTGAAATATTTGTAATTGGAAATATAACTAACCTACACAGCTTCAATAAACTTGTATTATATTTATGCTCAAGAAAATGTTTAGACACAAATTATTTCTTGTATCCACGACACACCTCTACTATCTATATAATACGAAATATAATCGTAAGATATAATAGTATAATTCGTTTAGTTGCTGTATGGCATTGTGAGGCTTGATGGTAACATTATTGTATGTAAATAACTATTGAAAATTTTTAATGATAACTTATAGGTTTAAGAATAGAAGTAGTAATTACTTGATTCTAGACACATAGTTACTTATATAAACTATTAATAGTAATGTAGATTAAACAATATCGGTTATACTAGATATGTTATAGCAATACATAAATCACATTCAATATAGATTAAACTTGTCTTATATTATACCTTACGGGTTAGTGTATAGCCTTTTATAAAGCTTTATTAACACAAAATGTGATACAGATTGTTATGATATATACGTTTGGTTATGCTAACACCGACAACAATTATTACAATTTTCAATCAATACTGCCTCGATTCGACTACTGTTTATTTAAGAAATGTGTGAAGTCTGCTATGTCAGCATTTGATACATTTTGATTATCTAATATTTTCTATTACACTTATATTAGACAATCAATGCAGGATTGTAATCATATAATGTTGTTAACAGATTGTAAGATTACTAGGTGTGAAATGTATCGAGAATGATCAAATCGACAATAGCTTATTTCAGTAACATTGATTATACAGACATCCATATACGACATAGTTATAAGCGACGACATGATTATATTTGTATGCAATAATATATTTTAAAAGACAATAAACATTTATGTTTTTTATTATTAATAACTTTATCCCTAATACACAAATGTGCTACAGCACATAGAAAGAGTTTAAGAGATAAAAACGGAAGTAATAATTTTAACTAAAAAAATGGATCATCTTTCAATCAACAAAATATTTCTTATTAACGTACATATAACCAATTCAAAACAACGATACAAATATTAACTGATTTATTTCTTAAAAATCTTAACTAATTAGAAAACGAAAAAATGTTACTCTAAAAGTTAATGAAACAATACTTCATATATAACGAATAAAGTATGATGATTTGGTTAAACTAAGTAGAAAAGTTGCAACTTGAAATCGAATATTTGTATACGGTGTGACAAAAATTATATCAAAGTCATATATTAGGCAAAGGCTTTTTCATGTGAAGTAAAGAATTTTAACCAAGTATAGAACATTCTGTATTCCTAAAAATTTAGATGAAACGGATTTTGAATATTTTAATTGATAATAATTAATACACATTTATGCTTACAGTAGCAAGACTAGTAATGTGCAAAATATTGTGTTAATTAAGTAGTGATTTAAGGAACAGAGTTTAATTACTACCAATATTATATCTAAATAACGTTTACTGAAACTATCCTAAAATAAATATTTATTTAAACGTAAAATATAGAAACTCAATTTATATTACAAAATACAGTTCATAATGCTATAACATTTAAAGCATATAGTGGCAAACAAAACAAAATCAGTGTTGCACCTTCCTTACATCTATTTTCCATATATTACTACAATTCTAACATCAAAAGTTTTATACCTATTCAATTTGGACTGTTCCTTTATAAGAAATCAATTAGGCATAGTTGGTAAGCCGTAATACTTGTCACACAACTACAGGTTATTTTTTATTTAGACAAAGATTGATTAAATGGTCATACAAGGGCCGTGAGATGTTAGAAGTGAAATTCGATAGTAAGAGTAAAGAGCACGCGCCACTATTATAATTCACTTATGATACTAACACAGTGACCGTTTCAATTCATGCTTACATGGCATTTTTACTTCGGTTCACTTATAGTTCAATTTTATGCAGTTGAATAGAATTCGCTACATCACTATACGTGGGTTGTCGGTGCTCGCAGTCGACGTATCTTCAGGTGGATCTAATAATCGGAGGCCTCGCGAATTTCATCTATTCGTGCAAATGAGGATATATGTCCTCGAAATACTCCGTTAGTTAGTTGTCAAAAGACAGTGCATCCGAAAGGGTATCGCCATCGAACTCGCGCACGGCATACCGGGAGCAATTGTCGATAACAACGTGTGCGAGATCCTTAATGTGCTGATAAGGAGCAGGGTGCAACAGCAGATCTTTCAGTAATCGTAGTCCTCCTTCCGCTTCTACCAAGTGACAATATTTCTCAGCTGAAACAGATACATGCTATGTTGTGAAGTAATACTAAAATAGATGGATTTCAATCGACTTCGAATAGTCCGTTAAGAATCCTAATTGTTATAAGACAATATTAACATTCTACTTAAATTCTTAAAATAATAATTTCAAGATTTAGACGAATCTACAATTAATATACATAATAAAACATTATTATACAGTTTATTCATATCATATGAATCACCGTTTGAATTTTAATAACAAAATTATTTCGAAAAAATTGTTTCATTATTGGAGGCTTTTTTGATCTTTTTTTCATAACGCTGTAGGTAACACATTCGTCTTTCGACATTGAAACTGCAAGGTTGAGAATCGTACAATGTTGTTAATAATTTTTATTATCTTTTGTATTTTGACATTCTAATTAAATATTTTTGATAGCCGTTTAATTTTGATTAACGTTTCCAATCGAAGCGATATTACTCCACTGTAATATCGCAGGAAGATAGCGAGCAGCGTACGTAGCACATTCTAATGTTACACAACTTCATCTTCCACTATCCTAACTCGTTTCGTACCCGCTTTAATTAAGCATGTAAAAAGCTTTAAGAATTAGAACGAACGGTAGCTGCAAACAAAGCGGAGCGAAAACGTCAGATACAGCAAATTTTCAAATTTGAACTGTCATTTTTAACACTTTTCGATCATTTAACTCGGGCTGAAATGATAAGACTGCATGAATAATATACTAACATGAATCATTATATGAATAAGGATATTCTGTTCATTTTAGTAAGGAAAAGAGGTAATTGGGGCACATGAAAGTGTACGTAAATATTAGATCAACAGAGATACTCAATGTTGTCTGTGGCGTGAATCCCTTTCAAATAACAAATCTGTGTATAAAATCATTTGTATTTTTTTGCCACGCTACGGACATAGGGCCCAATTTGGTAGCCAAAACAGGGAGTGGTTTAATTTTGACCTGACTATTATATAAATTATCACGTTTCATTAACATCAATGACATCTTATTGGTCTTATAACCGGCCATTTTGGCGTTTTGGTTTGTACGTCGGCTCCAAGAAACATGATTAAAGCCTAAACCTGGGCTGCTTCCGCATCCTTTGCCGTAGAACCAGCAGCATGCTGTGGTCTACCCTCACCTTGAAGTAGTAAAATTGAAAATGTCATTGTTCTTGGAAAGAGCGGATTTATGCGACTTCGAATTGAAGCAGATCCTAACAATCAGCAGGAATCTGCACATGCACAAAAAATGGGTTAGCGTTATAAGAAGGAGTAATGAAATCATAAATGTTGTAAAACATATACTCACGGTAAACAGTTGTCAGGTTGGCCAATGCCCAGACGGCCCAGTGTTGGCATTGCGGGGTGTGATGGGCGTGCAGTAAGCTTAGAATAGGCTCGAAGGAACGGTAGTTAATATTCCGTTCTGCCTTCAGGTCCCAACGGTCGACTGCAGCTGCGACACGCGTCAGAACTGCATCCCGAGCTGGATCTTCCACAGTCCAAGTTTCGGGTCCATCTGATGCCATGTGGGCTAACACTCCGGCAGCATTGTAGCTCACCTATAAATCATTATCACAATTGCTTCAAAACAATTAATCAGGTAAAAAGTTGTCATACTCATACGAGAACACACACACTTTTGTGACTCATTGCATTGCGACACTAGAACTACTAAAGAACACGGAATTATGATATAAAAATGACCAAGCAGCACGAAAATTCTAAGCAGAGGCCCGCATCTAGTAATTTAAGGACTATCTCACATAAATATTATGGCAATACATATACCGTCCTCATAAGATAACCCAGTAATACTGAAGATTATGTGCACTGATACATAAGACAGAAGTCTTATGTAACAGTAAAACAATAAGCCAATAGTAGTGAAGTGTTATAAAATTAGTAATATTACGATTCAGTCTAATATATATACATACTTAAGAAGTTTATGAATATAACCTATAATGTTTTATTACCTCTATGCCATCACTGCAGGAATCAAGTAATTCATAAAAGACGGTGAGAAACAGTTTATCCATCAATTGAGGTCGTAATTCTGCCACTTCAGCAACATTGCCAAGCAGACCCATCATATTACGGAGCAGCTCTTCTTTATCGGGAAAACTCTATAAATGCACATATAAAAGTATGAAATAGATATTAATCTAAAAAAAATATTTAAAACATATTAATAGTTAAAACCGCTGCACTCAGAGACGTTCCTTAAATTATCGCTAATGAATATTTCGTTAATATTATTAAATCTGTTAATGAGCCTTTCCAGCCCAGAGTCAAAATTTAATCATTTATTAGCTAATGAGAACTATAATGGAGTATAGATCAGGGAACATATGCTATCGACTGCAATTAGATAAAGAGATATTGTAAGTAGTACAAAATTATTAGAAAACATATAAGAATTTTAAGTTTAATTATTCAAAACATAGATATTAGGTGAAAAATATTTAAATAGACTACTGTGCACGTTTTAAATCCAAAAATAAAGGAAAATAGTTATTATCAAAATATAAAAAAATAGTCAGCTTATATATTTTTTAATATGGAAAATATCTACAAAATTTCACTCAATAATGATACGCATGCGTTCTTGTTGTCAACGCAAATAAATGTATGCATGCTCCTTGTAGGTTGCTCCTTATATGTCCTTGTAGGTTTATTTAAATTGATCACTACAGTTACAATACATTTTTTACTTATTAGACGTAAATCTATAGCTATAATAAAATACAATTAGTTTTTATAATTTAAAACCAACTTATAAAAAAGTAAAGGACGAAGTCTAATTCAAAATAACCTGAAAATGTACGTCATTCTATCATTTGGCACTTAAGTAACAGTTAGCTTGTCTTGTTTGTCCTTATTTGCGTAGGACATTTTTAAAAACTGCACTAAGTAATTGCTTAAGTAACCATTTGAAGTCTCGCAGTGCGGCGGTTAGTTAACTAACTGGATCATTGAAATACCTTAAGACAAGCAAGGAAATACTCCATGCCTCGGTTCTCCAGGAACCTCTGGCAATTCTGTGGAGTCTCGTCAGTCACATTCCACATAGTGGACCATGCCACCTCCAGTACATCATCGCATATACGGCGCTCCAGGCGGTCTGATATTAAATTCAACATTTTCTGTAACAATTTTTACACATGTCATCTATAATGTTTAGGTAGATCTAACAAACTCATACCTGTACCAAGAGATACCTATACTCCTAAATTAGATAACTAGTATTCTGTGGGGATCGATGTTCAGATCATGAGAAATTTTTAGAAACTCAACACTAAGGTCAATAGTAGTTAGAAGTATAAAGTACTGTCTAAATCCCGATTCACTGCCTACGTGAAATCATATATAATGTTGTATGTAGGATATATTTGTGTAGAAAATTTAATTCGATATAAAGTTCAAGTTAAATATAAAGAGGGTAGGCATACATAAAATAAATGAGTTACTTTATTCATTCATACATTATAAGATAGCAAACACAAAACACACAATACCAAAAAAAAAATTAACAATATTAATATAGTCGCACAACATTTTGAAATTATTTTAATCATAAATATATTTAAAAACAATAAAGCATACGTCTATAAAAAATACTGGCACAAGCACAGAAACAAAAGTTACACACAGGATTTGCAAAGTACTACTGAAAGTGCTGTTATTTCGCAAGAATATCTCATGCATAGGCCACGAAATACAACGCTCAGCAAATAAATAATAATAATAAATTAATTGAAACAATGTAGAAAATATATATGAAATTAATTTAAAATGCTAAGTGCATTTTAAATTACTATATAATAAATTAATTAATGGCAATAACTTGAACTTTTTTTATCATAAATATACTAAAAGAATACTTTATTATATAAATAATTTAGAGGCACAGGCATAAGTCGCACAGAAGATTGCCTACTACAATAGATAGTGCTGTTATTTTGCATAAGTAATATATCATGCATAGGCCGTGAAATACAACGCACAGCAAATAATAATAGTAAATTAAAACAATGTAGTAAAATATATGAATTTAATATAATTTAAAATGCTAAATGCATTTTAAATTACTATATAATAAATCAATTAATGGCAATAACTTGAACTTTCTGTATCATAAATATTCTAAAAAAGTACTTTATTAAATATATACAAATTTATAGACACATGCATAGGTCGCAAATAGGATTACCAAATACAATAAAGTGCTGTTATTTTACAAGTGTAATATGTCATGCATAGGCCACAAATTACAACGCTCAGCAAATAATTAATAGTAGCAAATACTCTAAAACGATGAAGAAATATATATGAATTTAAAATGACAAGTGCATTTTAAATGTTTTTATTATAATATAAATGAATGAATGGCAACAATTTGAATTTCTTTTATGTAAATATGCTAAATAAGTACTTTATTAAATATACAAATATAGAGGCACATTCATAGGTCGCACACAGTATATATCATGCATAGGCCATAAATTATAACGCTCAGCAAATAATTAATAATAATAAATTAAAATAATGTAGAAAAATATATGAATTTAATATAATTTAAAATGGTAAGTGCACTTTAAATTACTATATAATAAATCAATTAATGGCAACAACTTGAATATTATTATCTAAAAAAAACCACATTAATTTTACAGGCACATGCATAGGTCACAGACAGAATGCCAAATACAATCGAAAGTGCTGTTATTTTGCGTGCATAAAATACAACGCTCAGCAAATAATTAATAATAGTCATTAACTTTAGCAAACCGTTGTCGAGAAATTAATTATAGAATTTACATAGCACGTAATTAATCAAAAACTGGTATTTATTTTTGCCTTAGGAAAATAAAATCAAATTAACCCAAAATAATAATAAATTAATAATAAGTAATACTGTAAAAAGCAGATATGTGAACAAACTTGAAAACTTAAGCGCAAAATTTTGCTATTGTGTCAAGCTGTGTCGCAAATATAATAGATTCGACATTGCAATGAAGGTAAAGGCCAGTTTTTAATGGTACATATACATTATTTTTATTCGAATATTAATTTACAATTTGGACTGTTATATGTGAGCCTTCTGTTACTCCTATTTATTGGTTTTCTTTAGATTATTTTCTTTCAACCGATAGCTACTAGTAAATGTTCACTACATAGGTATAAGCCGGGGCGGAGAAATAAATTATTGAACAATGATGTTGTCTGGCTTAACAATTACGTTAATGATTTGCGCGAAGTTAATTACCAGGTAATAATAGGTACTTCATGATAATTATAACAAATTCGCGGCCCATAATCAAGATCTATTTTATATTTATCTAGGTAAATATCTATACTCGTAAACAAAAAAGTCACTCGCATAAACTATTTTGGTTATTGACACAATAACATAATGATTTTTCCTATTCTCAAAAAGTTTCATATATTTAGAACAGTGAAGATTGCATATTTTAAGGCGATGAGGTTAAATATAAAGCAGCAATAGACTAATAGTATAATTAGCGCGTGCTCTTGGATAAATGAAATTATATTAAAAGGACAATATTTTGAATAAATTACAAAACAGTTACCCCTATTGCGCCGTTATTTCCCAGAAAACGTTTTTGTGTTCCGTCCACTTGACAGGCCAGCGAGTTCAGTAAATATATGGCAATTCTTTGCACAAATCCTTCCTGGTTTAAATCGGCGACACCGCTCAACAATATTTGCACCACACGCTCATACTCAAACATCTACAATAATAAATTATTATATCATGAATTAATAGGAGGCAGACTTTGTAAAAAGTCGTCTACGTGACGTTGCTGTACTACGTGTTAAGCTGTGTTTCGGTTGAAGGGCAGATATGGCAGTGAAATTATAGGGTATGGAGACACCTTAGGCCTCCAGGATATATGAGAACAGACGAGCGATATTATCAGCACCACATAATGACGTGATATGCAGGACCCGCCATATATATAGACGAAGCTTGCCACTCACCAGCTTGGCTGACAACTGTCAATAACTTTGTCGTTACAAATACTAAAAATATTATTACAAAAAGAATTCCAATAATAGTCCGAGCATCCATCGGGGAGTGTAGAACTTATATTCACGACTTCATCTGCGCAATACATCTTCTTCCACATCTTTGGATCCTGTAAGCTACCAAGGTTTGGTACAAATAGAAGTTTATGAACTAGACTATTTAAAATTAGTTATTCAGGAGTACTGGCGACGATTAAGATCAATCAATCAATAGTTTCACTAAAAATATCATAATAGCGAACTTGTTCCAGACACTTAGCAACAATAATACTTACCACGTCTGTCGGAATCTTAAACTGACAGAGAGTTAGACAACCATTTCTCATCATTGTGTCATCTCCAAGATGAGCTTCCATCCCGTCAAGTAAAGCAGTTATGATGCGCCTCTTCAGCTTAATGCCAATTCTATCTTTTTCTTTCCCCTTCACTATGTAGAATAGTGTAGCACTATAAAATATCACATATGTTTAAATGAAAAAGGTCTTACAATTTTTATAACATTGAACGATGTAATGGATGTAAAATATGAAACTTAAACCAAAATTTTGTGATCATAGAATAGCCAATATTACGATGTAGCCGATTATATTATAAAATATCAATGAATAGAGATCTTTTGTCGTCATAAACACCAGATGGAGTAACCTTAGAATTATTTAACCATATTATAAACTGTAATACAAAGGCATGCTAAGGTCACGTCCTGAAATAGTCTTATTATTCGCAATGGCTAATGGCGCCAATAGCCTTATTTACCTGCACGTTGACATGCTGTCAATGCGACGCTGTAAACAGCGGCAAACAATAGCGGCTGTCTAAACCGATAATAATGTGGTAATTGAGATAGAAAGTGCAGTGAAACATAAATAATAAGTTTCTAATAACTATAATTTTCAATATTAATTATATATTGTAGATTTTCGTGTACTGTGACATTACCATTGACATATTTAGTACTAGTGAATATTATTTGATTGAGTGCTAATTTAAACCAGTTTAGTACGACATTGACTTCCTTCGAGTAGGCTGACCCCTCTATTGTTGATTGTTATCTATCTAGATAGCATCTAGATCACTAACGCGCAACAACTAATAGCACATGACAACAAAAATTGGGCATTCAGTTTGTTTGTCATTCCAATTACATGGAAATAAATAAGAATTTGACAATTTTATCAAACTGCCAAAAAGATCAACAAATCTATTTTAATTACTTTTCTTTATACAGTAGTACATAAAATTGTATTGTATAATAATTAATAGAATAATTAATATTACCTTCCAGAAATTTGGATGTGCTTTTCCAGCACATGTTGATCCATAGCATCTAATACAACGCAAAGAGCTCGGCCTACATAGGCATTGTTCTCGTAACGGAACAAGTAATAAAGATCATTGAGAACACGAGCTAACATTGCTGGTCTTTCCCTGTAAGCTACAGCTGCAGTCAGTATCTGTTCTTCATTGGCATCGCCGGAAATCTTAAATAGAAAAGTAAGAATATTGTCTCTTATAAAACTGTATTTAAGGGGTTATATCCACTTGTAATTTAAAAAGAATAGTTCTTTTTTCTTTCCATTTTTCGAACGTACATATATTTGAGAATATTTTCCGAAACTTTGAAGCAGATCCGATAAAAAGTCTCGGAGATATGAGCGTATTAGTAAGGACGTCTCCGAGCGTTCGGAAGTGGGCGAGGTGCATGCCGGAATATTATCTTACGTTTTTATTTATTTGGGAGTTATATTATGTTTGGAACCCTAAAATAAGAATACAAAAGGTGCATTATATGACCTGAAAGCCATATTTAGAAATTTTAGGTTGAAGATAAGTTAATTTCGTCAGTTGAATGTGATCTTCCACGTAGTCAAGTTGCTAGCTGCATATATTGCAGCCGGTTTGTTCAATGAAGGTAAAAGGTCCTTTAGTATATTAGTGCATTGGGATCGCTTGGACCTAACGCTCAGTCTTACGTGAGAATAGAGAACGTAGAACGGATCTCGATTTCGGACGCAAGAGCGCAAAGATGCATGCGCGAGGGGAGAATGTCTTTTAGACAACAACAGTTGTCTATTTTAGAGACAAACGAGGAAGCAGAGAGTTCCTGTTATAGTCCTGGATTAGAAAACCCTATGTAAGTTGGAAACAAATTACTTAATGTAAATGGTTCTCAAAACTTTGAACGCGTTATTCGATCGAAACGCTGTTCTCAGAGTCGGTGAGGAAAATAAATTGAAACGGCTGAACAGACCAGCTTGAAATTTTCACACGACCTTCTTAGATATATTTTACAGGTAATGGTCGAAGGAATAATTTGATTTATAAGCCACTTAAGTGCAAATTTTGTTTTGGGACGCACCATTTTGTCAAAAATCACAATTATCATTATTCCTTCCATCATTACTTGTAGTCATCTATCAAGATAAGTACTTTTTTTTGTTTTTGAGTTTCAGATAATTTGAAGGAGAAATATCTTCCTCACCGTCAGACAGCTTTTTTTGGAGGTCCCTCTATAGATCGGCTATAAAAACAGTGATCCAATATTTTTCAAAATGAATCCCTGGTTTATTAAAGTTCATTAAATTCTGTTTATGTACATATTTTCTATTAACTTAAAATAAAATGGCTCTTCAAAAAGAGTTCACAAAAAACGTATTTTATTCTGTCTTGCAAGTGGATATAACCCCTTAAAAGCAATTTGGCAAAAAGTGATTTGTTAAAATTTGTTGTAGATTCAAACTTTCCTCCGTAAGACTTATTATAAGTAGTCTGTTTTAAAAATTATTAGAGATAACTACTATATACAAAGATAATAATTTCTATTTTATATTTAAAGGAGATGTATAATAAAGATACATATACGTAGTCCAGTTAAATTGTATATGTAGGGTAAAGGAGGTTGTTTATGGTTGAATCTCATATTTAAGAAACTGTGAAATATCAAGCAAAATTTAAAAAAAGTATTCTTTGCAATAGGGTATGTAATGGATGTTAGAAATTGAATAAGTCTGTCTAAACTGTCTTAGTAGTTTGAAATGAAGGATATATTCCATAAGTAGGACATTATGTGCACATTCAAGAACAAATTTTAATGATAGAATGAATTAATAATAGAAAATATAACAACTACCATAAGTAGAAATGGTTGGTATGTAATGGGTATTGGAAAATGAAAAGGCTTGTAACTGTCTTAGTAGCTTAAATGAAGTATACATTCCATAAGTAGGAGATTATGTGCACATTCAAGAACAAATTTTAATGATACAATGAATTAATAATAGAAAATAAAAAAAACTACCATTAGTAGAAATGGTTGGTATGTAATGGGTATTGGAAATTGAAAAGGCTTGTAACTGTCTTAGTAGCTTAAATGAAGTATACATTCCATAAGTAGGAGATTATGTGCACATTCAAGAACAAATTTTAATGATACAATGAATTAATAATAGAAAATAAAAAAAACTACCATTAGTAGAAATGGTTGGTATGTAATGGGTATTGGAAATTGAAAAGGCTTGTAACTGTCTTAGTAGCTTAAATGAAGTATACATTCCATAAGTAGGAGATTATATGCACATTCAAGAACAAATTTTAATGATAGAATGAATTAATAACAGAAAATACAAAAAACTACCATTAGTAGAAATGATTAGTATGTAATGGATGTTGGAAATTGAAAAGGCTTGTAACTGTCTTAGTAGCTTAAATGAAGTATACATTCCATAAGTAAGACATTATGTGCACATTCCAGAACCAATTTTAATGATAGAATGAAGTAATAATAGAAAATATAAAAACTACCATTAGTAGAAATGTTTAAGTTTAATGGCAAACTTTATTTATATATGTTATGTACAACGCCATCTAGCAAGCAGTAGACAAACTGTAAAAATCAATTTTATGAACAAGAATAGGTACTTCACAATTATATTGATAATTGTGAAATACTTATTCCTTAAACCTCCCCCCCTGCAGAATTGCAGCTGTTGTTCACTAGGTTTTATAATATAGAAACCTTAAACATTCCAGAAGATTTCAAATGGAAGGAATGGAAAAAATGGAATGGAAGGAATTTACATAGAAACCCATTTGCCATTTGCAAACTACCTTTGCATTGTTTACTTTGTTTGTTGATAGATAGGTAGAATAGGCTTTCATATGCATTATACATTTCATATAAGGGGTACTGAAAGTATTTCTTTAAATCTTTGTTGTAAGATAATAGATAGCAATAATATTCTAAATACATATATTACATATGAATCCTAAGATTTATGATTAATTTTTATAAAGTTGTACTCAGTTAAAATTTTCTATGATTTAGTACAACAGCCTACATATTTTGTTACAGTATAAAAAACTGGGAAAGAAGTGTATCTTGCCCAAGTACACTCACAATATCCTCATCATAAAGTAGATAGTTGAAAACGAGTCTGATCCCCATTGGAATATCAGATATGACAGTATGTTATGTTTGTTAAAATGGAATAATGAAGATGTAAGAAGTTACATAAGCAGTAATAATACCTGTAACTCAGTTTTTACAAACATTATTCGTAATTTAGGAGAAAGCACACAACTACTAAAATCTATATTTTCTTTTATCAATAAATCAATTTTATTTTATTAATAATATTTGAGAACTACCCTCAAATTAATTATAATTACAAAAGATTATTCCATTCTGCAGAACCACCTATCCATGAGGTTTCTTTAAATTGCATTATTCTGCATTAATGTGTGCTTTATTTTCTTACTAACAAAAGATTTTTCAAAGATTTTAGCAAATCTAACACCATGATGAAAAGTTTTATATTAAAAATGCTTCTACATTATACCTGTTTCTTAGAAGAAAAAATATCGTATAACTGTATTGTAAAATACAGCAATGTCCAATAAGCAGTTTAGGTGTGAAGTAAAACACTTTAATTTTTTTATATTAATTAGAATTAGAATAATACTAAATTTAGCAATCATATACACACTTACCACTTTGGCAGGAATGTCATGCCTCTTACAAGCACCATGATGGGTACCATAGAGACCAAGAAACTCCAAAGGTCTGTGGACCCGACTCACAAGACCAGGTATATCACAACACTCATGAGCCCTGCTGTGTCCAGAGTGATCCCTTGAAACAGCTGCTGCTCCAGATCCAGCCAAATTTGTTCCCGATATATCTAATGACTCCAACAGTGGCAGACTAGTCACTAACTTTGACAAAACATCATTCGGGCAAAAATATTTGCCCTGTCTCTCATTAGCCTGAGATATATCCAAGTGTTGCAATGTTTGCAAGGTGGTTATCCAAACTATTACATCTTTTGACCAATGCACGCTGTACAATATCAGTGACTTTAAATTCTTTAGTTCATTTATAGCCAATATTGAAGTATTTGAACTACAATCAGATAAATCCAAATGAGTTAAATTAGGCAAGGATTTTAGGAGGAGCCTTGGAACAATGGCCAACCCTCGACGTTGAATCGTGAGTTTTCTGAGTTTTGGGGCATTTATTATGTATCCTCTCTGCCTAAACAGGCTTTCATTCTGTGCTGATAGCACATTTGTAAGTGGACCAAATTTCAGTGACACTAAATTTTGGCTGTTAGCATTTATGATGTCTAAGGAAGCTGGCAAGAGATATTCACATTGCACCAATTCCACCTCGTAAGGCTTATGCTTCATAAAAATGCGTAGACCATCATCAGTGATGCGAGAGTTGCGCAGTTTGACAGTGTCCAATCTTGTACGTTCACGGTCACGGAACAAATTGGCAATATTGTCACTGATGCGACTATTTTTTTGATAAGCTGCTAGAAATTTTTCACATATTTCCGCAGGTAGTAAGATGTCGTCTTTGAGTTTGCGCGATCGACTGGAAGCATCTACTTTCGTAATAGTATTCAAATTGTCGACTATGAACGACATAGTTATGTCGAACAATGAAGCAGGACTGCTATCGTACAAAGAAAAAACTTCCTTGTCGGACGCCATTCTGAAGCGCACACAGATTTTACAAAATTTTAAAATGTAGAAAATAGAAAGGCCGTCACTGAGAACACCATTTCTGTACTGTCTCTGTTACACTATAGTCAAAATAATATTACACTTTAATCCACAAAAAGTACTGTCACCTTCACTTCCAATAAACAAGATATTAAATAAACAGATAAAAATACAATGGAAATACGGAAATAAGAATTTCGCACAACGCAACAAGAGACGATTTTTTCTTCTCTATGCGGTAGCTGCTGGTAATTGGTAATAGCCGTACTCTCTCCTAGAGCGCCACAGATGAAATAATAATTCCCGAAAGGTGCACATAGTAGACAATGCCTCAGACCAGTGTTGCCCGATCAGTACATTGCTTTCCACAAAATTTTGTGAAAAGCTACCGTAAAATTCAGATTCAGAACAATAATCACTCGAAACCCGACGCAACAAAATTAAATTCTGTATTAAAAGAATCCTGTAAATTAAGTCCGTGTCAGAACTAATAACATAGGGTACGTAACATAACCAGTTTTAACAATAAGATATAATGTTGTTCTTAAAATTTGGGAGAATTTTTGCAATCTGGCATCACCTTAGACGGCATAGTGTTGTCTCTGTCAGTATACGTTCGGAAATATAATAGAATTCAGGAAAATAACAATATTGTGGGCATATAATATTAACATTTTAAATAACATTACAGTATACATATAACATTACATTTTGATTTTACAAATTTGATTTTAATTCACAGAATAAAAATAAAACAAGATGTACGTAATTCATACTAATATATAATGTAATATACATATATACAACGGAGACATGCCATGGCAGTCCTCTGGGATTGCAACGCATAAGATATACCTAACTACCACGCACATCACATTACTAACGGTACCTATACTCTGGCGGAGCGCCAATGGAGGATGATAAGATGAGCATGAGGTCAGGTCAGTTAGCCCATCGTGACAAATTCACAAAGACTTTATCACGTTGGTTTCCAGGGGGAACCGCGTGAAGGTCAACCTAATATGGTTTATTTAGTTAGTAATAAGATCATCAGTCCACATTACTAACAATCCGTTCCCCCCAGTCTTACTTACTTTTTACAGAGTTTATAGTTTCTGCGTGTCGAGTCGGCTAATTATCGTCTATTTTTTTTTGATTCGGGGATATTTCCTTTAGGACTTTGCAAATGCAATACTACTAATTAATTTCATATTAAGAGAGTATTTTAGGCATGGTCAACTATAGGACATACTACTACGTACTACATAATGTCATTCCAAAGAATTTACAAATCATATCTAGACGTTAAACAAACAAAAATACAAAAGGGAAAGCAGGCAACTTGTATGTAAGTGACCACATGAAAATCTAATGAAAACTTTTGATAACCAGTTATATAGCTAAAATACTGCTATAGACTACTCGCCCCGGCTATGGGCTATATTCAATGAAAAAAATAAACTTTCTTGCATGAAATATCCTTTTCGATTTAGCTTTCTTTTATGACTTTACAAATTGCTTTGAAATGTGAATTAAGTTCTTCTTTTATTAAAACTAAGATATCTCCTAAAGTATTCGTTGAAATCAAATGATGTAAAGAACAATTGTGTTTAAAATTAAATGCTTACAATAAATAACGTTATTTGAATAAGAATTAATATCATGTTTATAAAATAGCTTCATTACATATTCTAGTATAAAACAAAGTCGTTGTCGTTGTCTGTCCGTCCCTATGTATGCTTAAATCTTTAAAACTACGCAACGGATTTTGAAGTGTTTTTTTTAATAGATAGAGTGGTTCTAGAGGAAGGTTTATATGTATAAAACATGTGCACCCGGTCGAAACGGGGGCGAGTAGCTTGTAGTTGCAAATAATACACTATTTTACAAGAAATTTCATTATCATAAAATTAGTTGTAGCGACTTAATCTTAAAAGATAGACATATGTTGTTGTGGACTTTTTTTTAGAACTTTTAAAGGAGAACAATTCCGTCATACATATGTCTTTTATTAACTTTAATCGTTTACGCAGCACACGCAGTGATTGTAGGTACTTAAATCAATATTAATAGCCGATAGTAACGGAACAGCAAAAAAATGTGTTTCATGCTCATTTCATTGCTTTTCCGTTCCTATCGGCTATACCGTGTTGTTATATAGCCTATAGCATTTGAGGATAATATACCTTTCTAACAGAAATTTTAAAATTGGATCAGCAGAACCGGAGGTTACCCCGAACAAACAAGCATACAAACTTTACCTCTTTATCATATTAGTATAGATATGGTCTCTTATTATAAATGTATTTTATGTACCTTTGGATGAGTTGAAATCTCATTCTGACTAGATACTTATTTCATGTATGCCTATAGTCTATGAGTGGTTAGTGATTGATTATTCAATTTTTCTACTAACAATTCACATTTAAAACAGATTATAAACTTCATTTTATTATAATTTTGCAGTAGCAATAGCGAATGGTTGGGTTTGTACCTCTTAGCTACAATTCTAAAATGGTTTATAAAAACATATTAATTTTAATCTGTTGCATTGAAGAGATTCTTCAACTTATGTGATCTAAATTAAATATGTAACGACAATGATGAAAATTTAATTTAAATTAAAGTGAAATATGACTCTAAACATTACGGCATTATTTCCTAGAGGATACGAAATTATAAATAGCAGCAGCAGCAACAGCGCAAATATACCTATCAATAATCATTTCATATAATCATAATCAATAATCGATGAAGGGTAATTTCATCTACGTACAGATGAAATTTAACAGTTGGTATTGATCCTAACAATACCTTAGAACACTCTCAGTTATGTACAGAGATGCAATGTCGCGCCGCAAAGCCAATGAATCGAGTCTGTCACAAAGATGTTGTTTACCAACGATTCTGGCTGCTCGCTTCTGAATACAGTTAAATGGAAGTAGCTGATACTGTAGTATTCCCGCCCAGAGATTAGAATAGCAATCCTTACGCGGGCTGATCTGTACCTTGTATAATTGCAAGCGATGGAAGGACCGCTATGAAATACTGTCTCACTCTACTGAGCACCTCTACATTTATTAGACTGTTTTAGCCCCTGTCCTCGAAATGACAGCAAAACCAAACGTCACTGAATATATAACTGAATGAATATAACAACACCAAGGACCTCAAGATTAAGCTTCATATCAAGAAGAGAGTCTTGAAACTGAGATGTAACACTTTGAGTCTTTTTAGCAGTAACTGCGCAAACTTGTGTCTCTTTGGTGATGATGGAGTGAAGTTTCTGTTTCAGATACAAGTTTGTTCCGAAAATCTATAGCTTTTGCCTGAATATATTAGCATCTATCATCATGTGACCCTCGTAATACGACCCTTGTATTCTACTGTGTTCTATTCTGGAGGACTAAGATATGTCCTTTATACTGTAGTTTTACTGCTTTATCTCATCCTTAAATAGAAACATAGTTTAGACGGTGCTTGGCGGCTAAAGTATATAGCTAGAGGTAACCACAGCGACCATTTTTTATAAAGTCCGCCTCGGTAATATTTAAACAAAAAACAAAAGATGAAATAAAAGGAAACTGTTGCTTTAGAGGAGCGTGTCCGCGCATGAAAATTACAGTGTAGGTATTCTTCAGTATTTTTTTCAGAGAACTTGTGTCTCCCCCTCCCTCAAGCACGATAGCAACCTTAACACAAAATTTTACCGTAAATATTTACGTTCCCCTCTACTTGCGTTCTTTATTATTACAGTAAATATACCTAAATAAATTTTGTTCCGTTATTCTGAAAATTCATTATAATTCTAAAATTTTGTAACTAACTCTTTTTTTAAATTCCTTATATGTCCGATTAAAAATTGTGCTCTTGTAATCTGCATTATCAAGCCGACCGCCACACTGTCCCTCCTAGAAACCATCGTGACATGAACGAAATTTATGATGACGATGTTGGTTTCTCGTGATATTATCCTTCCCTTTAAGTCCCTTTCCCAAGTTAAAAAAATAATGCTATATCCTCACGTAAGCATAAGTTATTATTTAACTTACATGATGAAAATGATGAGCTTCATAGGGATGGGAAATAATAAACCAAGTTAAATTGTTTATTAATCTTATGATATAGTCGTTTATTTTATGTAATGTAATAAATCTATTTATATACATCGATTTATATTATATTAGTAATGTTATTCGTCAATATAAATTATTCTAATAAAACATTAACTACTAAATAATATTTGGTATGTGTATTCAATCATTAACAGCCTGTGATATAAAATATTCTATAATAATTTTGATTTCTAACGTTAGACGGTTGATTATATCGCTGGTCACACATTCATTCATATGATAACACTTACAAAACTCCTAGACACACCGCTTCTTAATATTATATAATTGCTACAACATTTTGTGCCTTATGGACATGGAAACACAAGTCTCGACGAACCACGAGTAGGATTATCAATCTTTTGGATGCATACTGAATGTGCTAACTAGAACTCCTATTTACATCAAGAACCTAAAATCAATAGGAAAAGATTATGAAAGATAACTATGCACCCGACCGAATCAGAAGACACTCTGCCTTAGTCTAGATTAGAGGCAGTTATATTTCCTAAGATGAAGCACTCAGTTCGATGGCGTCAACATTTTGTGACACCAGATACTTAAAATTTCACTGCGGTGACGCATTTAAATCTCGCAGACGTAAGTGGTCGCTAAGCGGATGGACTGGTTCATCGCTTGTTCGGTCGTCTGGCCATTTTACGACTACGTTGGAACCCGCTGATGGCAGCGTTACAGGTGGCTCAACAAGCACAGGTAATCCGCCTTCACGCTCTGGCAATATATGACCGACCAGAGCACCGACACGTCGATACTGGAGTTGTGGAACTGGCGGAATCAATTCACGATCCACTGCTTCATGAGGTAACACTCGTAAACTGGTGCCAACGTGCGCCACCACTATTAAAGGCGGATTATCTTTCTGTGGTACGATGTCGTTCAGTGCCCGCATGTTCAACACAGGAGCTACCGTCTGTGGTGCTACGCATGTTGATACTCCACTGATACGTGCATTTAAGTTATCCAAAACTTTAATGAGCTCATATAAACGCTCACTGCATAGAACAGGATTATCTGGAATAGAATAGTGTGTGACATTATTAAAGTCCTACATTACTCTATCTAATTAAATTAAAACTTTATTATAGGAAATATTTTTCGCAATCGCTAAATATCATGTTTTCGCTTTGCAAGGATTTACCTACCAGACATTTGAAGTTACTCAATAAGTATCGATCTCTATACTTCTTATACCATTAATAGCATCTTTGAAATATTACAAATAAAACTATTTGTAATGTTTGCGCACAAGCTCGAAGGTAATAAATATATAAGTATAAAAAAAATATAAAGAAACTGACCCCATAAACATATTCTCCATGGAACGGTAACTACGTTCTGATAATACATTTGAAATATCGTACAAAAGAACGTATTGGATTGTATTTATTTGGAAGCTAAGATGTCACATTCAGATGTATCTCACAGCGAAGTCATCGTTCTTTTGCATCAGAATTTCAAACACCGGGCACATTAAAATTAAATAGTTATTTTCTAAATTTTAATTAAATTATTTCACAGAATGATATTTTAGCATCAGCTCCATCCTCAATACAATAAATACATTAATAATATTATCATGCAAACCCACCTTGGAGATATATTTTCAATATACTGGGTACTCCATTTATAACACAGCGAGATTTTGAAACGAGATCGTAATTAACAGACTGTATTTGATTGTAAGACAAATCAGCTAGACATAATGATGGCAGCCCGTGGAAATCTTTATGTAATGTAGTAATATTATTGTGATGTGCTATTAGTTCCTCAAGAGATGGTAAAAATGTCTGAAACCAATAATTTGTTTTACACTAATGACTAATAAAATTTAGTTTACAATTTTATGATACAAGCATCTCGCTATGGCAGAAACATATTAGTGAGCTCGCTAAGCTTGCAATAAATATAAAACACCGCAAATATAATCATAGATAAAAACTGACGCATTTAGCATTATTCAAACAAACCTTGGAAGTTTCTTCTAAAGATGTAATTTGGTTATGAGATACGTCAAGTAGTTTTAAGTCTTCCAGACCAATCAGATCATCAGGACATACTTGTTGGATTTGATTATTACTCAGGTTTAATCTGAGAAGTCCATGAAGGCCCATCAAAGCTCCTCCTAAATTCGTCAAATGATTGTGATCGAGGCGCAATTCCAAAACGCGGGTTTCAACATCCACAAGGTTCTTAAAAATATACAAACATTATTCTCTTGTATTTGAAATTATTAAGCATCCAATGTTTAAACATTTATGGAACTTACCTCCATATTTCCAGTAATGTGGCTAATTTTATTATGAGACAAATCGATTACTGAAAGTCGTTTTAAACCTTTGATTTCTTGCAATGAAAATTCAGTTAAATAATTATGCGTTAAATTTAAATATCTTAAAGATTTTAAGCTTCTAAGTGACCCATTTAAAATCTTTAAATGATTATAAGCTATATCTAGATATGCCAATTTTTCTGCTTCTGTAAATTCATCCTCAGATAACTGTAAATAAATTTAATAAATTATGCCATATTCAATTTTAAAATAATTTTATGTTATGATATTAATTCATCGTAAGAAATCTTATATTGTTAGTTTAAGTACCTATATGTTAAATGTCAATATTTTTATTTTGCATATTTATGGCTATTCTATAAGAACTATGTATGTTATATATATTATATAGGTGCATTATTTAACTTTTATTTGAAAAGTTAAATAATTGAAGCTTAAGCAGCTGAGACTGTTTTCGAAAGGTGACAATAATAGAATCATCAACGAATTATTATGATGTTCAAAATGATAAAGTTACGGACTATGAAACGTGCCCATGTTAGCTAGACGAACTATTAAGATGGAACCCTAAGTTGAACCAACCTAAAAATTTCGTTTAAAGTATGTATGTCTGATATAAAGTCGGGCAATTGTCAACCCACTATTTATTTAAAGAGGACAAAGGAGGTGTTTTTGTATTTTGGCCAATTGAAACTATAGACTTTTCGCATTTAGTACACATTATTAATATAGTTATATGGGTTTTAACACGAATAATTATGATAAATTAATTGAAGTCTCTCAACGTCAACTTGAGTGAGCTCGTGAACACGACTAGTGCAATCTAGTCGAAACGTCGATTACCATAAAATTATTCAACATTTAACAAGTTTCTTGCTCATTCTTCTTGTGATGAATCTGCGTTCCGAATGAGTGGTAGAATAAATAATACGACTATTGAAAAGTACTTACATATAATGAGTTTATTTGTGTAAAGATTATTTCTTTTTGTACTCGCGTTAAAATCCGTTTAACTATTTTAATGAAGAAACTTTTGAGTTTTCCAATCTTATTTAAAAACATTGTTATACGATGAATATAAGAGTGAAAGTTATTATGTGTTACTGAAGTTTGTATCAATAAGCAGGAAATAAGCCATAATAATACTGTCATAAAAGTAAATATAATACCCAGCCAACCTATTTACCGGGGTAGCCACCAAATACTTGAACCTTTCGTAATTAGGTCAGGGTGAAGCGATTTGCAAAACAGACGTAAGGAAAGTTTAGTCAGACCACGTAACAGGAGGCAAATCTCCCTATTTTATTCTATAAATAAATAATAATATTTAATTATATTGTACATGTGGAATTAGAACATTCAAAAACACATGCGTATTCCTATCTGAACAAGGTCTATCAAAAAGATAGACGAACTAATTAAAATATATCATTTGCTGCAAAATATGAGGGAATTTCAGGCGATTATCCAAACTTAAGAAAATGCTTATGATTTATATTTACCTAACATTCCTTTTGTAGCGATATATATAAGCCCAGAATAAATTAAATAATAGCTATTTCGAAACTACTTTTGTGTATTTTACATCACTTATAGTGATATACTACCATGGACAGTGAACTAAAATAAACTTACACTTTCTATCTTGTTAAATGATAAACCAAGAGTTAAAAGTCTTCTGGACTTTTGTAAAGCTCCATCCAACGATTTGATATTATTATCATAAAAATAAAGTGTTTCCAAGGAAGGCATTTGTTTTAAGTCTTTCGGCAAGTTTTGCAATTCATTGTGAGCAGCATGAATGAGCACAATCTTTTTGGCTTTCTGTAAAAAAGGTTTTATTTGTAATAGATCCAATACTGAAAACATCAGTGTAGTATAATTGCATAGAATAAAAACTAAGTAGGTATAATAGGAAAGGACAACATTATTCCAATTCTTATTAATGAGTAACAAAAAAATAAAATGATAAATATTTTTATTGTTACTTACTATTGGCAGTTCATTGTCTATAGACTTGAGATTATTCAAATTAATGAATATCCACACCAAGTCGTCTAAGTCCCTCAGTGTGCCATTCAAAGTACTCAGCTTATTAATACCGAAATGCACATGTTTCACTGCCTTGGGGACAGCTTCTCGCTCAATTTTAGATATTCCATTATCAGCCACTAGCAAAGTCTTTACTTCTTCTTTTATATCCTGAAAAAAAATTCTAGAGTTATAATTATGTACCAAACTGCAATCTACATTTATATTTATTAGTATTTCCTTGTTCTTAGTGTTTGATTGATATTAAAAAATTGTGATAAGTTTATATATCTAAAAGAACTTCAAACAGTATCCTTAAGGAAGTCTGGAAGCCCTAAGTATGTCTACTTGTTACAAGTGTATTTTCGATGTTGTTTTCACCATATCGTTGACGTCTAAAATGCCTCTACCTATTCTATCTAAAATAACATTAGTGATATTTCTCTTATTTATTTGATTATGTAATAAAGGTCAATTGAATAAAATATATTGTATTATAAAAAAACTAATTAAAATATCTGTATTAAAGTATCCATAAATTCCAAATTGTCTGGCTATAATAGTTAAAGAAATATTGTTTGAGATCGACTTATAATAATTAATACTAAAATAATACTTCTCTTTTCGAGACCCAATACTCAGTACAACAGGTAATATAAAAAAATAAGTAAAAATAAACTCACCCTAAAATCTTCAACAGTTAGTTTCGTTATTTTATTCCTACAGAGATCGAGAGTTTTTACATGAGGTAGATGACGAAGTATATGCCGCGGCATCTCTGTGAGCGAGTTATCTGCTAAACTAAAATAATCCACTAAGTCCAGTTTTGAGAAAACGCTTTCTTTTAATTCGCTGAAAAATAAAAAGTAAATTTGTTACTGTGTGATAATATAGGAAAATAAAATAAAAACTATTACAAAACTTAACTATACTAGATGTGTTCCGAAAGAGTTTTATGTGTCTTGGTAATATTTGTAAGTTTGTATTATTTAGAAATCTACATGAATAGAAGTAAAAAGAGTACAGACCTCAATGGAACGAAATGTAGATTTTTTTGACCGCTAACCTTAATTAATGATTTCTTTTATTTGTGCCTCCGGTATGAAATAGATTATTATAATTTTTTACACATTTAATGTATGTTCCCTATATATGTAGATTCAAAAGTATTAGCAAATATTTCCATAATTTTAAACTATCATCTAATTAACCACACTAAACTAACGACAATCTTATATAATAATATGAATAGATTCAAGAAAACGATCTTTAAACCTAAATAATTGTCATATATCGTAGTAGTGATTATTTTTATCACCGTAGATTTGTAAACCACTGAAAGTCAACACATGTCATAAACGTACACGTCAATTAAATTACAACTTCCAACTACTACAACTAAAATATAATCCTTCTGATGAATCATCGTACGACATGATAATTTGAGAATAATTTCATAATAATATATCGTCACGGTTGTCACAGATGGGGTAGTTAGAACAATTAACGGTCTACGTCATGATAAAACGCAACTTTACGGGGTACCTATACTTTAATGGAACCTACGGTCGTCTCTCAAATTAATATGGTTTGTGATTGGTGTTCCTCCATCGCGACAAACATTATGATCATCACATTGTAGGTACATCATCGGTCATACAGTCATTCAGAAATATAATTTCTTACAAAGTTTTGCGTCGGCCAGATTCGAATTATATTTATCTTGTAGTTTATTGAATTACGTTATCAGACCACCTAATAAGGTGTAATCACCGGTTACATATCAGTTGACACTGCTCAAGTGCAGTCAACCGAAGGGTAAAAATAATTCTTGAAATAAATATAACTTTTTATCTATGCGATGTAATACGAGACCCTATTGTATCAAATTTTATTTATAGTTTTCTTCTTTCAACTTTTAAGATAACTTATCTTATTTTATGGGATTTAATGAAACTTATACGCCTCGAATATAATATTCATGGATGTATCTACATATATATACACATATATACTTAATATTATCTAAGTTTGTATATTTGTTGTTTATATTTACATAATTAAATACCTACTGTCGATGCTATTTCGTAGCATACATATAAAGTATAATTCTTATACGCTTCTTATCTTCTCTATCTCTTATCATATTTACAATAAACAACAACTTTACGAGCCAGGGAAGAATAATGTTTGGGATCACTTGGTCTATATATAATTATTCTATATAGAAATAAAAACTACAGTAAAAATAACAAGAGTATATTATGATTTGGAAATTTAGTTACTGAAACAAGGCATCTATTTGATTTTATTAACTCAATTTCTTGTGTCAATATGATATAAAAATAATTAATTCCACTTATATAACAACCCTTCCCGTATTCAGCATGATCATCAATTTGCGACACCAATTCATTCAAGGGCTAGATTCAAAGAACAGTCGTGGTAAAGAATTATTTTATTCGAATTCGAGAAAGCTCTATCAAGACAAATTAATTGTACACATTATATATAATTAATTGTTTATTTTAAACCTTTTTCTGTATCTGGTGCAATAAAGTGCATAAATAAGTAAATAAAAAATAATAATGGGATATTTATTATTGATTAGGTTTTAATTGGCTTCCAATATTTCGATGTTGTTACAAGCATCTTGGTGATCACGGCTCTCAGACTTAAGGAATCGTCTAAGAATAACAAGCATCCTAATCATGTCATCAACTCAAAGATTTCAACATTTTATTCAATATAAGAATACGCTAAAACAAAAACAAATAAAGTCTTAAGTGGTAACATTTATAATTCATAATCATTGTGAGTAAGTCTCAGGACACATGTCTCTGCAGTCATATTTCGGGCTTCCCTCAACGTTTGGTGTTATCGCGATGACCGGGTCAATAGCTTGATCGCTAAGGGATTTTCCAATGAAAAGATAGGATCGACGTGCATCAAAATCGGTAGTAATGCATGTGGCGCGAGTTTAGTAAACACTAATGTGAGGGGGGTCAACGTTCCGGGGTTATCAGTGTAGGGGCGGCGCCAAACGGTCGCATGGTCGCTTGTCAGCCGTCGTCGCCACATCGGTCGCGGTGACGCCGAACATGCATTTGCCATGTCGCACTTGTGCATTCAACTTTATCTTCAGTCAATTAAAAATCCAGACACAATAAGTATATAAGCACAAAATATAAGTACATGTGCTGAGGTTTATACATTGGCTAAGGTCTGTAAAAGCTCTGTAGCTGAGACATAGGTTTTAGCTAAAACTATGACTTCTAGAATTAGCAAGCAACTCCCAAGTAATCGTCAGCAAACGCAGTTAGCCAAGTCGTTGAATAGCCTCAAATTATTAAAGTTTATTTCACCACGGCCGGAACAATACAATACAATTTTCTTTTCTTCTCGAAAGTGCACAAATCTAAAGATTGTAATAATAGTTAACGCAGCAAATTATATACCTTCTATTAGATAAAAGTATTCACATAAGTGCATATATATCCATGTATGAATTACACTTCATACAAATTTAAAAATTTTTGAAATGTATTTAATTAATTATCAATTTACAATCGACAACCAAATAAAATGGCAAATCTTCTTATGCAATTCTCATAAAAGTGAGTTAAACTCAGGCATAGGGGCGGGCATAAAAGTGAGAGTCAAATATCTGTGTCATATTAAATTATACTCCGACCTCTAATATCTTAGAGACAATAGCAACAAGATGACGATGAGGCGTAAACCTTCTCTAACGGCAGTCTGTTATAACTGACTTTTGACATGAATTTAAGGTTGGCATTTTGTATTGCATCGTATCGATGCACTACAAAATGCCAACCTCTTCAGTATAAAAGAAAATGCAATTATTTCTGCTGAGTTTCCTATAGTACAATTTTCAGTAGTGGTAAGTTCTGAAATTCCGCGCTAGCATTCATTGTTCAAGCGCTGTGGTTTTGTTGTTTGTTTGTTTAGTAGTTATTACATTTTAGACATTTTATTATCCACTAATTTCTGTACTTTTCTTTGTTTCTAAATTAGATTAGACACGGAGTTACGAAGAATCTATAAATATACTTTTAATACACCCGTAAATAGAATTTGTTTTAAAACTTATATTACAATCCCCTTTTCTTCTTTGAAACCTGTATTTAAATATCCATAAAATTAGAGAAATAATATTCAACATGGATGTGATAAAAATGTATTTTATTAACGAACTACTAATGTGATAATATTATAAAATCAGAACACTATTATTTTGATGAGTTTGAGTAATTTGTCAATAATATACAAATCTAATTTAAAAGATTTTAAAATAAAAAATGGATTACATTGTATGTATGTATAGTGGTTTAGGAAATGTAACTCGAATACGAAAAACCTCAACCACAAGTATAAATATTCTATGCCTTCCAAAATATGTATTATATGTATTATTCGAAATAACTGAACTACCGAGTAGTTATACTTTCTGGTGATCAAAAATTTGTATCCTTCTCATTTGTAAAGGTCCTCTCTTAACGCAACTTGGATAGATAAGTAAAGTAAGACCTCTCCTAACTTTTTAGAATCTGTTAATAACTACCTTTTGTACAATAGTACCTACATAAATTGAGGACCTAATTGATAAAAAAAAAGCTTATAACAATATATATTTTTATATTGATCTTTATACTCTGCTTTTGGTATAAAGAGTAATCTGGGAGCGTAAGTGGCTACGAGTTCGCTGCTCGTCCGACGAACGAATCGTAATTGATGTTCTCGCTTAGGCCAAAGGGTAATTAAATTACAAAACGAGACCAGCAAATACAATTAAACGAACCGCGCTAGGCTCGTCTCGGGAGCAAACTGGGCCTGTGCGCTTTTTTTGTCACATCACCATTAAATATGATTTAAAGTACGAATATACTAATATTTGACTTATATATATCGATTAAAGATGCATGTAAGAATATTGAACAATAAGATATTACTTTATTAGCAGAAATCTAACTTTAGTCATAGAAATCTCGTTTTATGGATGATAGTCAGATATTGAGGTGTTCTTACCGTTATTCTATTTTGCAATTTAGGTACCTTGAATTATATTAAAAAAGAAAAACAAAATATATATTATTAATATTCCTTCACTTGAAAAGCTTAAAATATGTATTTTGAAAGTTGACCTGTACCTATCCATTGAAATTAATCAAATTGCAAGTAAAGAAGCAGCTAAAGTTACACAAGTTGCTCTCTTAATACTAATCTGCATTAACTTTAAATTTGCATATTTCGGGGTTAAAACTTTTCTAGTTTATGTAAGGAAATAGCATCACCAACACCACGGACATCACTTTATCTTGTTATAATTTTTACATCTTTTTTTTGCGCCACGTGCGTTTCTTTTCTCCCGGAACGCAACGCACGTGCGTTGCGTTTCGGGAGAAAAGCAAGAAAACTGAACTGAACTGAAACGAGGTAGGTACCCACGCAGACAACTTTTAACAAAGTTTAGATTTAAGTAAATTTGTATATCCGAAATTTTTTATTCATTTTGCTTAATTTGTCATTTTGAATTGAGTAATAAATATATGTACAAAATATTAATACGTGCTTATTGACATGAACTACACCATATACAGTAAATGCTATAACTATAACAAAACTTAAAATTAGATTACTTATTATCAAATATAACAAACACTTGGTGCTGACAGTTAAAAACAATTTAAATGTGCGTATTCCTTATAAGTTTCCTTGAATAATATCGGCTTATCAAAAAGCATAAAGTCTCCGGAAAGACCCGAATTATCACTGTTCAATAACAATGACTGCTGAATGGCTACTAGGAACAATATTTATTCGGCGCTCATCATAAACTGTTTGCGAAATATACAGGAAACCTTTTAATAAAATCATAGTTTTTAATAGGACAATTAATAAAGTATATATCTTTCAAATACAACGAAAATGGAAGACATTTATTATCATATTCCCAGTTAACATCGAACAGTTTTATTAAATACGGGGCGGGAGATTGTTCAGACATGGCAGCGAAATAAAGGCTTCCAGGAAATGCGCCCGGAATATACATAGCTACAGAGGTAATATGCGCAGTATATATATGTAACAGTATGCGCGGTGCAATTATTGATTTTCGCAAAGTGCAACTTATCAAGTCAGCTCGAAGGTTATTTGCTATGTATGATGGAGAGAAATACATTATTTCTTGGGCAGACATTTTAACCTTAAAATAGGTTACTCCGGTTTGATTTTTCATAATACCGAGAAACCCAAAAATTAAATATAAGTACCATTCGTTAATGAAGACACTATAATTTTATGTGGAGTAGATAACTATTATTATTACTGAAGACAGTTATCAGTATAATAAAGGTTTGATAGATGAGTCATTTACAGAATAACTAATATCTTCATGTTCTAAATATATTTTCATAAAATAGTGAAGTGACAAGCGTCACTAAGACGTAAGTCACTCACTCATATACGTGGGACACTCAGAAAGTTTTGCGACACTAAAAAAAATATTCTATAGGGAAATATATTTTATTACGCATTTCCAAAGTACTCTCCACAAGCCTCTAGTTTCATGCGTCTGAACCAGTTTTCGAAACACTTTTCCAGTCTGCCGCAGACACCTCGTTTACAGCCTGCTCGAACGCTGAGAGCGCATCATCCGGAGACGAAAATTGTATCCCTTTTAGCAGATTTTTGGGAATAAGAAGAAGTCACACGGTGCTAGGTCAAGGCTGTAAGCAGGGTGATCCAGGAGTTTGGCCGCTGTGCTGTCTAGAAGTCCCTCGTTTTGATTGCGGTGTGGGCGGCTATTTTGATGGAGCAGTAGCTCGCAGAGCCCTGTGTTTGGTCGCTTGTTGCTCACAATAGAGAAAACGTCTTCGAAGCATTTGGTAGCATATCATTCTGTGTTAATACTTCTTTGATTTCGTTAAGGAATTGATACCAAGGAGCCAGTCATATTGAAAAAGCAACTTCAAATTTGTCTATCATATCATGGCACCATTCCACCCTTACCTGATTCTGAACATTGGTGAGGTTGTGCGGCACCCAGCGTGAAACTATCCTACGCACCCGTAGATGCACATGTAGAATCTCGTGAAGGCTTTCTGATCCAATCTGCAGTATATGCTGAATATCTTGGTATGTAACTCGTCTATTGTTTTTGGATCAAATTTTTCACTGCTAGCCCTCTTTCAAGAAGTGGTCGCCCTTTGACGGCTGTTATGAAACAGCCGTCAAAGAGCACTTCTTTCTTCATCCCCTAAAGTTTGTTGACCATGCTTAAATTCATTATACCAACGATACACGTTTGCTTTAGAAGGGCCTTCATCCATGAATGCCATTTGAAGGCTATCGTACAATTTGTCCCGTATCAGGCGACACTTAAAATCGTAAAAAATCATAGCAAAATTTTCTCGACGCAAATCTATTTTTCAAAGAGACACGGTATATTTAATTAGCTTACAAAAAATGTGGAGAAAAGTTTTGAATTCAGATCGTACCTATTTTTACTTATAAAGACCAAATATATTTTTTAATTAAATTAAAACTGGCTATATTCGCATTCGCATACATAAAAACTTTTTCTCGCAATACTTTCAGCCTCGGTGGTCTAGTGGATTAGCATACCGCAGTGGTCGCGGGTTCGATTCAAACCACGGGTGCAAACCACCGTGCTAGAAATCGAACCCGCGACCATCGGAAGTAAAGCGGTGTGCTAATCCACTAGACCACTGAGGCTGTCAATATACGTGTATCTACTCATCATACTCGTACTAACTCATTGTATACTGCATATAAATTATACTAAAATTGTTAATTATAATTACTAAATTATATTCACGCTACTTAAATGCCTAATAATCTTGTATTAAAAAAATTGCAAATGTATTAATATATTTTTTTAAAAAATTATTAAACTCTTTATCTTCATCAACAATTTATTTATTATTTAAAATTTCTGATATATGCGCTTTTTTGTCATAAATTAGAAGAAGAATTTTATAATTACATTAAAATTGGGACACAACAAAACAAAATTTCAAATCTCGTTTCATCCTATGAGGGGTGGGATATAATAAATTATTTTTTTATTTCGCGTCTCCTATATGCAATCGACTGTGTCTTAATTCTGAATCAATTTTGTCTCAACTATGATAAATCAGTGAGTCAAGACCTAATTGATTAATTTCCATTGCCTGGCGAAAGATACAGTAGTCGATCAGTCAATATTAGTATCTTTTATACCGAAATTCGAGGCATTATTAAATTTAAGATTGTAGATTACGTACACTGAATTTGCTGGCTTAACTTGTTCAAATGTTATGTTTAAAATGCTACTAAGAACAATAAAACCTTCATGTACTGTTGTAAAGAGAAACGTAGAGTCCAGTGAAATCTGACCGTAAATTGTTTGACGCTCCTAATATTTACGATTCTACTGTGACAATAATCGTTACGTTACCATTAATTTTGCATTCGGTCATTAATGATTGTAAATATCGATGCTTAACTTTGAATGAAAGAAGGGGAGACGTGGAAACAAGTCCTGAAGCAGTACACGACTCTGTTTTATTCGCGCCTTAAGATAGAAAGAATGCCATAACTCGCAAAAGTATCAGGTACTACCACATTCAATACATTGGTATGTAAGTGCAATGGTTGTCAATAAATGTTTTTCTTTCTTTATTGTTTTAAATATATCAAACACATACATATATAGAGATGACATAGTAGTATGATTTTATTAATGTAATACCTATTTTCAATTTTAACATCAAAACTAAATCCATATTCATCAGTGATGGTTGATGACCTAGGTATATTAATTGCATTAAGCTTATTCATGATCAATAGTAGACGTTTGCCACGGATTCACCTGCACTGTATTTCACGTTTGGTAGAAGAATTTAAAAAATCTTCTCTTTAGAAATATTGTTGTAAAATAAATGTATGTTTCAAATATCTTTATACCATCTAGCTACAATATAATTCGACTATTTAATCCTAGTAACAGAACCATGAGACTCTCTTAGATACAATATTTAGGTACTTCTTAATCTACAATTTATATATAAGTAAACAAGTTAAAGTAAAATATCAGAAAAGTATCTAGTACGTATCAAGTCCACAAATATCCACGACAAACAATGGTCCCTGTAATTTGTTAGTATACCATTAATGAGTAAATACTGTGTATACGACTACGGCCAATATGATATCATTCAATTTTATACTGCTTTAGAGGCGACCTCAGATAACCCGGGCACTATACGGACAACTATCGAGCAACGTCTCCTAGATGCCATCCCTATAACGATCTGCAGAACTCGCTAACAAAAGGTGGAAACCCAACTACTATGTAAATATCTAGTATTTTGCAACTTTCGTTTTCATAATGTTTGATCTATCACAAGTAAACGTACTATAGATGGAAAACTTTCATCTTCAGCAATTGTTGAAAGAGTATTTTGTATGAGTATAATATTACTAACCCAATAAAGTAATAGAAACAATAGAATGTCAATAACTGCGACTGAAATAGACTAAGATTTGAAAAAAATCTGCTATAACTATATTAGATAGTAGAAGAAGAAGCAACGAGCTTGGGATTTATGAAATACATTTACGTTCTTGAATAAAAATACAAAGGACAGGACTAAATACAATAACTGTCCCTGTTTAGGGTCTGCATAATGTTCATGCTTCGCAAGCTAAGGCTTTCATAATTGTGTTCATGATTCATCATCTCAATTACCTAATTAAACTCTGGGCTAACAGAAAGTATAAGGAAAAATATCTATAAATGTCGGACGTTTTCAAATATATGCTGCCTTGGAAATCTTGAAGGAGTAATTGAGTGGTCAATACGGGTCGAGCACACAGGTCAGGGGCAACTTAATTGTTAGTTATGAGAAATAAATCTGCCAAAAATGATAATTATGATCATATTATAATTCTCTAACATTATACTGAACAGTAACTAGACGGGCAAATACAAGGAACACGGACTCGTATCCACATTCCTCATGTTTGCATTAATTGTAATTATGACACTGATAAGAACCATTTCAATAATAAGCCCATTTCGAAGGGAAATTTACTGAGAAGCGGTCGTGATCGTTTCCCGATAATATTTTATTACTGACATGATGATAACTGGTAGCTGTTGTACACAATTTGATGCTTTTGTGATGTATACCCGATTTGGCGTTGCAAAAAGCGATGAGCAGCCGCCAGCCCTGGGAACGTTGCCGCCCACTGCTTCGATAACAGACCGATTCTCATCGCGCCAACTCTGCTCTTATCACAGACCTGTTGTTTTCTCATTCAACTTACACATTGTTTTGATGTATCGTAATCACGGTATTAATGTGTTATTGCAACAGATTCTTTACACAACAAAGAGCTGGCATCAGTCGCGCACAGTACAACAACTCCACATCAAACTTATCATAGAAAACCGAAAGATGGATATAAAAAAAACTGCATAAAAACTTGCCTTAAATTGTCGAAATTTAGTTTGAGTTTTGTAATAGAAAGTCCAAGTTCACGAAAGCTATGATCATCAAAATCCGGCAGTTGCGAGTAAGAGATGTCGAGACTAATTTTCGTTTCAGGACTGAATTTGCTGGTGAGAGCTCGTGCTATGTCTTCGTAAGCATTTATCCGTTGACAGATGACCACAATGGCACCGTTGTCACCCTGACGACACGTACATGGTGAGATTTCCCTTCTCATAGCACAATGAAGACTGGCACCAGCTCCGAGCTGACCAGCCAACGCACACAGCAGCGCGGCGGCGAGCGCGTGCGTATACGCAACCATCGTGTGTGCGATACGGGGCTGTTCGCGCTACTGGCCCGAGCGCACCACGAGTGAACCTAGTCGCGGCAAGCGCCGAGACGCTCTCAACTCGAAACGTATTCACCCCGCGCATGCGCACCACCCACCCGTCTGCATCATGCACTTTTCTGCTCCTACACTTCCCACTTATGCTTTTTCAATCAGTAAGTTTTATCGTACTAACCACTCGTATTATATTATCTGTACTATTATAGTTAACCTAGGTCAGCACTAAAAATTTGTTGTGAACACTATGAATCGGAACATAAACTTATATGTACTGGGGAGGAATTATTTGTAGGGGGGGGGTAAATGACCCATTGCTAATAATGTACCAAGTCAGAAATGAAAATCATCGTGATAATTTACTAAAGAATTTGCTACGGTGAACTAACCGACCTAAGCTCATGCTCGTCTTATTATCTTCCATTGGTGCTCCGCCAGCATAAACCCTTAACACAGGCGAGAGTACCATTTCATTATTATAAATTTAGACTTTTTTGAGAGAGAGAGATTCTTTGACAAGACTACCCCCCTTAAAAAGTACTGAACATATTTTATCATTATATAAGTTAATACTACTGAATTAGTACTGCCTCTATAATAACTAGACAACATTCATTAAACTCTTAAGTTTTTGCTTTTTCTGGAAAACAAACATGTAATATGTTTCTTTTATTTCAGAACTTACCCTTACCGTCAAGCTAGGCAACACTGCAGGAATAAAATTTTTATATGTATTTTTTCGTTATCAATATTCTATTCGATGTAGAAGTCCCTTAACAATCTTCGGATTTAGGTCAGCCGTAGCAAGTCTATTCGATGCGCAGGGATCCTCAATGAAACAGTCCTTGGTCTAGATCTGAGGTGCATCGCCAACAATAGCCCATTTCCCTGACCCTGCCATCTATTCGTTTGAAGACATAATGGACGCTACAATGTGCAGAGTATTCTTCTGCTGTGGCATTTAGAATATTTTTAGAAGATTCAATCTAAGATATTTGTCAAACTTCAATGCAATTAGATTTATTATTATTATTTATAATACTAAAACATAAAAAATCTATGTTATTTTAGAACTTGTTGGTAAATTAAATTGCAATAATAAGTTGCTCAACTTACAAACATAACATTTAAACTCTGTTAGCGAAGAATTGTATTTATATATTATTAATAATAAGTCTAAATACAGCTAATAAGTCTTAATTACAGAAAGGACTTGTATATTAATATCTATGAAAAGTAAAGCAGATAATAGAAGGATAAGAACAATGACCATACAGATAGTCTAGACCCTGAGAAAGGACAGGAGTTACTTAGGGCGCAAATAAGGGTCGTAAGGGGTTGAAAGCGGAGATGAAAGGTTGTATAAAAATAATCATCATTTTTAAGTAAAACGATAAAACTTTTTTGGGTTATAAACTAACTAAATCTGTGTTCTTTATTTGGTCAAGGCCATTGCTCCACGCGGACGAAGACGCGGGCGCAGCTCGACAGCTATACGATATTGTTCTATATAAATTAAAGAAGATAATATATATAAAGTAGTAAAAAACATAAAATATATAAAACGGTTATACCGTGCACAAACTCTATATATTATATGGAATCATTGGTTCGCATATAAAAGTTGTTCTTAAAGCTTTATAGTGGATTACAACCCCATTTCACACTGAAAACTTGTCAATTTAAATATGACCGGCACCAAAAAGCTTTCTGTGTCAATTTATATTTGTGTTAAAAATCTTTTTTAAATCAGTTTTGTTTTGCTCTTTCATATTAGTATAATAGGTATAACACGTACGGTAAGTTTAAAGCAAATATATAATATTGTTGTGATTATTAAATAAGTCCATGGTAACGGACTTCAAAAATTAAATTGATATTGAAAATAGGAACAACCAGTACATTCATGACTGTTATCTCACCTAAGGTGATAGAAATCTGTTATTTAGGTACAGCCTAACAAGGTAGGTGTAGGTACGTGTAGATGGATTCAGTTATAGTAAATACCTTTTTAATATAGGATTGCGTGCTAATTTCTAGGTTTATACGACATATAATTGACTACGGACTCTGTGGACTAGCGGTTTAGCTCACTGCGTTACTTCCAATAATCGTGAGTTCGATTTCTTGCACAGTAGAAACATTTATATTTATGAGTATAATTGTTTGTATTGGTCTATGTGTATCCTATGGATATTATGTATGTGATAATGTATTTATATCAGTTGTCTACTGCCCGTAACACAAGCTCTGTTAGTAAGTAGCTTAGGACTAGATGGCGCTATGGGGTTATTATGATTATGATTATACCGACTGATATTTCATCCGATTAAATTAAGTTTAGGTAAAATCCACATAATATTACATTGATTTTTTACTGCAAAAATTAAAGTTTCTTACAATTATGGCAACCATATGAAACCAAATCTACTTGCTAGCATACAATGTATACAATGAATGTACTGTCAATGAATAAATAAATAAATAACTTTTAACAATTACACATCCTTCTAGTCCCACGGTATTTTAGTATACCCTCTATTTTAGATTTGAGATTTCTCTACATTTTCCTTTTTTCACATAATTGGAATGGCAAAAAGTTTAAAAGGTCAGGCTTCGTCTGGAGACATTAACTGCATCACGTAATCACGTACCCTTTTGGTACTCATGGTTGCCAGTCTAAGGACTAAAGTGTCAAGCCTTTGGAACACAAAGGAAGACGCGTAGAATAATAGGCGAGATAAAGAAACCCACGCAAGCACACTACTTTGTACAAAATCAATTTAGGTAAAACCTTTATTCTTTTATAACATGAAATACTGTATATATAATATAAATAGACTATGTCTGTATTTAGTAGTATTAGTCGTGAGATATTGTATGAGAGCTGGTCATACAGTCCAACGTATTACCTATAATTTGATCTTATCTACTGGTGAATGACTGCAAAATTACTCTGTGATTTATCTGTTACGATATAGTGACAACAATGTAAGCATAATTATTTATATATTAACGATAATTAAAAGCCACTTAGCGAAAATTCGGCAGTTCTTGAAACTAGATCTAAGATGTTCTTTATTATCAATGACTCCGTCTTATCAATGGGCCAAGTTTATTGTAATAAAGATGAACTTTTTATCTAAAGTATGCGCTTATTTAATTTTCATGTAAAGATAAAAACTCATTAATTAATACATTTTCGTATTTAAAAAGAAATATTCTCATAGATAATACGAAACTTTACAGAAGGAGTTACGAGTCCCATATAAAATGTAAGCTCTGAAAACGTAATGTATGTTAGTACATAAAAACAATTAATAAATAATAATAGAACATATTTGAAGCAAAATGTTATTTATTTTTTGTATTTTTCATTAACTTTGTCATATGATATACCTATTAACTACAAGTGTGCATAAGAAATAACTCTTCTCTCAAATAACTAGTAGGTACGCCATATTGGGCCGCCATCTTGAATTAACAATGACGTCATAAGGACGTTGGAAATCTATCCGTGCATTGAATTGCATTGTCATCCAAATTAAATGAGTGTTGCGGCCTCTTTGAGAGGACTGTTTGCCGGCCGCTTATAAGGCCTAGGACCGACAAATAGGTGACGGTCGACTGATAGGTTTAAAAATACGACGTCGGACGACTAGGTATTTTATTATTGGAGAACATCTTTTAATAAATATCTACAACCTTAACGTTGCGACGACTAGCAGATCGTACAATGAGTATTACAAATATTGGCTGAATCGGTTCAGGATAAATGTGTTAAATTTCAGTTGCAAGTTTGACGTATGTACATTTACATATAAGGCAACAGTTAAACCAACGAAATTGTGCGTTTTATACTCCTCAATCCACGTAACTTTCGTAAAAAGGGGTAAAAAGTTTATGCTTCATGTATAACATAGTCATTATAACAATAAAACTGGACAATTCATACAGAGCCAAGTACCTAGTAGTTAGTTTAGGAGTATGGACTGGGGGCACTAAACAATTGAAAGAAATACTGATACATTTTTCTGAATACATGCATAATGTACCTACATAAAAAACACCCAGACCACTATAAAAAATCATACCGATGATTACAAATTTTTACATCATGGGAGTAATCGAACACACTACCTTTTTTTCGGACTACTAATAATGCTGTTGGCCGCAGCTGGCCTTTACAGCTTCACGGGCCGAGTGCAGACTTTTTTTTATACCACGTAGGTGGCAGACAAGCATACGGCCCATCTGATGGTAAACGGTTACCGCCTATGGAAGCCTGAAACATCAAGGGTGTCTCGTGGATGGCAGATGGTGGCATTCATAACCCGCGGAAAGACTTATGGCGGCTGAAAGCAAACTCCTGCCTGACGGATACGATTTTAGTCTGTGCCGTTCGAACCTCGGCTTAGGCCCTCGTAATATCGATCTCCGTCTGAATTGTACAGTGGATCGATCGGAGGGGAACACACTAACAGGGCCGCGCCGCCCCTATGTGCGAAGTGTGCGGCGCGGCGGCGCGTCGCACACAGACACCAAGGCAATAGGGGCGCCGCGCACCGCCATCCAATTATTTCTAGCAAAAACTATTTCAGACCATGTGTTGACTAATACAGACATTTATGGTTTTATTGTTATATATTTTTAATTAATTAAATTCAGTAGCATAAACTGTAGCAAATAGCAACACCAACTTTTAGGATAGATTTGGCACATAGGTGCTGGTTCAGCGCGCCCCTGACACTACCATCGGGTATGCCTTTTAAATATCAAATAGGTTTATTTTGCAAAACAGTTCTAGTACCAGTGTACTCATTATAATTGTTAAGAGGAAAATATCATATTTTATTCGAACGTTTCTAATTTCTGTTGTGCGGATGTGAGTACAGAGGGCACTCCAAACCCACGGGAGGTCTTATGGAGATCTTTGATTACAATGAAATTCTGTTTTCGAATCTACGACGACCGAAAGGTAAAACAGTGTCTTAAACTGCAATATCATTAAAATTGTCTCATAAAAATTGTCTATTTTAGACATTATTATCATATTTGTATATAAAAATAAGTCAATCTTTATTCCTACCTGTAGTTTCTAAAATAATTAATATATTTTAAAATAATAATTAACATTGGGATAGATTAATGTCATATTTACTGTGCTTATTTATTATATATTATAGGTACTCCTGGCTATTATTCTTATAAGTGCCTTTTAAAATGTAAATAGCAATACACAGCCCTTATAGCTTAATATAATAGATACATCATGGAATTAAAATAGTATTAAACACTGGGTAGCGCAAAACTATTAACACCTTAAAATATACTAATAATTACAATGGTATCTTCTAGCATTGGATACAGAAAATTGTGAAATAAATATTTGTTTCATTTGTAAAATATACCGAAAATAGCTATGGTGCATTTCACAACCCAAGAACGCGAAACATTTAGACCAAAATATTTTACTGTACAGGAACATGTGGCAAAATGTCTAGCAAATTCAGATAATCGTGAATATTTGAAGTTTATGCTTGTTTTATTGTTCTTAAAAATGTTACGGTAGTGAATTTATCAATCGTGTAACTAAAGCGCCTTGATAATTTAAACTTCAATTCTGACGTAAAGCTTTATGCCCTGTGAATATACAGCGAGAAACGGTAACTTAGTTTTGATGCATTTGAAATTTGGTGTTATCGAATAAACTTTTTTTGAAGCTATTTATGTTTAATCTCTTCAATGTTCCATCGCTTTACGCTTGTAGTTTATAAAACGCCACTATTATTACATTTTCCACTGAGATACACATCCAAATAATTTATATTGGCATTGCTTATTTTGATGTTCCTTTATTATGTAATTATACCTTACGTGCTTTATCGCACCAGCGATTCTGCACACGATTAGCGAATTGCAGACCGCCACGGTGGTACAAGAAAATTCATAAGGCGTAGTTTTTAATAACAAATAAAGTGTAAATTTGTATTTTTACATATAATTGATTATTTAGTGCATTGAATCGTAGCCGCCCTAACGTGAGAGGAGCACTTCTATATAAACATAGTAGCCAGACTCCGGTAATAGGTAAGTACACCCTGTGGTTTTAACGGGGAGTACTCCCCACTGGCCTCCCACGGGCGGAGCATAGCCTTTTGAAGATTGAAATTCAATTGAAAATACGCTTCAAACGTTGAATTTACACGATGAGCTAATAAACCTGATTTCTAAATAATATTATCTTTTCATTTTTAACTATTTCTCCGCTATTAATTGATAGTATCAAACTAGAACACTATCCATCACCAACAACAAAATATTTTACTCTCTTCAAACATAAACTTATAGATTGTTTACAACCTAAAGCAGGCCTGAGACTATTTTACTTGAAAAATATTAGACAAAACGATGGCGAAGTTCCTCTACCCGGATGCCGAACTTGTTTTAGTAAATGTATATACGTCCTTTTAATCCTACGGCGAAATGATAATTTGATCACATTCGGTTTGGGTTATTTATAAATTCTAATATTTTACCACTTATTTATATTAGTTAATATTCTTAGAATAATTTGTCGATCTAGCAAATGTTTCGTATCGATACTTTTAAATACTGTGGCGTGACATTGTGTGTCCTTTCGTCCGGCCATTCATCTCACAAATTCTATATTTCAGAAACTACTAAGTCTATTTCAGTCTTATATATTAAACCAAACAATAATATTATTATGATTTGGTTATACATAAATATATATATAAGTATTACACGCAGAACTAAAATAACAAATCAACATAGGTACAACGAAATTAGGTAACAGCAGAGAGTAAAATTACTTTTCGTTGTCATTATGATCAACACACATTCGACATGACCACATTTTGTCGAGAATATTCCTTAATCGTTGACAAAAGAGAGTCTACGGTCTTATCGGGGATTGATTATATATCTTTCTAATATCATAAACGTGAAAGTTTGTGAGTATAGATGGATATGGACCTTTGACACTATTTTACGCAAAACTACTACTGAACGGATTTTGATGAAACTTTACGATAACAAAGCTTATATATGAGAATAACATATGGCTATAAATTTCACGTGGATGAAACTACGGACACAGCTAGTGCTACGGAAAGAAAAAAGCAATTGAATCTAGATTTTTAAGTTTCACATAACATATCATTTGTTAAATTATAATGCTTTTGAACTCGTATTCAATATATCGCTGAAATATATTCATTACACTACGTATTATATTTTATATACATAATATATATTTTATTTCATTAATTATTGTTACAAATGTGTTGTTACTCGGAAATGCAAAGCCGTATGCAACGGGCTCTACAAAGCCTGCTACATGAAAATAGACACGTACGGCATCATGCATAAATCAATATCATGCAGCTCCGTCGCCATCTATTTAATGACACGTTTGTCGATAATTATTAATAATAATAAAGCAGGAAAAATCACACATGTAGAGCTTTATACTGAACAATAGATAGACACTTAAGTACACACCTTAGTTCTAAACTTTTCTATGTTAATCATATTTAGAAAAACACTAAAGCATAGTCTATCATGATTAGTCAAAGTATTTTTCATGGTTATGAAAAACAAACGTCTTTATTATCTTTATTAAAATATATTACATATACGTTAGTATTCTTTATTTAAATTAATAGCCACGCTATGTGCATACGATAGTAAATAAAAAGAATGGATATTAAATATACAGTAAAAATGCGGATAAAATATTGATTCATATAATCATTTAAATTACATGAATTATTCTCTAGGGCATCGTATATCATCCCAAAAAATTGCAATTCCCAGTGGAATGTAAGATAAAAACTGACTATTTAATTGTTCTTTACGAACCCGTTGTCACAAATACACGGTCCATCTCCTGTTGGTAGGTATATAAGAAGCTGTGGAGTAGCCATAGCGACACTTCCCGCATCACTTGTTTTCAAGTCCGTCGTAATATCGTCAAACTTTGGTCTTGTTGAAAATGTTCGAGCTTTTGGTACGTATAAATTTATTTGTAATACATTTGTTAACTTAATAATTTAATTTATAGGTTTATTATATATATCTGTATATTTATATTTATTACTAAATCTATATAGTTTATTAAAATATATTACTAGCTGTGCCCGCGGTTTCATCCACGTTAAATTTCAATATAAAATATAGCCTATGTGTTATTCTGACGCATAAGCTATATTTCTGTAAAGTTACATGAAAATCCGTTCTGTAGTTTTTGCGTGAAAGTGTAACAAACATCCATACTTACAAACTTTAGCGTTTATAATATTTTTAAGATTAAGATATTTAGTAATCAAATATTACTTTGAGAACGTTCAGCTTTGCGAATTCTTAGTAAGATTAAAAGCTACATAGTTTCTTTGTGATTTAACTGATATTTTAAATAGACATAGTTATATATGAATTTTTAATAAGTTGTTAGATCTTTGTCATGGTATGGAGGCTCAAACTTACTCAGAAATAAAAATACGTGAGATTTAACATGATCGCCATAAAAATAGAAATACAAGTTATTTAAATATTTATAAATCATAAATTAAAAATATGTTATAAAATATTTGTTGAAATATTCATGTGTTATTATTATTAAATAACTACTAATATTTGAAAGCTGCCATTTATTTAATTCCAAATTACTTAATAGTAATTATTTATTGTCATGTTTCTACAAAATATAAATAATAGTCATATCTCTTAATAAAAATAATAGAATGATAACTTCGATAAAATAGGTACTCTGACCGTTTTGCCGACAAAACAGGAGGGCTGTAGAAGCTATCTCTTTCTGTCTGATTTGTAGAGTACCTAGGCACCGATCAATACGTTAGCCGCTTGTCTAGACCCTGCGTAGTTCGAAAATACATCGTTCATTTTAAACAAAGGTTCGCGTCGAATCTCTGTGGTAACCATTGCCTGCAGTCTTGACTCTTATATGAGCTATAATATTATGGTTATCAGAACATGATGATGAAAACTGTATCTTTCATTCTCTCTTATCACTTCCTCAGCATAGCATTTCCAGACAAATAAGAGTTGTTAGGTTTGACTACTATATTATAATATTGTAATGTAACATCCACATTATCTAAATTCAATATCAAAACCTTTAAAAAACAAGTTTATTAATTAATACATTCAGATCCAATTAGAGCATTTTATGCATGGAAAATCCAATGATTTTATTATAATATTAAAGCAGAATTAGTAATGCCAGGCAATGACATGGCAGCAATTATAATTTATTCTTAATTGCTTGTGTATATCGTTTGTGAAACTATTTTTACTTTGAACATTCGTAGATACCTATATAACAAATGTCTGTTATACAGCAAGCTAGAAAAGTAATAATTATATCTGTATTTGCATTAGATGGATAAATTTAAATAGATATTTATTAGCAGGATTATTATTATATATTCATATTTACATTACAGTACTAATGCATGAAGTATTGTAGTTGGTCATTTCATTTAAAAACTGCAGTTAAATATTCGGTTATTAAACCTACCGGTTAGATACATGCTGTCGATTAAACATAATTCCTGCAGTTGCCGAGACTTATTGTCTTGATGTTATTTAAAATAAATTAGAAATTATATATCTCTTATAAAAAGTACCTAAGTTTTCACCAGCGATAAAGCTTTTCTGATTTTTTGTTGTATTTATTATTGAGTGTTGTTTGTTTAATTGAAGTGAACCTCGTTCGTTTAAACGACACGCCCGATGTATCGTCTAATAACATTATATAATCATAATGGCCAGTAACCAGAAAGCAAATACGGCAAAAAGAATATCTGAAATAATTATAATACTGAAAAACTCATTATCATTGCAATGATGGGCACGAGTAATTCCATATAAGAGATGCGAAATGTTGTAACCACCCCTCCCAAGCGGCTCGATATTGAGTTTATATTGAACTAGAGGAGTCAGTGAACTTCATAACATCTACAATATATTTTATTATAACATTTACAAGAATTCGTAACTTGCAATCATTGATTTTAATTATTAATCTTGATCTGAAGAGTGATCTATGTCTAAATTTCTTTCAACCTATATGGAATTCTTCAGATATAATTTAATTAAACCATACCTACCTACTTTTTATACGTATGTATAATTATTTAAGTATTAGTTAATGTAATAATCATTTTTATATTATATTTCAAATTAATTTAGGTTATAAATAATTAACCTCATTGGTGAAAATTTGCTGTCTTCTATTGCTCAAACATTCATAATATAGATAGATCTTTAAAAATATTAGATGGATATTCTATGCAGCAGATACTACATTATTGTGTACGGAAGTTTAGACAGTTCAAGTTCATCGCACTCACGTTATGTTAACCCAAAGTACGAGAGCTGCAGTATTGTGTAACCAACGTCCGAAATGGACAAATCGGTCGCAAGCTGGTATCGCGACACGCTCTATGCGTGGGAGTTGACCTTGCCCTTAAGCTTTCTATTCACTATCAAAAAACAACTCGCTATAAAATATTCTATGCATAAGATGCAGGTAGTGAAGATACGCATTACTACTGTTGTTGCAATAGTCCATGTTCATTCAACACATTTCTTAATAGGAACCAGTGCAGTATAGTTTTCAGTATAGTTGTCTCTGTACTGTACCTGTGGTACCTATTCTGCACTTAAAATTAAATATACTCAAATTTTGTCAAGCTCTCTTACCAATTCTTTCCTAGTATCTTGCCTCTTCCTGATTCTACACTGCTTATTCCACCTTACGCTACGTTATATTTTAATTTCCGAGATAAATATAATAATTTTACTTCCTATATCTAAATACTGACTTACGTTATCAATTATCATATAAATAATATTCAAAATGTATTTGTCGTGAGATTCTTATGTTTTACAACAATAGAAAAATACACAGATGGTAACTTTGGACCATACAAATTCATAGCCAGTTGTCTATATAGCATCCAAACATTGCGTCACATACATATGAAGTCGCTAGATCTAATTTCACTGGAACGCATTGCAACACTTCGCGGTATTGACGGTCAACGATCCGACCAGTCCAGCCGTTATTCAAAATGCTGCATGATACAAGAACACAAAACATTACCGTTACTCTTTTATTTTCTTAAGATGCTCACCTATTTCTACCTATGGCAAATTTAATAACAAAAACAATCAATTCTACCCATAATGAATACATGGCTTTGGAACAAGGATCAAATATAGATCAACATGTCAAATGGTGTCATATTATTAAAGCGGTATTACATTAAAGATATTTAATATAACTTTATGAGTAAATTATATATGCCTGTATATCAGAGGAATAAATTCTCGAAGAAGTAACAAAAGGGCAAATGTTGTAGATCGATCGACTAAATATTGGTAGGTAAGATTTAAATATTGCCTCAATTTGATTTTTCAAAAGTTCCTTAATAGAATTTTGGCTTCAATTCAATTCAATTCAATGTGATATTTTGGTTTATTGTAATGATGATATTATTAATTGCAATAATTGTTTTAATAAATTGCAATAGATATATTCATTCAGATCTCAATTAAATCTGGTATCTGCTTAATTGTGTCCTTAATTAAAATCCTAGCGAATTTGTGAATAAATAAGCATAATTAGCCAAAACAGAACAAATTAAAAAACAATATGTTTTCTTTTACAGGTATTAGCCATTGGAGTACACAACCTAGTATTGGCTGATGTAAGTTTGGGATATCACTATAAACGGCCGCAAAATTTAGTTCCGAGTGTGGTATCTACAGTTGAATCCCCAACTTATATATCACCCTTGTATGGGGTACCTAAATATCAAATTAGCAGTGGATCTGGCCAATACAGCTCAGGACATGCAGATGCCAATAGTAATTATAATGAACAGGGATTCAGTAAGTTATTAGGACTCAATTATGGTACTTACAACACATTCAACAAATTACAAAATAATGGTGCTTACAGAGGTTCTGACGGATACCAACCTGTCAACTTACTTGGAAATATTTTTTATCAAAATGAATTGACGAGTAACCCATTGCCAACTTATCCTGTCAGTAGTAGTAATGCCAATAAAGGTTTACAAACATTTAATAATCAATATTATCAGTCTACTCAATATCAAAATTCTGAACAAAAATACCAACAATCCTTTCAAGTGCAGCAGCAGCCTGCTCAAGTATTCAAACATTTTTATGTTCATGCGGCACCTGAAGACAATGAACCCCCAAAACAACGTAAACCTGTAATATTACCTCCTCCGCAGAAACATTACAAAATCATATTTATTAAAACACCTTCACTGCAGCAGAGTGCTCCTCAAGTACTTCCAGTTCAACAAAATGAAGAAAAAACTATTGTTTATGTTCTCGTTAAAAAACCTGAAGATGTTCAAGATGTTGTCATACCTAAAGCTGATCAGAAGCCTCCTACAAAACCTGAAGTATTCTTTATAAAATACAATAACAAAGAAGACTCTCAGTCTGTTATAGATAATATCGTAAAGGATTACAATAAAGGACAATCAATCAGCTTTTCTAATCCCAGTGTATCAAATGAAGCGATAGGTAATTCTGACGTGTTCTCCGGACAAACTTACCAACCAAATATTACTCCTCCCGGATTTCAAACTTTAGGACTTAACAACGGAGCACCTACATTACCATCGAGTATTGGTTCTCAATCATTTGGAATTGTCACCGGACCACCAAACAATCAAAATAATGCCCCAGCTGGTACTGAATCGTTTTCTTTGACATCAAATGATGAATCAGTCCAAAGTCAAATTGCTCCTGACTTTGGAACATCGACTTTTGGAACATTGGATACACAAAACCAGGCCTTACCAATATTCGGGTCAGCACCGTTGGGAATTACAGGTCTTCCGAGTGCTGTACCGACAACAGTAACTACAGCAAGTTCTGCTGGTAGCAAGGGGTATGATAACAGCGTATCCAACGGCGTTACTTCATCTGGAGTGGCTGATTCAAGTGCAAATACTAACTATAATAATTTAAGCACTGTACCTACTAGTCAAGGTGTACCTCACGAAACTTACGGTATTCCTAAATTCAGAATATAATTCTTAATATGGGCAGCACTTGGTACCTATGACTTTTATATTTTTAATATTTATCAAGACTACAGAATACACATTGTCTGATATTAAGTTTTTTAGCTGTGACTATGTATTAAATGATTATATGTACGTAAGAGTTGTAAAATGACTGAATATAATTATGATTGTTTGCTATATTGGTATATATGTATTATAATGTTTTAATTGATAGATACCTAGAAACTTATAATTACTAGCAATGCTTACTACAGAAATCACGTATAAATATTATAGAAAATAATAAATTAATATTAGTAAAAACAAATTTTTATGTATATTTAATTACGATTATTCTATAGTTCAAACCCTGAGTACAATGAAATTACCGATTCTTTCATAGAGTCTCTATGGCATAAGCAGGTTTATAAAATTTTTGCTTAATAGGATGAAAACAATGGGTAAGATATAATGCATAATGATAATAATGATGTAGCTTCAAAACTCAGTAGCAGATGGGGATTGTAAATGAACCAAACCAAATATACCAAGCAATTGACTTAGCCGTATGTCTTAGACTGACGCGACGCTGCCTGCGTAGAATACCTACATCCTCAGTTATTAATGCTGTTATTTATTTGAAGAATTTTATTCAAATATTACCTGAATATAGAACATATTTTATGTCAAAAAAGCAGTTATTTCAAATACTTTGTAAACTGAAATATCCGCCAAGCTTTACCTATAAAGAATTCAAAGAAAAAATCATCAAACTTATTTAACAAAAAATTATATTGGTTAAATATAATGAATTTTCTTAATTAACCTGTATAGTTATAATTGTATCCGAATTTTACTGCCTTTTTTTTATGGATGATGATGGAATGGTGATGTAGCCTGTACTAATGGTGTCAACCTATACCTGTGAAAGATGACGAAATCAGAAATCAAGAATTAACCTTGGTGGTATCAAAGGTATAACGTATACAAAGAAGAAATAACAGTTTGTACCTATTGCTATATAGAATTAGGTCAACTACCAATTTGCTATTATATATTCGTTAAGTGCAACATGCTGGAGCGCGTGTCCAGAGTCAGAATGCATCCAATTAATTAAAAAGGGTATTTTTTAAGTATGATTTGGTAAGTAACTTAGTACACTGATTTCGCTATTATTTTTAAGGCATAACCTTCATTATAATACATTCACATTAGCTGACGTCCAAATTCTAGGAAGGAAATTGTATGAGGATTATTTGCCAGTTCCTATACGCACAAACAAACAGCCGTTGGTAATACAGCATCGGAACTCCCCATTACGATTGATGTTGGCACATTATTGGCATTTTAATAGCAGGCCCATCCGCATAACTCCATGACGTTATCTTGATTTATCGAGTTACATGTTTTCAATTGGGCGAGCCAAAATATCGTTCTTTGGTGTGGTTAATTTAGTCGGTATAGTATTTCATTTATTATGTGCATTGTTTATGAATGGAATGCCTCTATTTTGGAGTAGTGGCGCGTGATAGTATAATATTAAACATTACGTTTAACCATGTATTGAGTGGATATTCATGGATGCACTTTGTAGAAACACGCGCGGAATGCTGCGCAACAGATGCCGGCGCCAAACGCTGCATTGATTTTCCCGGTTGCGCCGTATAAACGCACCGTCAATAACGATTTATCACCGTAATATAGTTCAACGAGTCTGCCTGCATACATATAACAACATTTATTGCAATTCTCTATTCTTATTAAGTAGACAGGAATACTATTTTGTCCTCAACGATAATATTTAGCACTTTATACAAATATTGATGTCTATTATAATCTCATGAAATTTACCTATGGGCACTAGGTATATATTATATTATAAATGTCGACTACCTCACTATCCTTTGGTATTACTACATAGTCTGTACTTGCAAATAATAAACAGATTTATTACCTTGAAAAATTTCTAGTACCTAATAAAAAGTAATGGGCAATAAGATAGGTATATATGAAACGACTATAGGTATATTTTTTATAGTTTGTATAGCATTAACATGAGTATTGGTAATATATTTTTATATACTACACTGTGGTTGATTTCAATTTTTAGTACTACAGGCAGTATTTCTATAACTTTCATAATACATTTCAAATGTAGTGCATGTATTAATAAATGTTGTGCCGGTTCGTTAGTATTTCCAAGGTTTATACTTAGTTCTGCTTTTTGTGCTCAGTCTTGTCACTCTGTACTTATGAGGGATCTGGCAATACCAATAAACAAAACATTCATACATCCACAATATAAGAAATATAGGAAAGAGCAACGTCTTATGGCCAAAAACGACATCGCGTTAATTATGATTACGTCACATCCCAAGGCAGCCACTGTAAAATTAAGTGCTATTGAAGTTGTATCAGCCATCGGTCTAAAAGCTTTGATTCCTATACTAGATGATCGTAAACCACGCCTTCTGGCGACTGTGATCCAATCATGTTCAAAACACCTACATCTTAGAGGATATCATATCTGTTCTTTTGCAAGGTTACCGAATACAATACTTAATAAGTGTCAGCAAACAAAAGGTTTGCCCTTGCTAATAGACGGACGAATTATAGGCCTCTCTAGTTCCCTCGACACAAAAGTGTGTGATTTTCCACAGAAAATTTTCACTGCTATAACACCATATATACCATGGATAAGATTAGTCATTGAAAACAATATATATAATGCATTGCAAGATGGAAGCCAAGTCATAACAAACTCTAACACCTCATACTATACATCTCAATTAAAAGCACAAACTATTACATTAGACAAAAATAACTCAGTTAAGCGATACTTTAAACATTTTGAACATAAAGAAATCCCAGTTATTCCACTAAGTGCAAAAGTAAAATTTAGCGCAGCACCAAATGAAGCAACAAAACCGCCGAAAAAATTAAAAATGGACACCAAAACTTCTACAATTATTACAACTTCAATGTCAAAAGCAACTGATTATATCCAAAAAGATATCGCAGAATCGACACATATGCTGATATCAGAGTCGAACATAAAATTTGCAGAAATTTCCGACGCTTCTTTACATTCGTCATATAATTATAGTGCTATGCGGATTGCAACTAATGCAATGGAATGGTTTAATAAAAATATAAGAAGCAAATTAAATGACGGACCACCGCCTTTGCTCATACTTACTACACCTAAAATAGTTTATACTAAAGAATTTTTAGACCTCACGTGATGGTATAATTTCTGTTACGTGATCTAACTAAATAGGTGATGACAATATTAACTTGCATATCTTGTATTAATTAGTTGTATTATGTAACTATCTATTACTTTCATGTTGCAGAGTACTTCTAAAACGTGAAAATCCGCACGTAGTGTTGTAGTTGACACATACATTTTCATTTTACATTAAAGTTGTAGAACGTAGACTGTTTTTTAATATTTGAATCAATATTATTTTCCCATATTAAAATTATTTTCTGGAACATAGGAAATTATCTACCTACCTAGTGACGTGTAGGTCATGCCTAGCATCGTTGGCTCCATGTTATACAACATAGATTTAACTCGACAGGCGCCTACGTCATACGATGGGTAGGTATGTAAATGAGAAAATAAATATATTTTACTCTGGATAAATTCCATACAAAGTTTTAATGTTGTTGTACCTAGTCCTAAAATGGTGGTAATAATTAGTACCACAAAAAAGAGGAATGACTTAATAATAATAATAATAATAATAATCATTTATTCAGCATAAAAAAGCGTACAGATAAAAAAGAAAATTTAAAAACTAATAATTCGCTATGCTGAAAAGGCTTCCACTCAGCTGGTGCCGCAGCGTATCACTACAGCGCTGATTTTCAGTGGAGCCACTTGAAAAAAAGAAATAGCATTCGTGATAAATTCAAATCAAATATCTAAAATGAAGAATCAGTTAAATGGATGAATTATATGTGTGATAAATAGAAGAAAAATATATAAGGATAAAAAAGTGTTGATAGAAAGACTTGTGTAATATAGTATAGCTTGAATATATTTATTTATTTAATCAATATATATGTATATAAAAATACTGTATTTATCTGGCACGTTTAAAATTTTTGTACTTTGAGTAAATATTTTTTAAAATTATGTTTAAAAGACGAAACTGACTGAATAGTATTTTGAAGCGGGGGTGGTAAATTGTTCCAGCATTTCGTGGCAGTATATTTAAAACTTCCACGAAATGCTGCAGTTTTATATTGAGGATAGATCATGTAGGGATGTGACAATCGATGATTTCGCATAGAAAATGAAAGTTTTTCAAATAAATATATTGGTTTCTTATACTTCACCACTCCAAAAAGCAATACTGCAAAATGTAGAGATCGTCTGTGTTCCATTTTTAGCCAGTTGCATTGATTTATATAGGGAGTAACATGAGCACGGGGGGGTATAGAAAAGCAGAAGCGTGCGCATGCATTCTGCACGTGCTGTATTATTTTTTTTGTACGATTTAATAGACAGCCTCCGTAGACTGTGTCCGCATAGTTGAGTTTAGACAGAACTAATAAATCACATAGAGTGATACGCATTTTCTCACTTAGAAAATCACGTACTTTATACAGTACTCCTAGTCTATAGTAACAGTTTCTTATGGTTTCATGGATATGACTCTCGAAGTGTAAAGAGCTATCCATAATGACACCAAGATTTCGAACTTGATCAACAAATATTAGAGGATTTTCTGAAATTGACAGAGTAGGATTTTGTGCCATGATCTGATTTATTTTATTTTTAGTACCAAGTACTAGTAATTTTGATTTTGTTGGATTTAAAGTAAGACCATTTGATATCGACCATTTCGCTATATTGTTCAAATCATTATTTAACACTGCTATATCTGGATTAGGATTATAGGGATTTATAGATTTATACATTTGAAGATCATCTGCGAATAAATGATATTTACAAATTTTCATAGACTAGAATAGATCCTTGCGGAATACCTTTTACAACTTGAGCAGATGATGATGTTAAAGTGGGAGAATTTGTTGTGGTCAATTGTACTTTTTGATAGCGATTACTTAGATAGCTAGAGAACCACTTTACTGTAACGTTATCGAACCCATAAAAAGTCAGTTTGGCTAATAGCAGTGATATATTAATGGTATCGAATGCACGAGAAAAATCTAATAGTACAAGAATAGTAACCTTGCCTAAATCTTGATTTGTTAAAATATCATTTACTACTTGTGTAAGTGCACTACATGTGCTGCGGCCCTTTCTAAAACCAGACTGTAGCTCAGGCAGTATGTGATTAGACTCTAAGTATTCCGTAATTTGAATACAGATTGTTTTTTCAACTATTTTGGACAAAAATGGTAATATATTAATGGGTCGTAAGTCTTTTAACTCTGTGGGATTTGTATTTTTGGGTATAGGTTTAACTATGGCCATTTTCCAGGCATTAGGGAAAGTACTAGTTTTAAAAGATAACTATGTCAGTTATTACTTGTAAAGTTCTAGGTAAAGTTAACAATATCATGTTTAGGGAAATACCATCTGATCCTATCGCGTTTGATTTCATAGATTTAATCATTTTTAATATGATATTTGGTTCCACTAATTTGAATTTAAACACAGAGGAATTGAAACGATTTAAAGCAAAGTGTAATAATCAGAAATATCAGGAACATTATTATTAGGTAGGTCAAGAAAAAAGGCATTTATGGCATCTGGATCACGTAAATGAGGTGGCAGTTCTTTAACTTTAGTTTTAAAATTACCAACATTATTTTTAACATTTTTCCATAAAGTTTTAGGATCATTTATGTTTTTATTTATATATTGATTAAAGTACGCAGATTTTTCACGATGTAAGGCAATATTAACTGTACGTTTTAACTGTTTATAGTATTCTTTATGTGAACTCAATTTAGTTTTACAACTTCTAACATAAGCCCTATCACGTAACTTCATCATTAGTTTAATTGTATCAGTTATCCAGGGGTATGTATAGTCCTTAACAAAAATTGTCTTAATAGGAGCATATCTATCAAATAATTTAATTATTTCATGATTAAAATTATTTACACATTCGTTAACGTCTTCAGTTAAGAGTGATTCCCATGCAATAGAATTAATAGCTGTATTAAATTCAATCATATCGATATCCTTTAATGGTCTATAATGTATCCAATTTGGTTTCGGTTTATCTTTTCTTACATCAAAAGTACAGGTTAAGAAAGCATGATTGCTGAGTTCACGTATATAATCGATACATACATGCGTTGTTCTTACATTAGAACATATAAGATCTATTAACGTAGTACTGTGTTCAGTATAATGTGTTGGCTCAGTAACATGTTGTGATAAGTTTATGTAGTCTAAAAATTCTCTAAGTTTTTTTGTTTGAGAATTTTGAACATTTAGAAGGTTGGTATTGAAATCTCCGAGTAAAATGGTATGATCGAATCCTGAAAATGTAGTTAGAGAATTAGTAAGAGCATCAATGAATATGTCAAGATCTAGCCATGGAGGACGGTATGCAGTACCAATTACTAGTTTTTTAGCGTTGATGTTAATACTTATCCACATTTGTTCTACCGATGGTGTGTGTGGGTGTTTAAGAACACGAGTATTTAGTCCAGATCTTATGTAAAAGCCTACGCCTCCGCCGCGCGTACGAATATCAACAGGACGAGGTATATGACGTAGATGGTATCCGGGAACAATGGGAGCGCGTGCCTCTTCTCCAGTTCTAAGCCATGTCTCGTTAACGGCCATCACGTCAACTTGATGTCGCGCCATAGCCACAAGGAACTCGTCATGTCGTGTACCGAGAGTTTTTTATTTCTTCTAAATGTAATTACAAACGTATGGAGAATTTGTATGTACTTATTATTGGTTAAAAAACGGCATAAGTATGTTATGTGTCGCCAGTTAGTTGTTTCATGTATTGTGTTTGAATTATATAGTGTTGAATATGAAAATGTGATTTGTCGATGATTTATATAGAATATAGTATTTTGTTTATATATATAATACATATAACATTTAAAAATTATGTATATTATATTTTTTTGATGTAGTATTTGTTTAAAAAGAAATATAGAAATGCTGTGTCTTTTTTTCATGTTTACATTATTATTCATCGAATATATATGAGAGACTGGTATACTGGTCATCACATGTAAGGCATATACAAACATTAAACAATCATAGTATAGATTAAACCACTGTAGATGTCGACACAAACAACTGCAATATATATGACAACCACAATTTAAAATACAATTTGAAATAATATATTTCTTTCTTTTGTGTATAGTATATATAGTATTGAAATTTATTATAGAACAATGTATAAAAAAGTAATTATTATTTTGGTCCAACGGGATATTCACCAAAAACCTTGTTAATCTCTGCAATAGATGCATTTTTTTCTTCAGGCTGTCCATTTATTTCCACATCATTATGTAAAAGCTCTTGATCTCTATCGTTTAACTCCGCCTGCAAGCGTGCAACAGTATCTGTGAGGTCTTTTTGTGTATCAAGACGTTTCTCAATAACGTGTACTCTGTCTTCGACGCTGGTAATACGAGTCTGAATGCCTTCTAAGACCATTACAAATTTATTCATATCGTGACTGAGCTGGTCACTTATTTTTTTGAATTGTTCTGAAATATTTTGTTGAATTATGATCTGTAGAGAACCAATCATCTCCTCTTTTATAATTTCTTTTATTTTACTCATATATCTTAATCATATATTTATATCATAAAGATTGTGTTGAACATGATAAATCATAATAAAAATATTGGCAAAAGCATAGCCTGTTCACATTTTTTTGTTAGGCTTTCATCACTATGGGTTCTCATTTGATTATGATGGAAGAAAAATTATCAAAATCGAAGTAGATTAACAGTTTTTGGTAGTTGATTTTTAATTAAAGGAGTTATGAGGTGATAAACATAAAGTTAGACCCTTTTTAAGTAAGTTTGTGAATAGTGGACATATATATGTCCACTATTCACAAGTAAAGAAAATAAAAAAATGCTTCTAGAATATTTCTATATAGCATTTTTAGTAAAAGAATATGGATATTTTTATAATCGATATTGGAATAATGGACCCGCCTATACTAGCCGTAGCGCTGACTGGGCACTAGTGGAAGATGTTAGAATGAGGATGAAGTCAGGAGAATTATCCCATTGTAGCGAATACAATACGAATTAATCAAAATGAATCCAGAAAGACCGCCGCTCGATCTGTTAAAGAACTGGATATTTTCATTATTCGTAATTCAAATACACAATTGAAATCATACGTATTTATTATTTAAATAACTATCTAAACTTTTAGACAGTATTAGTATTTTGTAATTAATATTTCAAATACCAATTTTATTAAAAGGCTTTAAAATACATTAATTTAGCAATTTTATTAATAGTCCTTGATATCATTCGTGACCAAAATGGCGACCGAGCATTATGTCAATCAGGAGGTAAGGGAATTGTTAGTAATGTAAACATTTCCACATTTCAGAACGTAATTAGCACTTTTTAAAAGCTTTTGGCCCTTTTTGTACAAATCAAATGGCAAGACTGGCACAGACTGCGTTAGTGACACTGACATTAGGAATGACTGACTGACACATCTCAAAGACTGACAACGGTCTTTGTGGTCTGTGCTTGGCTGCTTGACGTGACGAGACTGTCGACTCGACTGTCGAATTCAGTTGATGAGATAAAACTTTTGTCTTTTATTTTCTTTGTGTATTAGATATTAAATTTTCAGAATACATGTAAAATAAGTGGCTAAATTTGCATTAAAGATTGTGCCTAGAGGCAATTTTCTGCCTACTAAAACATTATCGACTGTAGAATGTTGAAAAGTCTTGTATTACATCTTTCATAATATTGCTTCGTGTTCGTTGCTAATTTAATTGCAAATAGTTGTTGTAGATTTCATAAATCATGTCTACAAACAGTAATGCATACAATTTCAAAGTGGTTCTGTTGGGCGAGGGTTGTGTCGGCAAAACATCACTGTTGCTGCGCTACATTGAAGATAAATTTAATGATAAACACCTTACTACGCTTCAGGTAAGATTATTTAGAATACCAATTATTAGCCGAAAACTAAAATCATGGTGCATCCAATTTATATTTAACCGGTTAAATGCAGCTTTCTTCAATACATATGCTTACGAAGTCATGAACAAATATACTTAATACGAATTTTTTTCATAATTATTATGAAAAAAAAATATATTTACAGCATTAAATATTACATACAGAACTTTTAGAAATTTGCACACTAATTCTAATACAAAATCTGACAATAAGTATTTATACAATATTCTACTTTGTAGGCTACATTTCTAAATAAGAAAATAAATATTAATGAAAAACGGATTAACCTTTCAATTTGGGATACAGCTGGTCAAGAGAAATTCCATGCACTAGGTCCAATTTATTACCGAAACTCAAATGGAGCCATACTTGTTTATGACATCACTGATGAAGACTCATTTGGAAAGGTAAATTGTGTTTATATATCTTGTGAAACTCTACCTTGAAATATTTTCATTGAAACATTCATTATAAAAGAGCAACACTCTACAGTAGAGCTCCCATGATACTCTATAATTCTCTTTAATTGTCAGTATGAGATGACTAATCTACTTGATGTAACTTTTTCTTGGTCTTCCCCTTTGCCTCTCCTATTTTTTCTTCATTAATATTATTAAGGAGTTCATCATGCCATATCAAGAGTTCCAACATTTACATATGTTTACCTAAAATGATGTCTATCATATTTGTAAGCAATTCATAATTGCAATGACATAAAAAGACATCATATATTAAATTTCTTATCTAATCTAGTTGGTGACATTCCAATTGCAGTAAAACTGTTTTATTTTATTTACATAGATTTTATTAATAATTATGTTATTTCACAGGTTAAAAATTGGGTTAAAGAACTGAAAAAAATGTTGGGATCAGATATTGTTCTCATTATTACTGGAAATAAAATAGATTTGGAACACGAGAGGACTGTGCCGTTAGAAGAAGCAGAAAGGTATGATTGCATATATAGCACTTATTTTACATATAGTTAGACTGTGATAAGCTCACTTATGGAGTACATTAAAATGAAATTTTACATATGCCTATATGTAAAGTATTTATTTTGGGTTTTGTAGTATTGTCAGGTGCTAAGACCTGAAAGTGACAAATTAAGATGTGTCTAGATATTCTGATAAAAAAATTGACAGAATGTCAGTTATTGCCTGATACAATTGTACAATATATTAACCGCCACACTCAGAGACGTCTAAAAAATGCATAACCAACTCTTTAGAGCAGATTTAAAAAAATTCTACTCAGAGTCAGTTAGTAATTGATTAGTAACAGTTTGTAACCATTAATTTTAATAACATAAGTACCAATTGACATATTGGTCTATGTCAAATATATTAATACATTTTCAGGTTATTTTTTATAGAACTTCATCCTTTATTTAAAAATGAGTTATTTTTAAGTATAAAATCTATTTATATCCTATTATAGCTACAGATTTGCACATATCACATCATAGGTACGTGTTGTATCTATGATTAATGTTTTATAGAAACAAGCATCAGTCTCTCTTGCTTTGACAAGATTGACAACTCAATTTTATGCTGAATACCACTGACTGAACTTAAGCAATAAAATACTTTATTATAATAAAAAAATATTTTTTTAAGTTTATATCTAAAATTTTTAATGATATTTAACTAAATATTAGGGAACTTTACAGAGCATGATTGATAGTCCATAAGTATAATGTCTTCTACTGCAATACTTCTATATAAAATTATTTTTAGCTACGCTAACATGGTTGGTGCTAAACACTACTACACTTCAGCGAAACTCAATCAAGGAGTTGAAGACTTATTTTTGGACTTAACCCGAGAGATGGTGGAGAGATATGAAAATAATTCTCAGGCCAATGTTACCAGGCCATCAAGGGTGCTAGTTGTGGATGATGAAGCACCTGTGCAGTCATCTTGTTGTTCTGGTACTAGAAGTAACTAAACTATTTTGACTGTTTACTATATTCTATATTCATTAATAAACTAGAATTAATATAAACAATGTTTAATATAATAACAGTTTCATAAAATAACTGCGTCAATTTTCATTGAGGATATGGGTAATCATGAGGCAACTCATTTATTTGCTACATATAGCAAATTTATAAGATATTAAAATTGTAACATTGCAAGACTATGTTAATAACATTAGTATTTATTATTCAAAATAAAACAAAAATAGATGTTAGTAATTATTATAATTGTTCATTTACTTCATTTAATTTTGTAAATATAATGATTATTGAGTATTATTGTTGAACTTATTTAATATTTAAGAACAATGTTGTCATAATTCTTCGTTTTGTATATTGGCACATATGAACAGATATGTTCAGTGAAATAAAATTAAGGATAAACAAATTCTTTTTTTTTTAATTGATATTTGTTACTGGGATTTAAACATACTATTACAAGACATAAATTCCTTTAATTCGTACTCAATTACGACATATAATTATATTTCAAAGGCCTACATAAACAAGGTAGCAATTTCGGCCTATTTAATCAAACTAGAACTTAAGAAAACACCGAGAACACAAGAAATATTTGTACTCTACGTACAAATATGGATAAATCTATACAGTCTGCATGGATCTTAAATCTTATCTATGCGGGTTACCATCCTCTAATTTATTCATCGTCCCATTCCAATTTTCAATGTATTACTGATTTATTTACTATAATAAATACATCAAAATTATGGACTTATATTATTATTACCTCTTAATAATTCTCAGCAGGAAAGTGAATATAGTTTATACTATGCGATACTACTAAACTTACTCGAATATATCTTTTGGAATAGGTTTTAATTAAATTTAAAAAAGCATGCAGGTCTATGTTTACTCCACTTATGTCGATCGGTTTTATATTTTCAACAAGTTTCTGAGATTATATTCTATACTATTTCTAATATTGGCTATGATATTAAACGTTTTTGAATGAGTGTTATATTTATAATATTATTATTTATTTATTATTATATATTATTAATAATTATTTACACGCATACACATATATATTAAACCGAGTGATATAAGTTAGTCGTAAATGTTTAATTTTACAATATAGTATTTTCTAAATGTATATTTTAAAACAGTTTTTGTAAGAGATTACACTAAATAGAACAAAATTATCATGTAAGAACACAAAATCTTGTGACGAGTTGCACAGAAGCTGATAGCCCACTTGATGAAAAATAGTAACCGTCTTGTATACAGATATATGTATACATGATGATGAACATTACAAAGAAGATTGCGATGCCCTTGATACGTTCCCAATGTCTAAAGCCTTCTTCCTTCGTTCCCTAAATAAGTAAATAATAAGTGAGATAAAGATCCACGCAGACGACTTGGCTCCTGTTGATTCAAATCATACAATGGATGACATATATCCTTAACTTGGCTTATTAATTATTGGATAACCATATAATTTGTTTTAGAAGTACCGGTTCATTTTTTTTTTACTTTTTACCTTAAAATTATATACATATTACGGATAGTATATGTATGAAATAAAAATACAAGTATCTTTCTAAAGTCTCGCACTCGCAAATCAGATTGCGAAAAAGTAATGTTATAAGATATCAATTTTTTTTCATAATTATTTATCCAAGATATGTTTAAGTAGATGTAATACAAATGTGATTGGATTCCCTTGTTTTAGACCAAATATAGTTATAGAAGTTTAAAGTAGTTTGTGTACTAATAAGAAACGTCGTTGTGTTTTTCCTGTAATGTATTTAATTGTTGTTGATATTTTGCTTCAGAAATTTTTTATTAAATTTAAACCTACAAAGCAAAATAAACCCAATTCTAGTACGACATTATCCGTCCGATTTGAAAACAGGGACTTGAAATTTAATAGTATAACATAATAGAGTCATGTAACATCAATTGATATCGATATAGGTAAACATTACAGGAAGAATGTAAACGTGGTTCTAACTAAGACATTTTTAGACTTAACATCAAAAATCTGTATTTTTTTTAATTACAATCATTACCTACTTTTTAAATTTAATTATATAATTGTACAGTGTTTAAGTGGTCGCAGAACTGCATTATACTCACATAATTAGGTAAGCGCCAGTGCATCATATTATATAAGAAATGTAACGATCATTTGTATAATCGAATTTCTGCAGCTAATAAATGTACGTTATTCCTTTTGTGTATTATACTTTTAATACCACCCAGGTAAACAGTAAAATCGTCGGTATTATCTCTGATTACCCATTTCAGTCACAAAGAACTAACTTATAACCTGTTTCGGTGGTAGGTCAGTTGAGTTGTATTGGTGAAGTTGGATGTAATGACGTGTAAATGAGAGTAATGATTTCTTAGTCCTCTGAAATGGCAACGCATGAGTGATATCCCGGGCATCATAATGTAACATCTGTAGTGGTATCCTTATATACCAGGATTACCACTAATCATCAGGTGCGCCGTATGCTTGTTCATCATTCCAATTGCTTAAATATATATATTTGTATTTTTTTCATAACGAGTTGCGGCTATCGGTCTTGTTATATAATTATCTCTAATTTAATAATATGCCGAAATAAATATCAAAGTATACTATGCTATGGAATAGGCGAATAGTAATGTAATAAGTACCATATTCACTTTTTTTGTAACTGGTATACCACAAAAATTCATTCCTTGTTTAACATCAGCCTACACAATACAGGACATAAGTGTTTCTAATTATTTCGAATTTTCCTTCCCTGTGATGTATTGTATTCCTTAAAATCTGGCGATATAATGGTGCGGTGACACATTATATAGTTACATCATACACACAACAGCCCAGATGAGAGGCTAATTGCGGAGAATGGAACCATTAAATCATAAACACCTGGAATACATGCTATTTATTCTTTTTTCTATTACATGTATTATATAATTGCAAATATTTAGTTTGGGAATATAATTTATAATATTGATATTGCCCAATACTTATGTCAAATGCCTACTACATGACCGAAGCATCATCAGAAACACAAGCATAAGGGTAAATAAAACAATGTAATGTTATCTATGAACAATGTCTAATAACTACATACTACAGATGTAGGTAACAAAATTTTAATAACGACATAGAAGTAAGGCAGAAATCATAAATTGAGTGACAATTGGAGTATATACTAGTGATTTCTTATTATACATAACTATCTCAATATGAGAACTACATAACCAAGAACAAAAACATGACAATAAGCAAAAACAGTAGGAATATATCATTAAGTTTAAATAGAAAAATCACATATCTTGTACTTTAGTATTTTTCTATTTTATATAATCTTATGACAAGTTGATCTCATCGCTCACAACCGGCAACAATCCAAACATCAACTAGACTAACCTATCATTTTCACCCACATATATATATTTTAATATAGGTATTTCGTGAATAAACTTTGTTATTTATTTGGTTATATTTATTCACGAAATAAATAAAAACATGTTTTAAGTAGTTTGATTTTATAGTATGTGTTCGAATCAAACAAATTAAAACATGTCTATAATTGAAAAGATCAACATTCTAACCCAATTAATTTTACCACAAACAACAAATACTTTTTTACAAGTAACCTTATGACACGTTTGATAGCAAATCATTATCTTGTGCATCACAGTATCGGATTATCTTGTGCATTTCTGTAACATTAGGTGAAGGGTTAAAATTCCCTGTCTAGTATGTCTGCTGCATGCTTCCTGTTATTACAGTGATGTTACTAGTGTCGTGAATACTACAATGATCTAGAGTCTAACAACAGACGAATCATATATTGAATTTCATTTTATATAATATAATTCGAGATTTACATCCCCTTTTTGGACACACATTGATTGGTTGTTAGAAATCTGATCGGAATATATATTTTATTTACAATAACTTTCAATACACAAAATCTATACAATAAACACAGCGCTCGTGTATTAGTTTTCCTATATAAAATATTACTTTCTAATAATTTATGTCTAATACATGTGTACAAAAGGATGTCCTTTTACCAACTGTGGTCTAAATCTATATTATTTAGACGAAAAAAATGCGGTACATTAAAGTTTGCAAGGCAATATATTGTATTTTGTTACTGTGTTGATATTTACTTGTATACACTAGGAATGCAAATACCAGTCAGACAGTGTTGTTCAAAATCACATGACAAACAATAACATAATTTTTTTAAACAAATTCACTATACATTTGTTGAAATATCAGTTCAGCTATAAAGCCACACGAGGTGTCTACAATAAATACACATTTATAATTAGTTAAGCCTTATTCAAACTTTCTTACTCAATCTTTTAGATATTGTTTGCAATGTTTTCACATCATTTTCACTCAGTATAATGTATTTGTTTAATTTTGATATTTTAAAATCAAATAAGTAGTGGAGTACAGTACTGTTTGTATCGCAATACTTTTTCTGTTCAATAGTGGAACTTGTGCTTATTTGTAATGAACTCTCTGGTTTATTTGAATTAGAAATACTTTGTCACTTCTCAGTGTCAATTGATTTCCCAGCAGTCTTCTTGGTTAAGGATTTGTTTCTGGAAGAGGATTCTGCTTTGACTGGAGGTTCAGTTAATTTTGGTGTAGACTGTGCCTCATTAGAATTGTCCAAGGGAGGCAAATCTAAGAGATAAGGCATCATACTGCGAGTTTTTTCTTCTGCAGATAACCATTCCATCTGAAAAAGACAAAATGTAAATGTTTATACAACGTAATAAACGTGGAGTATAATCCTTTAGCCAAAGGTCAAATACACTTCTTTTAGAACAGACACTCGAAAAATCAAAGAACTATTATAATTATGTCTGCAATTATGTATAAAATTGTAAAATATTTCTTTATATTTAATTACCTTCTGTCTGTGATCCCTGACTGCGTCATCGCAAATGTCAATACACATCTGTTCAGTGAGTCGTCCTTCATCAGAAGCATAAGCAGCTGCTTGCCACGCTACACCGAGCTTAGACAGTGCGCGGCCCGACATACCGGCTGTACGTGATGCCAAATTTGAACATAGAGCACCATAATCAAATTGGTCCACACTCAAACGTCTAAAATAAAACAACATACCATTAAGAACAATACAAAATCACATTCATAATATAACTCATTACTATGTTAAAATATTAACCTCTTTCCCTCTGAAGCTGGTTGTAAAACAAATTTATCAAAATAAAGACGAATCAGACGCTCTCGTTCTTCTTGTCCAGGAAGTCCGAATTCAATCATCTTATCAAGTCGGTCATTGATGGCGGAGTCAAATTGCTGAGGAGTGTTAGAAGCTAATACCAACATGATTCTATTACTCTGGTCAGATGTACGATATAGAAAAGCATTCAATGCTGATCTTAAATCTTCACTTATTCTTTCAGACGAACGTTTACGTAAAAATGCATCAGCTTCATCAATAAATAGCAGCACACCTAAAAATAAAACATGTAAATGTATAAATAAGATATTATTTCACTATTTACAGTATACAGTAGAATATTAAGACAAAAAATTACCTTTACTACTTGTATTAGCCCAATCAAATACCTTATGAATAGCAGCAACTGCATCTTTGCCCATAGGTGCAACATCACCGCCAGTTAGAATTGCATAATCCATGCCTGAATGTGTTGCAAGTTTCTAAAACAATAAATCATTAATCAAACTAGGGTTTCAAAACATTATTATCTGAGACAATATTTAAAAAATCGATTAATTTTGGTCCAAATGAAGTATTTATAAGTAAACTATTTCCTATACCACATCTTCCTATTAATACAATGATCAATATTAAAAAACAACCTATCATATTATAAAAGTGGAGAATATAGTTTAGGAATAAAACTTTGAAAGCTCTGTAAGCAATTAGCTCATATGTTCATAAATCAGAGCACTACTGGGCCCTAGTGGTATAACAACATAGAATATTGCTTACTTTAGAAAACAATGTTTTTCCAGTACCAGGTGGACCATACATAAGTAGGTTACGATAAAACCCTTTGTTCACTCTAGTGTTTTTGGTTGCTATAGCAATATCCCGAAGTCGTCTCTCCAGTGTAGGCGCAAGGACCACACCACCCAATGCGTCTGTTGGCTTTCTAAAACTGGTTATTGCTTTAGATATTGTGAGTATAGGGTGTTTCACTGCCTCCAGTAAGGAGAATCTTGAGGTTTCATTCACTAATGTAGGCTTCCCTGCAATTTTTTACAAATAATAATCATATTACTGTTGTCTATCTATTTACAAGTAACAATTTATGTAATGAATATTTATCACCCGTGGACATTTCTGAAGATTTATCTCCTTTATGAGGAGGGGATTGCCAGTAACGGGAAATAGTGACTCCATTGCAAGCAATTATCATGACTCCCATACAGTCTCATTATGATTAATGAATTCGTCAGAATGGGCTAAGTTAGCAAATTTCACTCTCATCCTATCATAGTATTAGCAAAGACGGACAAGTATAAATCACCAAATAAAAAATAAATTAATCTCTTTTTTGCATTTTATATCGTAGAATAACAGCATCACTATTATTTTACGACTTCATAAGTTTATTTATGAAAGCAGATATTTTTATTTTTCTAAAACTCCAAGCATATTTATTAACTTATTTAATATATCGTAATGTAGATTAATAATATTCAATATTAAGGAATTCTTTCTCCAGGGCATTCTATGCTTTTCTCACACCTACTTCCGCTAACATTCACAAGTAATAATAAATGTTTATTTATCGTCATTCCATTCATAAACTTTTCATACGATTTTGATAATACTTTGAAAAATTGAAGAAGCTGATAATAAAAAATTCTTCCGATATCTGTTCATTATGCTTTCTGAAATTTGGTTGCATACTTGATTTCAAAAGAATTTGTGATCCTTGCAATAAATGTATGAAGCCAAGGGAGATCATTCGTTTTAAATAATAATGTTTCTTACCAATCCGAGCTTCAATGAATCTTGCTGTTACTGACGTTGCTCCTTTAGCTGTATACACACCAAGTGCTAAGAGAGATAACCCACCAGCAGCAGCTAAAGTTTTATCCCAATCAGTTACAAGTGCATTTAATCCTGTGCCAATAACAGTCCCTGCAGTCCTGTTAATATTTGGCTCATTACAATTCCGAAATTGGTAATTTGAATTATTCTAATTTTTAATATATTTCTTTATTATAGAAAACATATTAAAGTCCTGGAAGCAGGTACTGTAAGGTGCTTTAGTTAGATTGATGATGAGATTTATATGTGTAATTACAGGGATTGTAGGCGTGACAGACTAGTCTTCCACAATGACAATGGAAAAGGAGAACCATGGATGTTCAGCGACTATATTATGTCTGTGTTACTGTTCAAGAATGATTGCCACTTACCATAATATGAGATTAGATTGTTTGCCATTCCAATTTTGCAATTATAATAAAAAAAGAAAACTACATAATAACTTTTTAAGAAACTGTCTAGATGATTGGTGTAAATGAGATGTTTATTAAATGAAATGCTTACTTGATACTTTCTAAAATAGTAGTCCTATTTTCAGCTGCCTTCAATCTGATTTGTTCAAGTGTAATATCACGATTTTCACGTTCGGCTTTTGCTTTAGCTCTGGCTTCAGCCTCAATGGTTTTCATTTTGTTCTTTTCCCGGAGCTCCATTTCATGTTCAATAGTTGCACGACGTAGAGCTTCTTGTTTTGCGACACTTTCTTCTTGCCTAAATACATATTGCATATTATTTCACAATTACATTGCCATATATTCTTTTATGACTGAAATTTATTATTCATATACAAATAGAAACTGTTATAAACTCACTTTCTCAATATCTCATCTTGACTTTTCTGTTGCTGTATTATTTGCTCCTCATACCGCTTTTTTGCAAGTTGGTCTTGATACTGAGCCCTCATCTGATGTTGTTTGGTTTCTTCCTAAACAAAATAATATCTCTTTATAGAAATTTCAAATGTTTTATATTGATTTATATTACAATGAATTATATTGACAGTAGTTCTCAAAATTAGTGCATTCAATCAATCAACCTCTTCAGTTTTATATGTAGTATACATTACTAATTACATTTAATACTTGCATTCTGCCGTGTCTGACATTTGGATGCGAAACATGGGCCTTAAACAAAGAACAGCGGGAGAAATTGCAAAGATGTTAAAGAGAGAGAATGGAGAGAAGTATGTTAGGGATAAACAGAAAAGACAGACACAGATGTGAGGATATAAGAGCAAAAACTAACTTGACAGACATTCTTGTACAGATAGACCAACAAAAATGGAGATGGACTGGGCACATGATTCGAAGCAAACCTGAAAAATGAAGTACTTGTGTAACTGAATAGTATCCAAGGGAAACAAAAAGAATAAGAGGTAGACCACAGACACGCTGGGAGGATGAAATCAAGCTGACAGCAGGCCCCTACTGGAGAAGAGCAGCCCAAAATAGAGTACACTGGAAGGAATTAGAGGAGGCCTTTGCCATAAAGCACTCTGTACTGCTGGATATAATATAGAAAATGAAATTAATAATTAAACATAAAAAAAAAATTAAACTACTTAACAAACAATAATAGTAAAAAATATATATAATAATAATAAATTTATAGTATAATATAATAATATGAATGAACAGGAATGTAGAAAAAAAAATGTATAATAGTACAGAAATAAAGGCTTCTTTATCTTTATCTTATACATTACTAATAATTTGTGTACCTGTTCTAAATTGTATGAAATTATCTATTAGTTCAAATAGATCAATTCTCACAGGAGGAATCACAGTTTTGTTCTCTTTTCTATAAGTTACATAAAAAATATTTAAACAGTCATACCTGCAATGTTTTGCGCCTCTCTTCATAGTCAATCTTTTTTTGATCAACTTTAGCATGTTCAATTTCTGCTTCATAACCTTTAATTTTTGCCAATTGCTCTTGTTGCTTAGTTGTCTCCTGCAGTTTACTAAGTTCCAATGCTTCCTTTGCATGTTCTGAAATTAATTTCAATAAAAAATAATGAATTAATAGAATTATACTGATTAGTTGAAATTCATTATTATTTCTGAATGTCATAACAATAGTATCTTTTATTATACTATACAATTCAATTGCTCTAATATGGAGCAGGAGTAGTGTACAAAGAAAAGAAAAAACTTTATTGTGTCTACCTACCCTATAAAGCAACTAGCGTAAAGATAGATGTTACAACATTAAAGAATCTCGCCTGAACTAAAAATATCTTTAATATTTGTAAAAAGTAATTACATTTACAATTTATAATAAATACGTCAGCACATATTTTAAAAATTAATAATATATTCATACAGCGCAGACACAAAAAGGCAGAGGTTATGCGGTCGTATTATGCAATAATAAGAAACGTGACTGATAAGAAATAAATGGAATATGCTCACTTGATCTTTCCAGCTCCCTCGCGGCTTGGGCTGCTCTCTCTAAGGCACTAGAATCAAACCGATAAGCTTCCATAGCTTTCTTTTCTGACTTAGAAAGGTTAACCGCAGGTGCTGCTGCACCCCCGTTTTCTGCAGGTGGATCATCTGTAGGAGGTTGTGGAGGTTTCGTACTGTACCCAAATAACCAAGACATTTTGTTAAGGTTAACTTTATTTAATTAAATGAAAATAGGAAAGGTGATATATAAAATAGTAACAAAAGAGAATAAAGTAAGAATTAAATACACCGCGTTAGACAAACTGAATGACTAATGAAGAATAAATTGAAAATTGGTTGACTGACTGATTGAGTGAATGAAGATTATCAGTAAGTCATGAACTACCATAAAGCTGTCATTTGAAAGTCAATGTCAAATTGACGTTTATGATGTTTGTCAATTTAGCACAGAACAGAACGAAATAATTGTCAGTAGTAGTGGTATATTTTATCCACAAGTGGATAGGCAAAGGTACGAGACCATACAGCCTAATCTTCAATGAAATAATTGTCATATTAGTCAATTCATTCTCAGAAATTTGTAAGGAATTGTATTTATAAACTGTCATTCACTGAGTAAGTAATCACTACGTTTGATGACGTAATGATAAATTAATATATACATTCATCAAAAAAAGTCTATTCAACACATACTATTTCAAATTATTAATCAATTATTATAACATTTCTTACCAACTAGATAATACCTATGTAAATTTTTTTAATCTAGAGGTGTAATCCCGGCCAATTTTGGCCACGGCGACTGTCTTCAACCCCGGTTTTGCCGTTGATGTGCTCGCATGTGACTTATGTAGCCAATTTTCTTTGTAAAAATACTCGCGCATTGCAGGCATGAGAGGACACCGTTCACACTGTCGCACTGCTTCATGTGTCGCTTCAGCACATCTTTGTACCTGAGGAGTTGTCCGCCATGCTTCCGTTTACTTTTCTCTAGTTTTGATGCACTTAGCCGTTCTTTCCTTCATCATACGCATCATATGCCCGTATGACTGAAGCTGAAGCCGCATAAGATAAAATTCAATGCCACCTACATTGGCCCTTCGCAGCACTTCGGTATTCCGTACGGTCAGACTATCGGATGTGATATATTTTCCGTAAGCACTTGAGGTGGAATGGAGGAAGTCTCGGGGGACAGCTAGTTTCCAATAAATATGCTTAATTAACGATAATATAAATAAGAGATATTTTTACTAACAAAAACAGTTGATTTTGGGTAAAATACTTTTTTGGTAAGGCGAAACTGTATGTTACGTTCCTATGTATGTAGGTACTATGTACGTCCGTCGCATCGATAGAAATTGTATAGCTGTTTTAATTCTATTTTCAAGGTATCAATATCAGCTATTCTGTTATGTATTATATCCTATTGTTTTCTTTGGAACAGTTTTAGGCACTGAGCAAATAACCATTTAACTTATCTTTTAGTTTAAAAGGTGTGCCACATTGCACGAAAATATAAATTCGAGAAAAATAAAGTACTAATATATTTCAGTGAAGTCAGTAGGTAAGTGTAAGCGAGTATACTATCCCATTATAAAAGAAATATAAAATGTTTCCCCTATGGGTTCGTAAAACATGAATCTGAATGCAATACTTAATTATTGAAAAAATTAAGAGACATTATTGAATGTCCCTTAATTTTTTCAATAAATATAAAATGTTTCCTCTATGGGTTCGTAAAACATGAATCTGATTGCAATACTTAATTATTGAAAAAATTAAGGGACATTCAATAATGGTGGAGTACTGACTCCACCTTCTGACATTATTGAATGTCCCTTAATTTATTCAACTGCGTTAACTAACGTATATAAACATCAGATTTTATTTCAGTTATATGTATGTTAATGTCATATCATCCCAAGCCACAGCAAAAAAATATTGCTTTTGCAAACAGACAAATGATAGTTTATTGTGTACCTACAAATGAAGCTATGTGCAGAAATTAAAATCCAACATACAATATTCTCTATCTATATTCAATGTACCTATTCGTTACTATCAGTGAATGTACAGAAAACAGTATCAGAATATTGTATAACTAAATTTTTGTTTATTTACTATTTTTTAATTTCCGTGTAGGCATCACATTAGTATAGTGCTAGAGTCTAAATCCCTACGTTGTTTTGTAACTTCCGTTGTTTAATGGACTATTATATATTAAAAAATTAGCAAAAGAAATTAGGAAACTACAGATTTGTATTAATATTTTTTTATTTTGTAAAATACCAGATATCTTATACATATTCAAATCATTATTATCCTTCTAAATTAATTAAGCAATATGTAAAAGCATTGCACCGTAATATATATTTTTTTCCTTAAATGAATCAAGTACACCAGGCCTGACATTCAACACGGAACGGCTCACCCATGTAACTCTGATTAACATAAACATATGGTTAGGTATTTCGTAATGAATACCTGCGTGGGAATTTACTATTTAAGTAACTAGTAAATACTAAACATTCATTTACGAGGTCACTGATAGCATGCAGACATAATTAAGCATCAACTAACGTTAAATACACACAGTATTAAAGTAATTATTGGTACGAGACAACTACTTTCATTTACAATAGTCTATTTTATAATCTCGGAGACAAAATTGATTAACAAATAATGGTATGACCTATAGCTATATCTGCGATATCGATTTGTTGAATCATAGTTTCTATTTTTGCTTATTACTTTTAGTGCTTCATACGAAATTTGCGCACAATATATTTTGAAAATTTACATATGTACACTAGTATTGTCGTTGTTTATTAAATACAAAATTATTTTTTGTGTTTTCCGTACATATAGTACCTTTACAGTGTTAAGCTACAAACCATCCTTTTTTTCATACAATTAAAAATGTTTAATATATGTATATTTTATGACACCGTACGCTAGACATTTGTTTTAGTCAAAAATATATCAATAAAAAAATAATTTGATTCAACAACCATAATTTTATTGATACCTACTTTATAAATTTTTTGTTAATGCGTTTTCAAAAAATACTCTCGATTTATTTCTGAGTAACCAAATATTATTTTCCGGTTTTTGTAGCACTACACAACCCTAATTAAAAATGAATAAATGCTGACAAAATAGGTAATGTAGAATTTGTCTCCAGGGTTATAAAGGTCCAGACTAGCTATAGACTATAGCCAGTATAATTACAGATATGGTCACATATTCCGTACTCATAATACTACAGTTAAGTAATATGTGACCACACTAAAACCAATATATATGATATGACTCATAACTGTATAGAGATTTAAAAAAATATGGACTTTAGTTTCTCTTATTTCACATTAGATACCTTGAATACAATGCAGGCACACAGAATGTACTGAATACGTACTTTAAAACAAATTAGCATCATAATTCTTAAGAAAGTTAACAAATTTATTAATAATGTAACAATACACACATTAATTGATAATAAGTACATGCATCTTTTGCCACATCATCATTACCTATATCAATATAGCAATAGTCACATACATCAAATCGTTTATTTCGTTACAACCATCTTCTTTTGTAAAATACAGTATAATGTAGTTGAGTTGGTACTACCAATCCAGCTACTCATCTTGGTACTGCTCATTAATTACTAATATTAACCATATTTAAATCCTACAGTTAATCTGAATACATTACATAAAGTATATTTTTAACAATGTACTTTTTTATACCACAATGGTGGTAAATACTGCCCATCTGATGGTAAATGGTTACACAGAGATCTGTTGTGTATTTCTAATCTAAATAATGTTTCTAGATTATAGGTACAATATGTGACATTAACTAGTTTCTTTAGGTCACATTGCAGTTTTGTCATTAGTATACATAGATAAAACAATAATATAGATAAATACACATTTACTTTGCAAGTAATCAAAAATAGAACTTATTGCCTATATTAAAGATGCAATAGCATAAAAAAATGACATTAGGCAATAGAGTTCTATTTTCACCTAAATAGCCTTAAATTAAATATCAGTTAATATAATTAAAAAGAGAAATATTAATAAATATTCAATTAATTGATCAAAATCAATGTTGTTAAAACATACTTAGTTAACTTGATCATCACTTTGTATAAAAAAAGTTAAATGAATGAATATTAATATCAACATTATCAGATCCATAAAAGATTCATTTAGTTGTATATAGATTTTTACATCAATATTACTATGAAGTGTCTAAATTGTAAACATTTATCGCCGATAACGTCCAAGATAGGCTCCACAATGAGGGCACTTATGGTGTACATCCATACAGCTATCAATGCAGCAAGGTATAAGACAGCAACCACAAAAGCATCTGCAAATAATCATTATATTCATTATAATCATTTATATTTTATTATATTATAGCAAATAATCATTTCTTTTTTACATAATATTTAAATACTTTATACATAAAGTTAAATCATATTAGATTGGAATATTTATTCTACTAATTAATAGAACAAACATATACATAGATTGAGTAAAATTTTTCATTTTTAAATTGATGAAGACATGTTTTTTTATTAATTTTGTCTCATGTAATTACAACTCACCCCAATAGGAATATAATAGCTCCTGAAATGTATGCAATTAGGCCAGGCTTTGTTTGAGTGGCAGTGTCAATTTCTGCATGACAGCTTGGACATATCATATGAGTGGGATGAGGACCTACAGCTACCACTGTAGTGACGATAGGTGGACCAGCAGCTGAAATATATCATATAAATTATATTTACATTTAAATTAATAAACAATATCTGACAGATTCTGTACTAAAAACATTGCAGTCAATATGGAAATACTTCATTCATTTATCTATCCATGCTATGTTTTATAAATTTTGTTGTAACTGGCTAATCAGATATGTATTTTATATTCTAAATTTGTATTTGAATTTATAGTTCTTTTATATTACATTCTTGTTTTTGATACTTTAATTCCTTCTTTCTATTTTTAATTGTCAGTAGTCTATATTAATATATTTTCTCCATTTTACCTAGTCTTTTTTCTTGTTACTACAACAAATTTACTAGTCCTATATATATATACATCTGTGGAATCTGTTTATATAGAGAAAAAACATGTTATTCTAATAGGACGCCTTTAAAAGCTTTTTGTAAAAATCAACAATTTCCTGTTTTGTGTTAGTACATATGTATTTATTTTTATAGAGAGAAACAAAATACATGATATCATTTTTAATATTGCTATGTAACAGGGATGTTAAGGAGCTCCATAAACATAACCAAAAGTATCAGATATCCAACAAAAAAAAAAAATCGGTAACTGTACCGAATCCGAAATAAAAGTTTCGGATAATATCGGATAGGGGTGGAGCCTAATTGAGACACATTATGTAACCATTTTATCAGCTATTTGTATTTAACTTTTGAGATTCCAAAAAATTAATAATCACAACTGAATTATCTGAAAGTAACGGATAATCTGAAATAATTTCATATCCATATCCAGTATAATAATTATTCCTATATCCAAAACTTATCCATAGCCAAAATTTCGTATCCATAACATCCCTGCTATGAAAATAAAACAATTCTGTAGCTTTAAAATTAAAACAAAAGCGCCACCACAATGATGTCAGTCACTATAACTGGAATTTATTAAAAGTGGTCACAATAAGCCACATGTCACTATAAGTAGCCATTATATCTGAATTTTATATGAAAACCAAACTTCCCTATGTAATTACATCATAGTAAGAGGTTGGTAAGTATAGGTGGAGTCATAATAAATGAAAAAGAAAGAAAGAAAAATATATTTAATAAATGGCGTATTAGATACTGTTAGTTCAATCAAACCAGACATTAGAGGTAGGCTTTACACGTACAACGGCCCAGATGAGAGACCAATTGTGGAAAATGGAGTTCAACTTACATTACATTACCAGACATTAGATCTGGATATAAATTGATCTCATACTGAGTTGAAGACCTAAGAGGAGAAAGGCTTCAAGCCTTTCTCCTCTTAGAAGATAAATTACTTAAATTATACAATATTGATAGATACAACTTGCTCTACAGCCCTATGTTATCACATTTGCATTGCATTACTGTTTTGTTTTATATTCAACATTGCATAGATCTTTCCAAATTAATATAACAGAAAACATAAGGCTGTATTCTAAATATAATAATAGACATATAGTTTATTATAAAAGAAGATATTTTTTGTTACAATACAAATTTCATTTACTATTCGGTAAACTTAACTACAATCTATAATGTTTTTGTAATTTTATCCACTTTATAGATGGAATGATCTGAAAAATTGTTGCATAGAAAAAAATATTTGATGTGGTGTGGAAAACTACAAGAAAATACTTAAAGAGTTATCTTACAAAAGTATATATTTATGTAGAACAAGGTTAAATTCTATGGCCCAATGGAATATACCTTAGTTTTAAAATATATTTATACCATCAAATGTGTTACTTGAAATAAAAGTACTTAGCTAGAATCTAGAAAGTAATAGTAGGTGTACAGTGTCTCTTTCATTTATATTTTTGAGCATACAATTTAAAACTGTGACAAGGTCACTCCTCCTATTTGGAAATAATTGTATATGTGTTGATTCTAAACAGTTATTATTAAGATATACTTACATGCTGGATATTGTGGAGTATATGGGCTCGAAGGTCCTACTCCTCCGACAGCCTGAGAGTAGCTAGGGGGTGCAGCAGGCGGTGGCTGAAGAGTATGGCCATTTCCCCAACCATATGGCGGTGGATTCCCACTTTTCTCCATATTACACTTAAATAAAAAATACTATGTAAACAACAATACAACAATTGTCATAAAAATTAACAATATATTCGTAGTCAATGATGCAATACAATCTTGAAGCTATTTTTAGACATGATTCCACATTTCCACAAGTTTGACGCAACAACAACAACCTAGTGATGGCTGAAATGTTCGATTTTTTAGGGCAATTAAGTTTAAAGAAAGATGCATTCACAGATTTTTATAAATTAACATTCTACTATATGATATGTAGATGGGTAATTTTATTTATTTACCTAATAAAATGGAACTTTGATTAAAAAACTAAATATACGACAATTAACCTATTTTTATTTTTTATCCAATACCACAGATTCGATCCACAACCCAAACTAAATTGCTAATACTACGCAACCACAGATTACGAATATTCACTTAACATCGATATATCGAATCTACTCGATTGTTGCCACACGACATATGGGACACATTCGTTATTTTGTTATTTTCTTCTATCATATTATACCCAAATTTTTTTAGAAACATTGAATCCCAAAAAACGACTTCGTACTATTATGTATTAGTCAGAGTTAGTACAATATGAACTAAGGTAATTTTTATCATTAGTTTCGAATAAAGATTATCTTAGATTATCAGGTTACTTTATCGTTTCGTTACTTTTGATACATCGGACAGCCATATTTTTTATTTTAAATTGGTTAATTAAAGTAATAGCTACATAGCGATCGTTTCCAGAAGTCCTTAGAATAGAGAGTAGTGCTTAAATTAATACACACAAAAGTATGAAAAAAATTATATAAAGTACAAGTACAATAATTATGTTATTGCGTTGATAATTTCTGGTTAGCGATTTTTTACACGCAATATGAAATTTATGAGTGAAGATAATAATAGAAAAAAATATAAAAGGAAAATAGGCAGTGGCAGCTTGTACCAAAGACAAATAGCTAGTACAGTGAATGAATTCTCGTAAAAAAAAGTGCAATGTACTGGCGTTATGAACTTAAGACTCCTTGATGACCTTAAATTAAAATAATAAAGAAAAAGAATTTCTTAGGTACATCTTGATATTTTTGATTAGAATGGTTTTTATTTTCAATGGGATGCGATGTTTACCTTCTCTTTGTAGGTAAAATTACTGACGTGCGTTAATGGTTAAATATTTTCTTTATAATTTAATTTGACTTAAATTTTAGTAATTACGGGACTATAATAACTATGTAACTACAATAGTCATGACTTCTCCAATAAATTATCTACGTGACTGCAGTAACTAACAGTTACTACATTTACTATCACTATGTAACTATGATACCTCTCTTAGGTAGCATTTTATCATCAAATAAATAACATTGACCATGTGACAATAGCTACTACTACAAAAATTTGTACATCAGTATAGTGCTGTACTCAATACTTCGTATTCGGTACGTATCATACGCAACAGACTGTTGCGTATGATACGTACCGTTACTACCATACTGTTTATTACTATGAACCTACTGTACGTGCCTAGTTAGATTTCTAAAAGTGGGCTGTATGTGTGTGTGTATGTAGAAGTCAAAAGTGAATTCAAGTGTAAATATTTACTTTTTAAATATTTATTTTGAAAGAAATTTATAAATTTACTGAACTATCTGCAATCACAAAGATATATTTTCATTAAAGAAGACACAAGTATAATCATTATTTAATGTAATATGTAGTTATTTTCGTACTGCATGATTCATGACTTATTTTTCCCTGTAGGAGTTGAAAAATGTCTTCACCACGCCCGAAATCGCCTCGCACTCCTGTTTTACCTAAAAAGGAAGACAAGGAAGAATCTATTTGGGATAAACTTGGTACAATTGGACGTAAAAAACGTATTAAGGAAGGCAAGTATTCTATTTCGTCACGTATTATAATCATATGTACGAAAGCTCGTGGGAAGATAAATTGGCATTGACCTACTAAATGGTACCCAATTACGGTAAAACCCAGTACCTACATAATTTGGTTGTTACTTTTTTTACATGCCACATACTGGAGAATTCCAGCCACTCTCTGTAGATGACCAAAATAGAAATAGAGAAAATTTATAACAAAATTCTAATAGTGAAATGTAACGCAAACTGAATGTTTGTGTAATAAGGTTTTACTTAAAAATAGTTGCAGCAATAAAGTTGATTTTTCCCAGATAATGTATATGTGTATGGATTAATACATATGTTAAAGAAAAAGAAATGTTTTGGCTGTTTTTTATGCACTAAAATACTATAAAATGCTTTATTTATTGTTAGCATTTGATTATCATCTATTTGTGCAGTATACAATTTATGATAATGATTTCGGATGATTGTGATTTATGATGTATAAGAGGTTGCAGGCGCAATTAGTCTGTAATACTTTATATATACACTTATTTTTAGTGCAAGAGGTTCAAGCAGAAGGCAAGCATGCTATTGATTCACCCGGCAGTCCAACTGCGCCAGAAATACCTCCAGAGGAATACAGCTTGCGTAAGTCTGTCTTCTATTAATTGTCATTTAATTATAATGTTGTATTATTATTCAAAATAAAATAAATATATTTGTATTTTCTGTATAATGTTGAACAAATCATAACAAATCTTAATATAATTACAAGTATGTAGTATGCTAAAAATAATATTAGTACTATTAAAGTTAATATATTATTTTAGTTGACAATGAAGAAAGAGCAATCATAGAACCCAAGTCTTTAGAAGATCCAAGGGTCAAGGAATTGATCCAGGTGCTTATAGATTGGATCAATGATGAACTTGCCATGCAAAGGATTATTGTTAAAGAAATTGGTGAGGATCTATATGATGGTCAAGTTCTACAAAAACTGTTAGAAAAATTGACAGTAACCAAACTTGATGTACCAGAGGTAACACAATCAGAAGAGGGACAGAGACAAAAGTTAGCTATTGTTCTAAGAGCTGTAAATAAGGTACAACAATATCATAAGAACTCATCATCATAAGAGTTATCCTGTATCTATAAAAACTGATCATCATGTCAAATTTTAGGTGCTGTTTGGATCTACAAAACCCGCCCAGAAGTGGAGTGTAGATTCCATACATTCAAAGAGTGTTGTATCCATTTTGCACTTACTAGTTGCATTGGCTCGTCATTTCCGGGCTCCTGTTCGACTTCCAGAGAATGTAAAAGTTGCAGTGCTTGTTGTTAAAAAGGAAACCAGCCCAGGAATGCAGCTTTCTCATAGGTAAGAATGTTTACACTAACAAATTTGTATAATCTTATTTATTTAGTATATATAATAATCTATACTAAATAAACAGTCTCACTCTGATTTAATTTAAAACTGCACTTTGTCTATGAGTGTATTTAACAATCTCAACCTAGTTTATTTGTATACATTAGATCATATAAAAATTAAGAAAATCAAAGTATAAATAATTCACATACAAAATATACACAAAGAAAATAATTTAGTAAATAAACATGACAGCAATGAACTTAAACAAGTTTTTTCTTGTTTTAGAAGTTTTATGGAGGACATCACAACCACATATGATGATTTGGGTATGAAATGTGAAAGAGATGCATTTGATGCTTTGTTTGATCATGCACCTGAAAAATTACAAGTTGTCAAAAAGGTACAAAAACTTGATTACATATTAACAAATAAATTTCATATCATGTCTTATTATAATTAAGTATATTTTCTTTTTCAGTCCCTCATAACTTTTGTTAACAAACATCTAAGCAAGGTATATCTGGAAGTGACAGATTTAGATACTCAGTTCCATGACGGTGTTTACCTTTGCCTTCTGATGGGTCTGTTGGAAGGGTTTTTTGTCCCACTTTATGATTTCCATCTCACTCCACAAGATTTTGATCAAAAAGTGCACAATGTTTCATTTGCTTTTGAATTGATGCAGGATGTGGGACTTGCGAAGCCTAAAGCTAGACCTGAAGGTACTGTTATATATGTTCAATAACAAACATAGATTTTTTAACGATACGTTTTTCTATCTTCTAAACCATAGAACCATATTAGGCATACACACAAGACCAAATTATAAAATTTTATCAGGTTATCCTGGAATAATTTTATGTTTAATGAATATTCATATTGTTTAAATAATTAATGTCTAGATATATAGTGATCTTCCTTTTCTTTGTTTGATTTCTATTCTTTTATTTATTTCAGATATTGTGAATCTGGATCTCAAGTCAACACTGCGAGTTCTTTACAATCTGTTTACAAAATACAAAAATTTGCCATAGGAATTTATTTCCACATGAGTTTTTACTTTACTTAGGTAGTTACTTTTTAAATAACAAAACATATTATTAATTTAATTGTATTCAAATAATTTTAACTAATTGTGCCTTATACTTAAATAATATAATAATAAATAATAAACTAACACAAAAAATTCGTTTTATTTAGAGGTTAAATATTTACTACTCTTTGCACCTTAGATTGTTGTGCTCTGCTCCATCTGTTATTATGGGCACAGTAGAGCATGAATGTACTATGTAAAAATAGTAATTTACTTCAGTTTCTGGTGCGATAGAGTTTACATAACTACGTATGAACTAGTAATTTTTAATTTTCAGGCGAGTTACAGTAAACTGAATTGTCTAATAAGTAATTGCGTTACTCAATTATAACTCGGGGCACCTAACAACGCCACATCAAATATAATTTAATATCGTAAACATAGCAGTTTGCAATGCTTCTATTAGACTATATCACATTAGTAGTATTATGATTAGTTTGAATTAATAAATGTGTCATAAACGGATTAAAATAAAACAATAGCATGTAAATGGATTAAGTTTATTTCCTAAAAAATATGTGGCGTTACAGACCAAATTTTTTAATCAGAGTAGAGTATAAATAATAAAATAATGAAGTATAATCCATTCTCAAGTAAAAATGAAAATAAAGTTTTGAAATGAAATAATGCTGGTCATATGCTTTATAAAACATTACAAAAAATATTTAAGGTCTAATCTATGTATGTAACATATCTCTAACTAAAACTCAAATATGAAATAATATTTTTATAACATTATTATTGCTATTTCATTGTAAACGTGAATCTTAAATTAGCCATATGTTATATATTAACAATTAAAACAGGTGAAATAAATTATATCAGTAAAGAAACAGCATTACAATATATTATGAATTTCTGGTATTTGATTTGTGAATTATATAATTATATTATACCTACTTTGCAGCGTTATTGCACACAGTAGAACTTACAATAAAGCATTAACAAAAAATAAAATTGGTACTGTTAATTTTCATAACGTATATCCATTTATATAATAATTATACGGAATCTATTTATTTGAATTCTTATTACATTATTAAGTAATTATAAAATATAACACTTAACAAGAGATAGGTGTTAAGAGGCATTCATCGGTTTAAATTAACAATTAACTAAGTATATATACTTTAAAATCTGAATCCCTGTATGCATGAGACTCATTTAATCTACCTATTTAGCGACCTAAACATAATAACGAAGCGCTACTGAACCGATGATTGCTTCCTAATATTAAAATGCTATATAAATAACAGAGTAAAATATAATAGAGAATTTATACTATAGTCTAGCTGCCAAAAATAGGATTACCTACATTATTGCTATTGCTGCAATTTATAAATTATAATGCAGTAAAATAAGATAGAATAAAATAAGCAACATTACACCTAGTGAGTGAAGCTGTAATTCCGTTCGGATGGTAATTTGCTGTGTCAATGCTTAGCTGCCGCAATAATGTTGATACTATTTCTACGAAAACCTGATTACATAATGATAATATTTTTTATTTGAGAAATTCTAGAGATTTCTAAGGGATTCCTATTACTACATGGACAAAATCTAGGTATTAGGTATACAGCCTTTCGTAGAATATTATACAATGACGTGAGTATTTTACGTAAAATAAATTAATTAATAAAATATTATATCTTAAAATTACTAATAATACAATTAAATAAATACGGGCAATATTGCCAACACGAATATGTCCCTGCGTCAACAAATAATAACTATACAATTTTTAAATGGAGGCAAACAATACAATTTGAAGTTTTGTTCTATTTTTATGCAATAAGTGAAGATATTTTAATATGCAAAATAATAGGTGCACCTGATATATGGTAATAATGATAAAAAAAAACATTAGGAATGTTTTTATGAAAATATAATTCAAATTTCTACAGCTAAAGTTACAAATTTAAACGTTAACGGATCAACGGCGGTTATTGTAGCCAGTTTTAGGTTTTTTAATTAATAAGTACTAGTTTAGATATTAAAATATAAATCTACCCTAAAAAAATAGTAATATACAAATGGAATGTTTCTTTCGAAATGAATTTAAGGCAGTCAATGTAAATATTTAGAAATATATAGTTTTTCTTAAAAAATTAAACAGATTTAATTTGTAATAATTTTGATAAAGTAATGTGATTGCGTAAAGACTCAAGAGTCGAAATCAAAATAGTAATTAAACACAAATATTAGAAAATAATTAAATATTTACCTTTACTAAACATTGTATCGGGTGTATCTACAGATATTGAACTACATATTGATCGATTTCAAAAGTACGAACTACATTAGAATTAATTCTACCTGTACTACTGTTTAACTACGAGCATATAAAAGGTATTCTCTACAGCGCATCAATGTAATAATTGGCATCGTGAGTCAGACAAGTTAAAATATCTTTAAAGTACTTCAGGTTAGTTTATATCTTCTATTAATATGACAGTTCTCATTGAACTTGGATATTAAAGGAATACATATTATCTGATATTGCTTTATGAAGGCAAGAAAACGTCTTTAAGTTTTCTGATATTATGGAATACGTATTCCTTTAAGCTATTATGTAGTCATTTCATAGCACCTACTACTATTTTATCAGAATCAAGTATTCTATAAATAAATTTAAGTTAGCTAAGTTTAGATTAAAGTAATTATAGTTGGAATAGAAACTTATTTAAGCAATATACATAGTATCTGCTAACTTGTAATTACTATATTGGCAATGAAAAGTGAAAGAATGAACCTTCTTACCATTATTATTGTAGTAATATGGATGGTGTAATTTTTTTTATGATTTATGATAACCTGCTCCTGAAGTTGATAATAAATATGTTGTTTATTTTTGTTAGACACATAGTTGCTACAATAATATGGTACAAATCCATATTTGTAATTTAGTTAACTAATTTTACACTTCAGAATTACTTTACTTACATTACAAACAAAATAGTAATATCATTGTGTAACTATATTAATAAATTTGTAAATCAATCCAAATCGATTTTTTTAAATTACTACTACTACTTTACTAGCTGTTCTAGCACTATCTTAGTTTCAAAGGTAAACGTTTTTAAGTCTAGCGTCATCTAACTTGATTTTTTTGTTAAGTATGCATCAGCGTTAGCAGATACTTTAAGTTACACTATGCCAAATGTGACAAGAAAATAAAATTACAGTCGATTAATTACAATAATATTGTGTTTTTATTGTTATACTGCTGAATCTATAGCAACCAATTTTGGATTCTCGAATGATACAAAGAAAAGGAACGGCGTTGACATATAAAAGTGCAACACTTTCGTCGCTTTATATGCAGGGAAGATAATTTATTACTTAAAACTCTAGTCAACGTTTAAAAAATTATGGCATAGCGTAACATGTACATTGTAAATTAGCATTAATACCTACGAGTATGTATTAATGCAGATTGTAGCTCAAATATACAAACTATTTCATTTACAAAAAATAGAAATTGAAACTTTACCTGTATCATAATAAACGATGTACTTCCAAAATTGACTTCAATTTCTAATTACATTTTATGATGATATAAAAAATGGTTCAGTAAGACAAAGTACAAATAATAATCTATTCCCCTAGAAAATTCACGGGAATTAGCTACGTCGCTTTTCGTGTTGTTAGTGTGAAGTCCAGCGATGCGGAGGACTCCCGACGTAGTGTTAATTTTAATTTGTCATCCTCCTCTAAGTCTTCTTCAACTGAGATGGCATGAGTGAGTTCTTTGTGGCCCAGCGAACGAGCTCTCCATGCTTCTAATCTCATGACCTACACATAAAAATTATTATTTTACTAAAGATTTATAGCATATAAAATATAATTGTAATATATTAAGGTAATAATTCTACTTGCACCTCCATCGGTGCTTTATATCCGTGAATCACGGTCGTTTTGTCATCGATTGTATAGTACCTACTAAAGTTAAGCTAAGGCTACGATGTTGTTGCTCTACCTTGTCATGAATAGAGATAGTAGTGTTTTATATATACATTATATTTTATATATAAAAAATTTGTGGTATAATATACACTATACAGAAGAACTATATTTAAACCAGATGATTGATTTAATTCATGATATTCAAGCAGTGTTATAGTTTATATGTCTGTATTCATACATTCTTTGTTACTAATGTTCAGGTAAAAAGACAACTTGATTTAACAATTTTCAATGGCAAAGTGGCAATTAATAAGTTACAATTTACAATAAGTTAATACTATTATTAAGAACTAGCAAAGAAAACGAACACAGTAATTTACTAGTCGATAATATATAAAATCATGTGCTCTAGATGGGTACAGTTTAGATTTGCAAATATAAAGAAGAACAGATTATAACATTTGGAAATAAATTATTATTAAACATATCCTAAAATCAAACAGTAATGCATAGATTTCATAGCAAAGCGATGCATGTGGTTATTGAATAAATTAATGCATTGGATAGAAAACGGTAATGTTAAAACTCATAACAGAAAGTATGCAAAATATTACAGCAAACATGCAACATATTAATCCGGAATCATTAATATATACACATAAAATAATACAGTTCGTCTAACATCAAATAGTACTATTCAGTTTTCGTCTGTCTGTAATACCTTTACTTAAACCAACCCAACACTATGAAGAATTTAAAAATGGAATAATGTCATTGCACTACAATAACATAATGAGTACATTACAAAATATTAAAACAGAATTAATCTTATTTTCACATTATATATATATATTTACTTTTTTAAAACTCATGCTAGTGCGTCATATCGTGACATTAATGTTTCCTTTGTACTTTATGTAAATCATAATCTATAGTTGATGTTTATTTAATTCTGTACAACACTAGAGAAAAATATGAAGAATGAATTAACTTTGTTTCACAGTAAAATGCTATGACACTGACTGTGTATTACTTTGTAAAAATTCATAATAAAAATAACTTGTTATTTTTATTAATATTCAATCTAAAATTTGTTCATCCCTTCTTACCGGCATGATAGCTTTATGGAGGCCCCACGCTTATTGTATGGTTTATATTACTTTAAACTATATTTATTATAAACTCAAAAATAAGTGGTGTAATTGTTATTGTATGCATTATTTATTATTCTCAACATATATTATTCTGAGCAAACCTAGTAGCATTAGTAGCAGTTGTATATGTATATCACGTTACTATACATTACATAACGGCCATAGAGAATAATGAAAGTATTATCTGTTACAGACATGCGGCGCATATATAATAAAATATGTATGTATATAGATACATAGACAGATACCAACATATTAGATAATAAAAAACTAGTAAGATATAAAAAAATACTTTCACGAATACATAAGTTACAACATCAAAGTTAAAAGCTATAGGTATATGTATTACACATTTAATTTAAGATACAACATACACAAACAAATGCAAGACAATACTTTCCCTACATTCTTGTGCTAACCTGTTAATTCGATTTTAAAGTTCACAATTGTTTTTTTAGTAACAGTAGTAGTACTGTATTTACCATTACTGTTTTATACAATTCTCACAATTTATTATACAGTACAGGAAACATTATGACAATATGGTCGAAATGTAATAAAACCGAGTTGACAGGTTACCACGTGACAACTATTCAGACGGATGGATATACAAAACTTACTCGACCCATTTCCAGGGCTCAGTGTCCGGTGTGGTGATTGGTGTCGGAAACTGTGCAGTGCCAAACAGAATAATCAGATACATCCATACAAGCGTATCATAGTAAATATATTACAAATAACAATCATTGCGTTAACGTATAATTTCTGATATTGTATAATCTGACGAATTATAATTTCAAAATTGTTCTATTCATCATATATCGTGACCATATAGATATATAAAGTTTCTAATACAATAATAGTGTCCCCAACAAAAAAAAAAGCACAATGTTTACAATGACGTGAAGCGTAATTGAGTCGGCAATGTGTGTAAATATATGTTAAACACATATTATGTAATATACCATCGTTTATTAGTAACACAGATATACTGTCAATAAAAGTATTTACATTGTTTTTGTGATTAAGCATGTTATAATGATTAAGTTATAAAAGCAAAGCACTAAGGCGCGTGTTACAGCGTTTATTATATTAGTTTATACATTTGTATTAGTAAAATGCACACAAAATGTCAAATTACTACGTGAAAATGATTAGGAACATTAAGAACTCATTAGTGGTAGTAAAATAATTATAAATTATACCAATCTAAATTGAGGTACACATATATACTACAAACGTATGATATTGGGAAAAATTAAAGTCATTAACAGTATTTATTTTGAATAAATACATTCTAGAGTAGCATTAAAATCACAAGAAACCAAACTAACCAAGTTTATGCAATTATGACATAGCAGACTAAATATTTTTGAATGTTTTTTTTATTAATAATGTGTTATTTAATAGCGTATTTCAAAATATATTACATTCAGTAAAATAACCAATCTCCAGTTATGTAATTTTTGTACAAATATAATATACTTACTACAAGACTTATAGTTTTCATAACTGTGTACATTATTATTTAAGAATATTAAATTTAAATTTCATCGTGTGCACCTGTCAGAAGTACTTACATCCGCTTTGAGTTCGGCAACCTGTTCCTGCAGTTCGCGCACTCTATCCGAGTCATCCATGTTGCTACGTAGTTCGCCCTCAGTTGCCATTACTTCGTTCTAGATAAGAAAAAACATAATAAATCTATGTAAATTTACAATGGCTGACAGTCTTTTTACTTTATCATACAAAACAAAAGGAATATATAAAATAGTTTTTTTAGAGCTGATAAACTTACAAATCGTTGATCAGATCGAAGTTATAATCTGTTAAAAATAAGTCTTCTGAAGATTAGGTAAATCACCATCATCAGCAACATATTACTTAATATTATATATAGATAATACCATCGTTGGAAATATACCTTTAATTTATATTCGGAAACCTCTGTCTCTAGTTCAGCTATTCTTTGCGCGTCTTCCATATTTCTTATATTTGCCTGCATGGAATCATATTTTGCCTGAAAAAAAAATATACATACATTTTGTAATAGACTACAAATTTAAAAAGTAGAAGTGAGATAATAGGAAGAAAAGGAAATAATTCAATTATTTTCTAAATTAGGATAACGCAGATTACATTATTAAAAAACAAGAAAAACAGAATTTTGTTTAGTGCGTTATAATTATTGATCTGGCGAACCTTGCTCTCAAGATCTGTATATTTGTGCTGGAATTCCTTCTGTCGAGTTTGCAGTGCTCTTTCACGTTGTAGTGCAGCATCAAGATTCTCTCTCAACAACCGCGCCTCCTCGTCTTGACGTCTCAATTGATTTGTTGACACTTGTACCTGCGTCTCTAGTTCCATTACCTAAAAATGCATTTGTGAATTGGTCGTGAATATTTGGAAAATATTTAGTATTTCTTATAACTTAATTTCTTACGAAATTTTAATTAATATATCTTTTTATGTCAAGTGATGCGTAAGTATATTTATTCTATTAAGTACATTATATAATACTTTTAAATTTTATATTTATAAACGTAAAACTTAGAACTTGTCTGAATTAAAAGTTAGAACTCTATCTTGGATATATTAAAAAAGCGTTTATAATAATAAAAAAGTATATAAATTGGAACCTTAAGTCTCAATTCCTTCAATTCTGTTAGTGCTTCCACCTCTCTCATTTTTGTTGTCATTAGCTCTTCATCCAGTTTTTGCATATCTGCAGAGCGACCTTCCCAAGCCCTCAATAGCTTTTTAGGTGTGGCCATGATGTCGGAAACAACATTAGATTGCACGGGAGGTGTTGTAACTTCTTGTCTGTGTTCCTATAATTGTAAACACAAGAAATCTGTTCAAATATTTAAATAATAAAATCTGTTATAGTATTGAACAAATTTCAAATATATTACTTTAATAAAAAAAAATGTTATAAGTTATAGAGAAATTACTCCATATATGATAGCTCAATATGCAGCTCATTTACCTCCACCAATTAAATATAAATTGTAAGGAGAGAAGTAGTAAAATTGTTGTATTACAATAAATAAGTCTTGGTTTATGATTAAGTCACACAAAACAATAAAATGAAAGTCGCCAAATATTATAAAAATAGGCATAAAATAAAGTTGAAATACTTATGTCGAGCCAGTTGTTACGGACGACGCACCTACGCTTCGTCACTGAGTCAGATAAGTTTATGGAACTGTATACTGATTAAAATACTGGTGACTAATACATAAAGAATGTTAAATATAATTGAACACCTAATTAAAAACAAACTAATATTTTGAGGAGACAAAGTAACACTTTACTTACTTGAAGATGTCTCTGCCATGCTTCCGACAGCTCTGTGACGCGTTGACGTAGTTCCTTCAAGGAGAGATTCGCTTCAGCTTCACGTAGTTTCACAGCAATGAGTTCGTCCTAAGAAATAGGGTAATTTAGATACTTCGTTACATGAAGAAAACATAATATAAATACAAATTACATCACATATTGTTGTTGTACACAATTTTTTGTTTTTCTTTGTCCCTATCAAAAAGGATTTTATGAGAGGAATGTACAAACTCATTTTTGTTTATGTATATCTCGTAATAATAAAGAGGGAGACAAATCATCTGAATTGTAGTAATAGTGGCATATATACCCATATTCACATGTCATATTTAAACACAAATACAGAAGAAAATGTAACCAACTAATATTTAGGAAGAAATAGAAGCGATATACAAATCTAAACAATTTTGTACAATCACCTGTTGATACACACTGCAATCATACAAATAAATAATTAAAATATTTGGTTTAAAGTATGCTTACTTGCAAATGTGCTACGTTATTGTCGACCCGTTGTCGCCGTAAGCTCTTATTTTCGCTCTCTAGCTCTGCAATCCTGGCTGTCAGCTCGCGTTCAGCAGCCTCACGCTCTGCTGCATGAAGGCGAGCCCTAACCAGCTCTCTTTGAAGACACCTAGCTAGTTCCTCACCCTTAACACCGCTGCCACCCTCTGTACCTTCTAGTGACGACTGCCTCGAGTTATTCTGAAGGTCAATTAGTCTTAGTCGTACATATCGTACATACAGCCGAATTTTTTTACAGTATAGTAGTGATATGTAAATATATACATACGTATTAATAATACACATTAATACGTATAATGTATTTACAAAAGAAGAAACACTCTGAAAGCAGTGAGACCTTTATGAGTTGTGATGATAATAATATATGTTTATGTTTATATGAACCCAGGACAATTAGGGTTAATATTAGCATATCATTAAAGATATTTAAGTATTAGGAATTTGATAGGAAATACATAAAATATAATACGTACTTCTGCTATAGTCATTTCTAAGGAACGTATTTCATCCTGCGCAACTGCCAACCGCTGTTGAGCATCCATATTAGCTCTTCTAAGTGCTTGAACCTCGCGGGCTAATGCAAACGTTTCTTCTTCCCCTTCCGCGCGATCCACCTGCCCGCGAACCAACCTCTCCGCTAATGATGAACTCTCCTTTTCGAGTAGCTCCACTCGTTGCTTTAGAAGACGATTCTCTTGACGAAGACACTGCACCATAAATATACCATAGGTTTACTTCAATAAGATAAAAAAAATTCTAATAATAAACTGTAATTTGTGTTTAATTAAACAATTGACAATAATGTACAATACAGTAAGGTTTAATTGTTAGAACAATAAGGCGGATTAAATTAGAATTGAAAGTTTTTTGGTAAAACAAGAAATTTACATGATTCTTAAGCCATCCTTTATATGAAAGGATATAGTAGACTGAAATAAATGTATTTTTACTAATGACTATATAATGCTCATTATAATATTCAACAATATAAATAATATATAGCCTACGTTTATATGGAATAATTTACACAAATGGGACATTGAACTTGACATCAAAGCAAATCAAATTTATTTGCCATAAACATAGGTTTACATTGTTTGTTATTGTAATATGTCTTCAGTAAACGCATGAACATGAGTGCAGTCCCATGTGTGTGTATGTATAAAATAGAATATAAATAATATAAAACAATAATTTATTATACTCACCCTCAGTACAGCTACATCACTCTGTTCCTTAGTTTTGATAACTGTGTATTCCTTTTCTAATTTTTTCATTTTCTTTGGATTAACTTTTATGCCATAAGCTAAATTCATAAACGCGTCTTGCTCTGCTTCAGCTTTAGCGGGCAGTTCCTTTTGTATATACTGCAATCGATATTAAAATAACTTTTACATCATGCACCACGTGTACAATAAAACATTTATTAGTTGTAAGTGTTTATCACTTAACATTGCTGATTAATTTACTTTGAGATAAAGGTTTGTAATCATACTTCTGATTGTAATGTCCATATAAGGTTCAGTACATCACCAATCGATGCATAAACTAATTTTATATGTATAAAAAATCTAATTAATCTAAGAAACAATTACAATTAATGTTTATATTTACAATAAGGTTAATTTACAATAATTGTATCACTTTACAATAATCAATGACTTGTAATTACGATTGTTGAGTTGTTACATAATATTACTATATTAACTTTTGTTTCTAATCTCATACAACAAACATGAGTATGACTGCAATCTTTATTTCTAAGTGTTCTAGGTGTTCTATGTGTATTATGTGTTTACAAAAATATTTAATTCATTATTTATTACTTGTGAATACTTCAGTCGGTATGGAGAGGCCATAGGAAAATGTCTTACCGGCATGTATTGCTCTTAAGGGGGTCTTCCTATGTGATGGGTTGAAAAAATCGATTTTTTTTTTTCATAAATTGCTCCCTTAACATGTCTAGAATACGGTAGTAAAGCGATTTTAGAAAATTCGAAGTCGTTTTAAAGATACAGCAGGTAAAAGAAAGAGCGGTTCGGAGCGGTGAGTTGGCAGTTAGAGACCGGGCCTATTGTGTACCGTCGGCTTTATACCTGGCCTCCCTTTTATTAATATATTTGTTTATACAAGTTTAGACACGTTTCTACAGACTTAAACAGAAATTTCTATTGTTATAATATTTTACCGATGTTATTTTAGTCTTGGTTGAACTTCGAAGAGAGCAACAGCTACAAATTATTTTTTTTCATAATGAGTGGACGGAAAGGAAGTACGAGTGGAAATGTTCATCCTGGTCGTAGTAAAAAAAGAAAGTTTAGTGGAAACCGTTTTACCCACCAAAATGATACGGTATTTACATCAGCTTCGGCCAAAAAACTTAAAAATAACATGAACATGAATGTTCCCATCGCTTCGAATTTCGCATATTGCATTTTGGAGTTTGTTTCTGTATTTGCTGCAATCTCTGAAATAGTTATATGTAAAACTTGTAAAAGTGACGTGTCTATTTCGCGATCAAGTTTCCGAGGCCTAGGCTTTGAATTCTTTGATTTGGACTTTCGCTCCTAAACATCTTCATTCTGGTCCCAAAGTTGTTGAAATTGCTAGCTACTTAGCAGTTATTATCTTTAATGAAGGTTTTCAAGGTATTTTAAAAGTTATGTCGATTATGGGATGCCCTGTTGGTCGTGAAGCCCAAGCGTATGTTGAGAAACGGGATGAAAAGCGAATCTTACGCTCTGAGCGGCGCGTAAGTGATGTCGTTAAACAAGCCAGGATTGACTCAAGAGCTGAACAATCTGCTTTAAAAGAGTTTCACGAGGAAGAGGAAGGAATACTCTATGGACCAGGCATCGCCGATTGAGAGTAAGTTGATATTTTAATAGTTTTTAACGGACTTGAAACTTTAAACGCGTTTTTCTCAAAACTGTGTTTTTCAAACTTTCCTCCATTGTATCTCAGAAACGGCTGGACCGAATTACTTGAAATTTACAGGGCACACTCAATATATGTAAACGCATGGAATGAACTATTATCAATCGAAAATTTTCAAAACTTCGATTTTTTTATAGCAAAAAACAAAAAAAAAAAAAAAACGCCTAATTTGCAACTTTTATTTCAAATGTCTATCAAAAATACAATTTTTTTTATATTCATTTGATTATAGGTCATTCCGTGCTTTTAAGCCTACAAATTAAAACGCCGTTTTTTTTTTTTTCAGATAAGGCGATCAGCCGGAATCGTGGAGGAAGTGGGAGCTCTTTTTTTCGAGGCGGGGGTGTTCAGAGCGCTGTAACTCTAGTTTGACTGAATATTTTTAGCTGAAATTTTATATTTATACTGTCCAAATATGTGTTAATAAATGATAAAAAACTTGAAGCTGTAAATATTTACTGGTCGTAGAAAAAAAATCCTAAAATATCCCTAAAAAACAGGCCGTCACATAGGAAGACCCCCTTAAGGAAAACTGTATTTCTTACACTGTTGTACAAGGTGACAATTAATCACAACAACGCATTTTTATTAGAATCTCCTAAATCCTGAATACAACAAGGAACCCCAAAATAGATAAGATTGTAATACTTTACCTTGAGGATACTCTCCATATCTAGTGAGAGTAGGTCGTCTTTCCCCAGTGTGAGCATGGCGAGTGCTACTTTGAATACAATTTCTATCCCTTCCGACAAGAACACGTCCATGATGCGGCAAGCAAGAGGCAACGAAAGTGTGGTAGTGAATAAGGTTAAAAACCAACTGCTAGCGTATATAGACGTGCTGAAATTCTGTAATGACAAAATAATATTCTGTTGTATGTATGCAATTAACATTGATACAACCAGTGACTGTAGGTACTTAGAGATATTTACGACGCGAATGCGAATAGTACTACTTTTATTTATTATAGATACATGCATATCATTAATCTAGTTTCATTATAAAACTGACGATATTGGACCATATTTAGAAATAAGTTAGAATGTCTGTGTAAAGCGAATATTATAAAAAAAAATAACTATGTTCCAACAGAATAGTGTTATACATTAGAGTTCTATGGAGACAAAAACTTAAAAAGCGTTCATATAACCTTGTAAGTGACTTAATTCTCTTAAGAATACAATGTCCAATATAAACAGACAAGAATATATAACTTAATTGTTTGCGTGGGCTTTTCTTTATTTGGAAACAAATGTATAAGACTGTTTTAATTTGGAATATCAACCTAAAAACCTAAAATATGTTCACGAATGCAACAGCGAGGAATTTAAGTTTAACAATGTATATGTAATATCTTAAACCTACTTGAACCTGGGATTACTTAAAGATGGTGTAATAAGTTATCGACATTGTAGTCCACACGGCCATACATTATGTTTTCAGATGTGTAATTCATGTAGGCATGATCTTGGGTGCATTCCATTGAAAATAGAGATTGAGTATTACGTTACATATTACATTATATTTCCATACATTGCAAATACATTGTCTAAGTAAATTGTACATAGATGACAGTACATTTTATAATAGAAATTATTGAATATTATTATTTTACCTGTGATTGAAAATGCACATGTAGGTCTGGCAGTAACTCTTGCACTAAATTTTCAAGTTGGAACATACAAAGACCAAGTTCTGCCATACTTGGTTTAAACATATCGCGCATGCGATGTTGTTGCATTATTTTAACAAGAACAGCGAAGGCTTCCTCTTCCGGCATCTATAAATGTATATATAAATAGAAAACCCTTTACAAATAATACAAAAATCTTAATTAACATTTAGTGCTAAATGCACTGCAATGTATTATTGTTACTGTGTAATTTATTTGTAACTGTCTGTTAGACATTGTTTAATATACAAAGAAATTTAGAGAGGATATGAATGTTTATAGAGAATTAACTAACACCAAAACAAAAACTTTAAAGTAGCCATAATAATAACTTGCATATCACCTGCATTAAAAGAAGACCGACTATAAACCCTGAACCCTGACAGTAACCAACTTCTCTGTCGTGGAGTGAGTAAGCCTTCATAACATTGAACAGAGACTCCTGGCCCAATCCATCTTTTTCTTTAAAGAAGTCATGTTCTGGATACGTCCGGGCAATGTCACGCCGAATCACCTTCTCACAAGCTGATTTCGCCTGTTTCAATAAAATACGAAAAAAATTTAAGTTACCAGAAATAAAAGGATATATGGTACGTGATAGATGTATGATGTACGATATGAAGTAGACCGAAATAGTGCGAAAAATTATTTTAAACATTCAATAATTGTCAAATCTGTCTATTAGAAATAGGGAAATTTGACAGTGATGGAAGGTGTTGGTGTCTATGAATTAGTAGGATTAATATAGAACAGAATTTAGAAGAAATGTCGGAATGTAAAATAATCTAAGATATTATTATTTTCCTTTGTATTACATGATTAATTTATTTCATAGTCGAAAGTCTAAAGTGGGACTTAGGAAAACTATATTCTGAAATCCTTGAATTTTAGATAATAGTTTCCATTTCATATTATTTATTTGAACTTTAATACTATTATATGGCTAATTAACATTAAAGAGCGTTCTCTACCAGTCAACCATAAGACAAACTGAAAAAGTAATAAGGGCAAATTAAGTAAGACGCTAAATCAAAATGTGGAAAATAGCTGTTAGTTTAAAATTAGAAAAAATATAGTGGTATAATATAAAATATCACTATATAAAAAGTGATATTCACCTTGATATATGAGGCATATAGACTTTTTTCTGGTGAAGTGTCGACTCCAGCAAGTAGTTGCCAAACAATCCCTCTGAAGTGATAGGGTACGCCCTGCCGGACGAGATCTCTAACAAATTGGTTGCGGCGTTTCCACTCTGCCTCCCAGTTATTGACGATACGGCCCCAGACGGTCCACAAATCCTCCTCCCCATTACTGGCGCCAAGAATACGCGTGTCTCCTTCATGAGTTGAGCTTGTTGCTGTGTATACACAAATACCAATGGCAAACATTAATATGTGTAAACACAATGTACATTTTACTTTAGTAGATATCATACTAATATTATAAAGAGGAAAAGTTTGTTTGTATTGAAATGGCTCCGAAACTACTGAACCAATTTGAAAAATCTTTCACCATTAGGAAGCTACACTATCCGTGAGCGTCATAGGCTATATTATATTTCCAAAAAAATTAGGGATCCTTAAGAAATCTCCAATAATGTAACTCAAGGTGTAAAAAAATTACACAAAAAATACCTAACACCGCATGCGCTGCGAAAACTATTGATGATAGAACAAACTGATGTACTACAACTTTGCAGAGCACATCATTATCTATAAAAAGTGTCCTGACGGCATGTGTCTCTCTATCACAGTTACGTCACAATAAGTGTTTATTTTGTTTATAGAAAAGTCTCTTTATTTTCTATCTTGGTAATAATCCTTATCAAAATAAATTAACTCATATTAACGACTGCTTCAATACCTGTATATAATTTTTTGAATTATTCAATTCGGACATTACATTCGAAAGATATCACGTATTTAACAATGTAAGTATTAGAAAAAAAAACCTACTCTTCTGTTAGCTAGAAACTAAATGCAATGTAGGGGCGTCACTGGGGTACGGGTACATAGGTAGGGGGATACTTCCTAAGATAATACAATCGGGGAAGATAGCGATAGCAGATGCATCGTCAGGAATTGCTGCAGCTCTCTTAAAGGATGGAAAAACTGCTCATTCTACTTTTAAACTTCCGCTATCCGTAAATTTCGAGCAACAATCTTCATGTTATATCCAGAAAAAAGGGTCTCTTGATAAATTATTACAAGATGCCTCATTGATTATATATTATAAATACACCATGAGCCATAGAGGCTTCGGATAGAACCTTAAAATATCCGCACGACAGAAACGGCACTGCTTTCATGGGCGGGATTACATTTGTATTTATTGGAGATTTCTGACACTCTCCCTGTCACTAACATCATCTCCCTTATGAACTTTAATTGAAAGTTTAAAATTACGGACGAATGAGTGTCGAGAGCTCATCATTATGGAATCACAGATAGTGATTTCATTTCACAGAATCATGATCCAATCATGATTCTGTGAAATGTAAACCCATCAGAGACTGCTTACTAAGGAATTGAAGGACAATTTAATTGTAGCGACCATTACCACTGGCACGGACCACGGCAACCGGGCAACTAGCTCATATACCAAGAAAATCGATAATCCCAACTGATCTGCAAATACCATTTAAATGGCTTTAATTTCCGGTTAAAATATATTCTATGTAATAGACCTATGTACGTTTTGATCTTAAAAAATTACGCGGATTTTGATGCGTTTTTGTTTAAAAAACAAAATAGATAGAGTGACTCAAAAGGAAGGTTTAGGATATATAACGTCCCACTACTGAACACGGATCTTTAAACGACCGATAACCTACATATTCTATGTCCACGCGGGCAAAGCCGCGGGCGGATAGCTAGCATTAAATTAAATTAAGCTATTTACATATATGTATTCGTGGTCGACAAATAGTATTTTTACATAACATATCACGAAATTGATCATTCTACTAAGACCTTTAAAATACCAAATTAAGTCCCTTTTGTTATCCGATATATCGATGATTTAGTCATCGATAGAATTGGTAGAATTTATTTTTAATAACGGAATGTAATTAAATAATGTTTTTTTTACTTTAATGATCGTGACTCTATTATTACTATCATCTATTCTTATAATCATTCAAAATCCTGACGGAGGAATACAGTATCTAATTATATGTTACCATTTGTAAATTTCAAATAACAATAGTTGAAATAAATTATGAACATACATACATGTGGACTATAGTATGATGTCAACAATAAAAAGAATATTATTTATTTTAATTTCTATTTTTCATGTCCGCTTTAAGTATAAAATAACTAATAAAATTACCACTAGTATATTACAAGTACTTATTAGACCGTAGTAGGGTACCCGTACCGGCTTGACACTAGGATACATTAAAAATCTTTGAATTTCTCGTTTTGTTCTATACAATAACACACATGTATTATACATTTAAACCTTCCCTCTTGAATAATTCTAGCTATTTCAGAAATATGCATTAAAATCCGTTGCGTAATTTAAAAGAGGAGGCCTTTGTTTTATACTATGTCATTGGTAATATTTAAAGGAATAAGCATACCGTGTTTAACAACTTCAAAAATTCTATTTACTTTATCAATAGGAATATTTTATTAACAAAGCATTATAACCTAGATCCCACATTTTCTAAAATATATCATAATTGTACAAAAATACCTGATTACGATGGACTCAATAGTCATAACAATATAATAAATACTATCAAACAATTACTACACTATTTGGTTTAGTACAATAATAAATGACTGTACATATAAACTATAACCATTTAAACTGAGATAGGTGCGAATACGTACTTAAAGAAAGGTTTTCCAAAACGAGGGATAAGTAAAATTCCAACACAGGTTTACTGTAAACATGATTCTGTTCATCCATTTCATCTGTTATATAGTACTGATGTTATGTGTAACATAACGCGCCAGGCATGCCTCATGCCTCTATCAATATGTCACATTTGTTGATAAGAGATAAAGATAAGGTATGTAGTACCGTGGTGTCTTAGTCACTTAATATACTGATCTATACTTTAGGGATATATTTATTTTGTTATCATTAAGAAAAATAGGCTAAATCATAAGATATATAGTACATAACATCTACATATACTGTCACTATTGTGACATTGAAATGATTCAAAGAAACATTAAGTTTCTTTCTAAAATTTATAAATAAAACATAATGATAACAAATAATATTATATAAAAAATAATATTTGCAAATCTCAGATAATTTGAGACATCCAGAGCATGTACCACAAGCATCTAGCTTCATGATTAGTAGTTAGAACGGATAAGGTATTTCTACTAACCAGAGGCGAGGGATATTTGCGAGGTATCAGAATTCTTGCGGCTGTGCAGGGTCGTTAGCGAGGCGCTTTTCGCGTCCGCCTCGATTCGCCGATTTTCCTCTTCCAGCTTGGCGAGCAGTGCCCGCTCGGGCGTCGGTATAACTTGTTCAAGGCGGCAAACTGTATGCACAATGAGTTCAGATGAATACCGTTTAAAATGACAAGTATTTTGCATGAGATAAAAACTGTTTAGATCAGCCCATCGCTTAGTATAAATGGTTATAAGTTTTTACAGATGACATAATTTAGCGAACATTTAGTATAATCGATCCTATCTATCCCAATAATTAGTATCACGTAGGCTTGATCGATCGAGTCTACAGGGCGGCAACGGCGTGCAATTTGTAAACACTTTAAGTCAATCAGTAAGCATAGCTTAAGAGATGATATCAGGGTTTTTCAAGACAAGTAAGATGTTTATAAATTAGATTTTTTTTACTACGGCTTCATTGGGATTGGTTAGTACGAAGTTAATTGTAAATAATGTTTAACAATTAATATTTTACTCTACTGCAAATATTTCGGACAAATATCGGTTTGAAAGTACAATGCAAAGCTATGTTAAGTATCTGATTAGAATACTGAGATTTGTAATTTTGTGGCTGCTGAATCTATTAGGTATAAAGTAATTATATATTATTTGGCATAATCATCACAGATATTTTTAGACATTAATATTACTTTCTATATTATATAGCTACTAAACTGTATTTGTAGATGGAGTATAAAATATCTACTGGGATCACGCGGATTTGTAAGATAGAAAACTGAAGGAACGCTCTGAGCGACGTGGCTTCGACACTAATCGCGTTTGCAAGCAATTTGCCGGAAGATTGAATTTTATTCAAGTTTCAGGAACAAAGCACAATAGAGTGATAGAGAAGTTCGAGTATTCACTTGAAATATAATCGTATATTTCAAGACCGCAAGAGTACGTAACAAGAAGCCATAGCTGGGTACCAACTTTTTTTGGAGAGAGAACCATAGGTTTACATTTAAAAATTTCTTCATGAATTAATATCCTACACAGGTATCAGTTCAAGTCATCATGAATTAGCTATTATTGTTGATACCTATTTATGAATATCTAATTTTGAAGATTGTATTAGCTGTTTTGTCCCATTATAAGTACTTGTTAAATGTATATATAGAAACTAAATTATACGATATCCTATTTATTACTTTAATTAAATTTACAATGTAGTTACCCAGTACCTTTCATTACATATGTGAGGATTTCCTGCGATTGCATTTCGGTAACGTTTTCGGGTACTATTTTATTACATAATGAAAATTTATATTGGATTTAACATTCGATTTATATTATAAAATCATTGCTTATTTCGGTATGTACCTACGCACGGTAGAAACTGCACAATATTTATTACCAATGAGCTGTATAGGCAACAAGTTAATTACTATTCGCGTGACTATCATTAATTATACGTAATACTTCGTATGTACCCTACCTACAGTCAACAGATACTGTGATAAATTAAATGAAGTTAACAATATTGATGTTAGTTCACAGATTGTGAATAGTAGACAGATGTACAGCTACAGCCTAAATCTCACTATAGGGCTCATAAAGAATATACACATATCATATCTTTTGTTGTACTGTCGTACATTATAATATATTGTACTGATGTCCTCCAAACAGACATTAATTAGTACGAGTTTATTTGATATATCTATGTTGTCCGTATTTTATTAGATAAAATAAAACTTTACAAAAGGAATTTCAGAATTAAAGGAAATGTATATTTATAAAATTAAAGAATTTAATAATTCAAAGTCATTGAAACAAATATAAAGAGTAAAACGTATTTTTACATTACGATTTTTGTTTATTCATATTTTAATATCATATAATAAAAATAGCTATTCAGTAATTATTAATTCCCCATTAATACAAACATGCCGTCATAACAGTTACACCAAATAGGGTAGTTAGAGAAAATGTCAAATGTCGATATTATTGTGAACACTTGAAATACTCTTATAAAGCACATAACGCCGAAGACTTAGTTACAGATATAAAATGTCATACTAATTTTATTCCGCCAGATTTGAATTCACGGCCTTTAAATAATCCAAGTTAGTAAACCCGTACCACGAAACCGTCTCAATATTTTCGATTAGGAAGATAAATCTTCCTAATCGTCACCATGTTACCTCACAATACTGACGTAACTCAGATTACACTTGCAATGTTTTAATTTGTGTTTATTTTGACGTGTTTAAGTTTAGTTATTTATACTCTTAAATATAAATTAAATGTTTCCTGATACCTAGTCCAACGAGTACCTGGCATACGTATGAGTGTATATTATATATAGCAGTTGCTGTGGTACTTAATATTGCAGATGCCGCGACCGAAGTAGCCCACCGAAGGAATGCTCTTGATGTATTTATAGACGAGCTCTAACTTAAGATTGACTTTCAAGTCAAACTCGAGTCAAGGCTCCTTTATATGACATTGACGTTGCAACTGTAATAATAGAACCATATCTAGCAATATCCGGAGTCAAGAAACAAAACAAAATACATTGTTTAAACCCTAATACCACTTAAACTTTCCATATAAGTTATCTACAAGCCCACCATGTAGTACAAAAATGTTAATACTTGAAACAATAAAATAAAATAGTAGTGAATATATACGTATATTTATATATTGCCTATAGTTATAATGACAAACATTACAATTACAATCTTAGAATGACAATTTTACGATTAGTTTGGGTTTGAATAAGTAAGGCTCTACATGAGCCTTACTTATTCAAACCCAAACTAATCGTAATACATGCAAGGTTAATTTATCCCGTAAATTTGGAATTTTCTATTGTTTTTTAATGTGATTGGAATGTCAATCAAACTGACGGTATATTTAACGGAAAGTGAAGTAAAATATAATCTGGATTAACAGTCGCCTATGTATATAGATAGCACAACAAAAAAATACATTGAGAGGCCCGAGGAATCCACAAGCTCTGTCATTCTAAAAAACTAAGGATTCATACCCTGTAATTTTACTGATTTATCACAACAGAACAGAGCTTGAGAGGTATACTGATTGACGGCTAAGGCGTGATAAGGGTATAGTACCAATGTGGACTGCTAAATCACGAATAGAATATTAATTTGTTTAAAAGTTTAGTTCTCAGTAGCACTGGTTTCTTGGCGCTTTTAGTGCGCTCTTAGCTATTATATCGGAAAGGAAACTGTTTTTGTACCCTACTCCTTTTAGGACGAGAACGCTCTGTGAAGCCAACCCAAATTAGTGGTCAATACTGTCGGTAGAAGTACACCCAATAGCACTCATGAGAATATATGCAGTTTGTAAAATAGTACTGGCTAATAACAATTTCCACTACGATGTAGATGACTAATAGTGCTGCACAATATATATCTACAGAAATTAAAAATATATATTAAAAAATATAAAGTTACATTTAATTAGTCTCTTAAAGTTTAGATTTAAATTTAACTCTAAAACTACTTTATTGAGAAGTAACTACTTTCTCAAAATTATTTTCTTAAGGTTATGCGGATATACACTGTCCTTCAGAACAATAATATCGAGTAATCAGGGTTACTAAAGAGGTTAGATTTTTATTTACTATAGCATATTCTACATACTAGACGAAATTCCACAAAATTAACCGTAATAAAGCATTAAGTCAAATTTCTACCTTTTCCCTAAATAGTAATGATATTTAAACTACTCATTACACGTTACAACTTGCAGCCCGCTTCATAACTTCAGTAGTACCTAATAGTAATTCGTTTAGTGTTACAAATGGTGATTAGAAGCAGCAAGTTGGGCACATTATGCACTAATGTGAAGATGTAAGTTTGGTTAGTGTTGTTTTAGTTAAAATGTGTGTCGCAGACGACACTAATGAGTAACGATGCAAGCATGATATGTACACGTGCGTTAGTGACTGTTATTGTGAAACCAACAAACCGTCCAGCGATGCGACAGGCGAATCTGTAATATTAGCGATGGGTGGTCCAGAAGTCGCGGACATCCCGGCCGGCACGTCTCTCCCTTCAACATTCACCTTCATGACTCAGGTGACTCAGATGACTCAGGTTCTGCCATATAGGACACTCCCGCTTCTCGTCGCGCTCCTTTCTGTACCAGATACGCGTAGTCACGCCATCAGCTCCACACATCACCAAGGTTCCCTTGTATGTGTAGTTACTTAGGAAGTTATCTTTTTACCGACCGATTTATTCATAAGAAAATAAATTTGTCGCACTTCACACATACATAAATAATTAATTTATTCATTAAAGCACGGAAGAGTACAAAACTATTGAATAAACAAATGTCACGTAAGCGTTGTTTTTAATCTTTAGTTGGTCTCTTTTAAATTCTATTTATCTGTTTAAACTGTACATGAAAATGAATTTGCATATTTGGTAGAAGGAATATCTGAGATAAAATATTAACTATGGAAATAAAAAATATAGTATTTTATATATACCAGAACCCGATCTAGGTTTAATAAAAGTAAAGACTTTAAATTTAAAATTTATGTAAGACGTAAAATAAACAAACAGCTTAAAAAAATTATGGCGACAAATAAACTTTTGCGAAAATAACGCAAGGTTTAGTTTCATTAGGTTTCAGTTATATTATTTGGATACAGACATAATTTTCGTGCGTGCAGAGACTGAGATCAAACAAAACTATATGAAATATTTGTTATGTCAATGTAAGTTTCAGTTTGTATCTAATAAATCGTATAGATAATATAATAAATCGTAATTCCTTATACATTAATTCACAATACCTTACTTAGCTATAAATATTTACGTTATATTTAGATAAAGTATATACATATACAATTATTTTGTATTGTAAAATGCGTATTTATTTATCTTTAACTTATAATTATAGAGCATTTAATACTATGAAGTAAGATTTTATCGGTCAAAAAAGAACTTTAGAAGAGTTAGTTGGTCTAACTATTATATAGGTAATTATTAAATTAATTTTTCTATTTTATGCATGCCTTATTATCTACAGCTATTCTCACAATAATATTGGCATCACCCTTTAATGTAATGTTTTTACAATTTATATTTGTAATCGAACCATTTAATAATACATGCACAACAGATGGATGATCGTCGATTAAATGAAAATGACTTGCAATGCACAACACAACACGCACACTTCGCGGTTTAGTTAGAAAAATACTATGAGTGAGTTAAAACAATAATTTATTAGCAGTAACGCTACGAAGTTTTATTTTGATGAAAACAGACTTGTTGGTGAAAGTCGGTAGAATGATCCACGCGCTCGACGGTCATCCGCCCACTAAGCATGAAGGCCGGCCGTTCGTCACATGTATACAGATTGTACATAGCGTACCTCAAACTGGCCGTGCGCACAATGGCACAACGCAGCCAGCTACTAAGATTATATTATTACCGTGCGCTGTCCGTGATTCACGATACGCAGTATAGTAAAGCGGCTGCCCAATACAAAATATCGTTGGCTATATCTCATTAATAATCTAGATTAATTCTGTAGTTGTCTTTTGACAAAATCCAAGACGACGTAATTTTAATTTTTCTAATTTTTCGTAATATTTCTAATTTTATTATTCAATATAAACATTTAAAATGCAATGTATAAGCCTAGTGCTAATTGGTACCTAGTTCTATTGATTCTAAATGTTACATATGTAATATCAATGGTATAATTATTAAAGTTTCAAACTTAAAAGTAAAACAGATCTGGCTTACAGAATTATTGTGCGATCCTCTGTGCCTATTCGTTAGTCTGTCACTTATACATAAATGAGCCACTGAGATTTAAGAAATTAATAATGCTGTCAGGTTGTAATTTAGACTACTTTTATATTCTTTATCCTTGGAAATTAAAATATCACATTTTTTAAAGGTATTCGAAACGTAATTATTCATACAATTTTCCAGTTATATTAAAATAAACTAATAATAGACTACTAAACCATTCTTCTCTGTTAAATCAATACAATGACTATTATGATAGAATGTTTAAAATTAAATTTATTTGAACAAAATTTATAACGCTGTATCAGTGCAAAACCCTACAAGTGATTTATAACATTGAAAACTAAATATCCTAACAAATATATACGAAAAGGAAAATTTACGTTATTATTAACTGCAATAATAACTTTCAGGATATACTTATACGTTAGGTCATTACCCTTAAGGGTGTGCCTAGACAGGGACAGACAGGGTGTATCAGCTTGTGACTGATATAGATTAGAATTATATATTATATATACATACATATATATATATATATATATATATATATATGTATCATGTTTAGAACAAATTTAATAAATGTAGATAGATATATATTTACATACCCATTATACATATACACATTATAATATATCAGTATACGGAGTCGGTCATGGCAAAAAATAATAAAATTTTAAATATATGTATAATACATAACTCATACTGAACGTGAACTACTTGGTTGTTAATGTAGAGAAATTCGTTTATATTTACAGTGGCCATCTTCTTTTTACAAGCGACAAAATAAAACTTGATATCCATCCTAATTTTGTTTAAAGAAGTGGAAAAGCACTTAAGAAACATTGCGAATACCGGCGTTTGTATTGACTTTTGCGACGACAAATAAATCAGGTTACCGATTTTAGGGTCCTAAAATCCTTACCAGAATAATACGCCAATGATTGCCGTTCGTTCGTTAATTGGACTACATTACTGAAACTGTTTACGTACCTACTTTATAATAAAGGTTATATTAATACGGGTATACACTCATTCCACGATATTAAGTACATCAACTGTTTCACGTGTAAATGAATAATTTCATATAGTGTGCTATTTATCATGAATATTTAGTATTCATGGTAAATAGCATACCTAGTAGGTACTGCACTTAGTTTCCTATTGTATATTTAGATTAAATTTTTATATATATATATAACCGAATATGAAATTATTCATGCATGAGACTATTTCTTATTTCTAACTGTAACAAATCTTTGTTGTAACAATGTATCGACAATCACTGTTTTATCAATTTATGATGCAGTTAAAAAAGCTTCTTGCTTTAAAAGCAGAGAAGGATACGAGGGCTAACGTAATTAGTGGCTAAATATAGTCCTCTAGATACATAAAAGGTTATAAGTGCCACCTGTATACGGATGATTTGATTCTCAGATACAATAATACTTATAACTATATCGGTCACAGAATGTTGTATTTATAAAAGATTTTCATAATACATTAAACAATAATATTTAGGAGAACTATCTACGTAATATATGGCAGTGGGTATTTTTTAAACGCGGCGTGCAAAAAAGTTGCCTGCGATTGAACTGCATTATATTTGGAATAAAAACAAGCTAAATATTTGTTATATTTGTATAATAAAAGATTTATGTTATTGATAAATAATATTAAACAAATTGGTATGCGATCTTAAATCATAAATAAATAATACGTGATATAGCTGGGCTTAAAGTACTTACGTGGCATACCAGTAACTGTGTAATATTTATTATCAATTTACACATATTCTACAATACTATCTAACTATAACTATTGATAATTTATAGGTGAAATTTCTAATAGTATATAAAATGCAACAAATTCATCTTTTAGTTACAGATTTTGGAATTACCTTTAACTAGAGGAAGAACGGCAGGAGCTGGACTCGAAACCAGCGCTGTTTTAAACATGTAACTGGAATAAAAAAGATACACCGTTATAAATCAATGTTTTTTTAGTTTAAGCAGTTTATTTTGCTGGAAATTACACAATGTTCGAAGACACATTATAGTTAAATTGATATAAATTAATTATAAAATATTATTATTTACGTTAAGATTTACTCTGTGATGATGTGATTTACTCTGTGTCAAAATGATTAATAAATACAATTTAACAATTAGACAATGTTGAGCTCCAACCTAATATAATAAATGTAAAAGCTTGCTAAAGTATTTCAAGAACAATTGCACATATTTTTAATAATAACAATACACAACGTAAGTTTGCTTTCTATTTATGATACAATTAAGAAGGCTTGTTAGAAGTCATTTAAAAATGTTCAGTAAAAGTTTCAAGAACAAGGTATAAAAGAAATATATAACCTAATTAAATTTTAAATTTTCGACTTTAACAAAAAAATAAAATCAAATATTAGTGCCTGTGCAGTAATTATACTTGAATACTAATGATTACCTACTTAGTATCTATGATAGTATAATGCACAATATTTATTTAATTATTAAAAATTAACTACAAATCAACCATATTTTTTGCTATTCAAAAATATATGCTTCTCATTTCATTTCTGCAGCATATATATTTAAGTGTTCCCGCTTTCAGTTGCACACATCATTCTGAATGGATGCAGATAAATTGACGTCTGGTTATGAATCCAAGTTTAATTAGACTTTTAGCCATGCACTGCGTAGCATGAATATGAAGAGAATGACGCTTAATACTTTTTCCGTTGAAATTGCGGTACGTATACTTAAATCTGGATTAATTTGGATTCTGGATTTTGAAACAATAAAAATATATCTTTAAAATGCTCTATACTGAAACAAATGAAAACATTAAACACCAAAGATCAATACTGTTAATTAATGATTGTTTACTGCGGTAGAAAGTCACAAAACATCTATTAAACACTTCGATCGGAAGTTTCATTATTTGGCAAATAAAACTAATTAATAGTTGATTAATACTGATTAATGACTAATTATAATAATGTATAACTCATTATTAAGTACCTAGTTGGACGTTGAAGTCGACAAGTACATTAGCTAGGTAAGATTATATGACGATTATTTAATAACTAAGTGCTCTTATATTTTATAGGATTAGGTGTACTTTTGCGGAAGTGCATTTCATAACTATGTATTTTGTTAAATTCCGCTATTATTAGTATGTGTGAGACCACAAACATTCAATACGGAACCCTGACCACCGCTACTTCCGGTAGCATTACGACCTTCACAACTAGAGATTGAATTCAGACCGTTATCAGATCTACACCTATATTGCGACACGTGTTTCGCCTCTAATCGAGGCAATGACAAGAGTTTGGAAGTCAAGTATGGTCGCAGTAACCCAAACCTAACGTCTCCGTACTGAATGTCTGTGGTCACTGGTCAGACACATACTAATAGTAGCGGAAATATACAAAATAATATAAATCTAATAAATAATGAGTGTTTTTATTTTTATATATTGTGGTATTAAAAAGATTTATTCGATTTTACATATTAGGTTATAAAAGAAAAAATCCATAGCTATATATGTTTATGTTCTGCATACAGGAGATAGCTTATATATATATATATAGCTTATAGGGGATAGGAGGTAGGCTTTTGCAATCTCACAAAATAAGGTTGCAATCTCCAAGCAACAAACACAAATGTAATCATAAAAATCTATCGAATTACAAACTAAAGTCAGTTGCATTACAATTTGAAAGTGGTGGTTAGGAATAGTTAATTAGTGAGGATTTTTTTTATTACTAAAAACTCTTTTCGCATGAGAGGTTAAAAAAATCGACCAAGCACAATGTCTTGAATTAGTAATTTTTCCTTTTTTGATAATAGCAAACGTTGTTTCTGTTTAGATTTCAGGTAATATATAGACACTTTAAAACAATTATATTTGGTACAGACTAGTTGTGGCAGCGATTGTACCGTGCAATGAATTTGTAAGTACCTATGTATTGTTTAACTATAGCTTCGAGGTTCCACGGCAGATCATTGTATAGTACTTCACTACTATTGTGCGCAGAGTTTTGTGTATACTGCAATAAAGTTTAGACTATTAAGTAATGCTTGCCTACTCGAACTCGAGAGTGTTACAATAATTAGAATTTAATTTCAATATCACACTTTAATAATAATAATAACGTATCTTATTATTATTAATATTATAAATGCGAAAGTATGTAAGTATGGATATTGTGGAACATAGTGGTTTAGTATATTGCATTATATTCTAATGTTAGTGAGTTCTATCACTTCAGAATACATGCATTTTTGTTCGGAAGTGACTGAATATTAAAAATTTGTTGGGCTCCAGGTGGTTTCACAGCATATAAAGTATTTATGATAGTCTAAAAATGCATATACACGTATCTAAATATATATAACTCAAAGGTGACTAGCGTAGTAATCTATCAACGCACAGTCCAAACCATTGGACGGATAGAGCTGAAATTTGATTTGCTAAGAAAGGATTTTGATAAATTCTACCCCTAAGGGATAAAATAGGTGATGAAAGTTTGTATGAAAGTACTGTAAAGCCGCAAAAAATACCTAATAATAATACTTATTAACGCGAGCGAAGCCATGAGCAAAAGCTAGTATGTATATATATCGGTTGTCTAGTAAATTCATAAATACAGTCAGTGGCGTTTTATCAGTAATGATTGCTCAAATAAAGTTTTTTTATTATCTGACACATAAGAAGGAATCTTTAAAACAACTAAAAACGAATGTAGATATATAATTACTTACTATATATTCATCTAAGCTCAAGTATGCAAACGTAAGCCTGTGTGACTCATAGACCAGTCTAACAACTTCTGTCGTTCTCGTAACTATCATTATATATATATATGCTAAATGTGCCTATACGTACAGCGAAAATTTCGAATAATATTTTGTCATATCACTACCGTAGTGTTTTCAGCTATACGTACTGTTGTTTTTATAAATAGTAGTTACATCCTATAGCTATGGGTTTCGTTTAATAAGATTTAATCCAATGATCCCAGAGTAATTACCAGGATTACATCACATTAAAATCACAAACATAATACTAAGCTGTATTAATCAAATTTTTTTTTATTAATATATTAAAATGAATAGTCTTTAAATTTAAAATTATTTTTTTATGTAGATTTAGCTTTTAGATTTTTATAATCTTTGTTTCGTAGTAACCCTAATACTCTACCCTACCCTAATACTAACCCTCTACCCTAGTACTCATGGTATTAGGTACCATGCATATCAGGTGTTTCGATTTTAGGGTGAGGTTATATTGTGAGATTATAGGATAAGAGGATATGGATATGACATCTTAGTTCTCCGGTACAACGCATGACTAATAGGATATCAGGTATCAACCTGATATCCTAATCTGCGCGTTGCTATGCATATGCATCATGCGTTTCACATGAACGATTGTTCATGTCAACAGCACCATGGACATCAGGTGTCAAATCGTCAGCATGTTTATCATTCCAATTACATAAAAATATAATAAATTAAATTACGATATTGTGAAAATTAAAAGAATGTCAGTATTAATAAAACAGACGACATATTTCGCCATTGTTTTGTCATGCAAAATTTTAATAATATACATTATTAATGAATTTATACACAAATTGCATTAAACGTGAAATTTAGGTAGTTATATAACAGTTATTTACGTTAGGTATTTATAAATATTATTTAAAGATATAATTTTTAATTACTGACGTTTCTTAAGGACTATATACTAATATATTTTAATTTTAACTAAAAGAGAAACTACGGTCGTTGATGGTAAAAGACAATTTCAATTGACAATAAAAAAGGAACAAAGTATCAAATATTTAAAATGTATTTATAAAAAAATATAGTTATCATATAAAAAGGTGCGATGCACAATAATATTAATTTTATTAACGAATAATTGTAAATATATCTCCTATAAGCGAAAAATTAAATTGTATAAAAACAATAGTTAATTAGCCAATTTCGGAATTGGTATTTAATTTTGTTAACTTATGTGACCATATTTTTTATTTAGCATAATTATAATAACAACTGTGTGCAATAATTATAAGAACTACTATGTGTACCTATCGATGAATACAAAATAAAGTAATTCTATGTCAATAAACACCTAATTACTTTTATTGCGTACATTGGCTTACTTAATAAAAATCTTGTTAACCACAAATCAACCACGGTTAGCTTATGTAGGTACTGCTTTATTTTTATACCATTAAATTAAGAAAAGTGGCAAATAGTAGATATATGGCCTGTCACATTGCCTACATATTATCAATTTATATTTTATATTAATATACATTTAAATAAACATTATCATTAAATACAAAATAAGATTAAGCTCGGTAACGGAAAATAATATATATATGATCTTATATTGAATAGTAAGCGAAACTCAAGGGCTACCACTGGTTAGACCGAGAGTTAACCTAACACTTAACAAATAAAAGAAAATGACATAACGAAGGTATTAAATTTATATCAATATGTAATCATGAATATCTCAAATATTGTAAGAGCACTATGCTAATTCTTTGTCCAGTGTATGTTAAGACCTGAAAGTGAGTTAAGGTGTTTAGCACCTGTTTTAGCAATATTGTTTTAATAATACTATTATCGACGTAGCGAGATCGTTCTGGCCATTATAACATCGCTACAGTGAGTACATCGACCTAGTTGCCGTCCCGTTTCGATTTGTTAGCGGCCAATAGCCCCGTCTCGTACATGAACGATTTAAATTTTTCGTGTACATACATTGCTTTTTCTCTGTTGATAAGTATTTCCGCACGCTTGCTGCCGCTACTGTTACTCGAGCTCACGGAACAATGACGGGTTAGCTGTATATAGGCAATACAGGTAGAAACGATATTGTGTTATAGTATTAAATAAATCGTTTAATATCTGTATAAACCCATATAGATATTGAGT